ATGTTAGTCAAACTAACATAACATGTTTGTGAACCTCCATCCATCCATTTTTTATACCACTTATTGCCAATGCCGGGGTGCTGGAGCCTATCCCAGCTGACAAAGAACGAGAGGCAGGGTACACCCTGGACGTTCCGCCAGTCCATTTCAGGGCCACATGTTATATAGTGCTAACAAATAGAGCTCTGTGTTAAAGAAAGCCTTAGTGAATGGGTGCAGACATAGAAAGTAGACACTTAAGCTGGAGTAGGTGAAGAAATAACATTATTCAGACTCTTGTAGTTCAGACTTCGCTGTGTATAAAATTATAAAGGTCTGTTAGTATGTTAGATAGCCTCCATTGTAGCTTTGTTCCCATGATGACTGAAAAGTGGTCATCATTATACAATTTGCAAATAATTGATGGGTAGTCTGTACTTGAATCACCCTCTAAACTCAGCTTGATAAGTATAAGTTGCCCTCTAAATTTACAACTGATATAAAATTACTCTTTGAATTACAGTGGAGGTTAGCAGACAGTAGAGAAAGAGAGCTGTAAAAATCTTTGCTTTTTTCCTTTTTTTTAACTCAGTAAACACGTTTTATCTTATTCAGTGTCATTCAGGGTTAATCTAGTAAATTGTGGATGAAAAGTAAACAGAAAATAAAGCAGAGTATGCTTTTGCTTTGAGCGACCTTGTGATTTTTTCAAACTGCTATCCAACGTTTGAATCATGTCTTCATTTCTCAGTCTGATCGTCCTCTTCATTCCAATTGTTTGCTTTAAAAAAATACTAAGCGACAACTCACTGACCTTAGCGATTCATAAACTCTTTTACAAGTATATGACACTTGCAATTACCATCTGTATCCATCATGCATGTGAACATTAACAAAACATTCATTTTTGGCAAGTATGATTTTAAAAAAAAGTATGTTTACAGAGAAAGGAGAATGTAGCTGATCTCTGTTAAAAAGAATCTCCCATAATAATCGAAAATAATAAATCAGTAGAAAAGTAATAGTTATTAACATGGACCATAGTTTTTTCCTAGCAGACACATTCCTTCCTTCTTTTCCACAGATTAATCTATCTTTGATCACTTGGAGCTGGAGCCGTTCCAACACTTATAACTATCTCCCTTGTATAGTTTGTGAGTCTGTCAATGAGCTGACTGACAGGGACAGGCAATCATACACTTATCCTACTAATATAGAATCGTAATTAACCCAGCACATATGTCCTTGTGGAAGGAAGCCGAAGCATCTGGCGAAAAACCCACACAGACAGATCAAGAACATGGAAACTCCACACAGAAAGTCCCCAAAAAGGAGCAAATCATGAGGTGGCAGTGCGAACCTTTGCCCCAAATTACGCTATTTTTTAAAAAATGTGCTCAACCGGATATATTTTTTTAGAAACTGGAACAGTTTAAAAAGAAAAAAAGCCTACGTTTTGGTTTCTCCTTATAACAGATCATTTTATGAACATTTTACCCCTTTCAATAGAAACTTTGAGCTGCTCCTTATTTGGATTCAGGCTTTTGCCTCTGAACAAAATGTGTTGAATATGTAGTTTTTAAATAGATATTGATTATCATCCGATCATTGGAAATTCAGAAAAATATTTGACTTTTTAACTCTTAAGGTTATCACATCATTGTGGCAGATGTAATGAAGGGACGGACGGCCCATGGTGACACACCCAGTGTGCAAACAGCACACACACCTGTGAACACACACATGCAAGCTCACCACAGAATGTGAGCTTATTCTGGTCTTTGCTGTCATAAAGCCCCTAATCTACACATACAAGTCTTGAATGGAGACATTCCTCTGGCTTGATTCAGCCACGCACACGTGAACACACACAGACCTGTAATTTGTCTTTATCACCTTTATTTCTACATGTCGAGTGTCTACGATGTCAATCTGCGGCGTAATGAAGTCACTTTAAACTGGCGCTTCCGCCAGCATGGGTACTCAGACAGCATTTTAAGTGCCAGTGGAAACGGTCATTGTCCGTGTGCGCTCACGTCCGTGTCTGTCTGTCTGTGTCTTTGTTTGAGTAGGCATGGGCCTTCATCTCTGGGAATTCCCCTCTCACTGCCTTTCCCCTCCATGAAGCCCCTCCTGCTGCTCATGTCCCGCTGAACCAATCAGAGCCCCTGGCTTTGTGTTTCCTATTGCTGTGACACTGCGGGTCAGCGGCGGGGTCACGGCCTCACATCTCACTCGCACCGGGGTCGCGTTTCCTGCTAGTTACGCTGCGTGTCAGAGCAGAAAGGAGGAGTTCTCTGTGGTTAACGCTGATCAGATGAGGTGAAGCTAGACTTTCTTCAAAGTTTGGAAAAGTCTGTTTATTTGAGTGTGTGAGAGATAAGAGCGCTAAATCTTTGTAACTGCGTTCTGTCTGACTCACTAATCCCCCCCTCTCCCATGTCCCTCCGCTCTGCTTTCACACACACGCAGCTGTTTCCTGTTTAATGTGAACGTATTTAAAAGAAAGAGAGGAAGACGGTGAATCAGTTTTTAACTATTGTTGTAATTCAACTTTATACACTCAAAAATCTGTTTTAAACTGACCTTTATAGTAAATTATCTATGTTTGCAAGCACAGTTAACCATGCTGCAGATCATGCTGTGGTAACTCGATTAAACCTTTCTCTCTGTTCCAGGTTCTGGCTGGTTTATACTCATTTGTGAACATTCTGAAAATCAATTAGCAGCCTCTTAAAACTTGCGTGAACTCCATAATCCGCTGGAGTGGAGAACAGCATGCACTTAAGCCAATGCTCAAAAAGGATAGAGGAGCATTGACCAAAATGTATGCGGACTTGATGTTCACTGTAATGGACTGCGTAACTCTTTAAGAGCTTTAAGAAGTGGCTAATTGATTTTCATACCATACAGGAATGAAGTGAACACAATTGCTGCCAGAGAAGGAAGGGATGATCCACCATAAAATACTATTTGCCCAGCATGTAGTCAGAAAAAACCCAAACGCTAATCAGTAATCACCACATATAGTGTTCTTGAATGTGAGGATGCAGAAAAGGATTTTAATTGTCCTGCCTTCATGGTCTGGTCAGATTCAGAGGTCTTGATAGTCAGGAGGTAAAAACGATTGAGCCAGAAAAGCCTAAAACAGAGCAGGATGATGTAAGAATTATTCAATAATCCAATTTATCATTTCTCCATATTCCTGTTTTAAAGTCACGTTGATCACATTTACTAAACCAGTCTCCAAATGGTGACCTTTTATTTCCTTTCCTTCCTTCTTCTACTTTGCTGTCGCTGCTTTGATAGCGCAATATGTGGGAATTTATTCATTCAAAACAGGATTTCAGCAGCTGCCTTCTGTGGCCTCAGACCTCCCCTCATCCTTTGTGTTTCTTTTCCTGAGTTGTTTAACACATACTCGCTTTTGATTATGATTTTGGTCCGATGTGGAGCGGTAGAAGCAGCTGTCGACACAACTAAAGCTGAGGGAAGCCGACAAGGATGCACCAACAAATGTTAGCTTCAGTTGTCAAATGTACTCTTTCCTCAAAAATAGTGAAGGACGATTTATGAACTTATCTTTTCTATGTATTGATTCGTCATAGATCATTTTCGGTTATAGGACTTTTTGACACAGCTGATCATTTAATCATTTGAAGATCAGCCCGAACAATGGAGAAGAATACCAAAAACCTCCCTCTGGACAAATCTAAACCTTCTAAAACTTTCATGCATTCACACATCATTCACAACACATCAGTGCCCACTGAGGAGAGGAAAGTGAAAGCTACCAGAGCGTGAAGTGCATCATCTCTGAGGTTATAGCACCTGTGACTTAACTGAATGAATCAACAAACTGAGCAAGATTAGCAGAATTTCTTCATTTCATTGTTGTGTGTGATTGTAGATGTGTGACTAGATTTCAAAACAATATTCAAATTTCTGTGAATGCCTGCATCTTTCTCCAGAAAGAAACTGATTTTTATGAAAATACTGTCAAAACAGCAGCACCACTGCCTCACTGAAATCCCTAAACTGATACAAGCAGTAATGTGCAGTGTATAAGCGATTATCAAAAAGCTGCAAATAAGAAGAAAGATTAAAAAAAGATCACAGATGATATTAAGCTTTTGAGTTCATTTACCGCAATCTGAAAACATAGCTGTTTGAAAAAATATATTTTCATTTAGACACCAAACTCCTTTTTGTAGGATCTTGACAACAATTAACATAATTTCAATAAACATAATAAAAATCTAAATAAGTAGAGTAGAGTGCATGAAGCTAACACTCTGGCTTATTAATCTTATTAATGAACTTCCACAGTAATAAAATGACAGAAACAACATAATAAAACAGATGACTGCTTTAGTTTTAACACCTGTCAGGATAGCTGTCTACAGCATGGCCCTCTCAGTAAATGTTGTCCCGGGCCATTTCCTTTATCGCCTCTTGGATAGACCAAGCCTGTTAGAGCCCGAATAAAATCTGCGTCACAAATTTGCGGGGTTTAAGTTTAAAATCTCAATTATAATTTCACGTGGGATAGTAAAAACCAAGCTCTTCTTGAATGTACACATTGCTATTTAATCCCTTGTAAATGGGATGACATTGATTGGTGCTGCTCTGCTGCAGTCAATAGCTCTTTAAAGAGGGATGAGGTCATACTAGAGCCCGTACACTGAATGCGAGGGTGAGGCTCTGATAAAGACACGGGTCGCATTAACGCAATGAATAGTTTAAGATTTGGTTATAGATTAAAAAATGCTGCACTACAGGTCAAGTCGCCTCACACAGGCAGCAGAACTGATATAATTATCTCTGGTCACATGGATTCTGCCTCTTATGGCATCGATTGATGTGTTATTCAATCAAAATGCATAATCTTCACTGAAATGAAAATTAGCTAAGAGAGAAACACAAGAAAATTAAATTGTTCAGATGATCACATTAGAAGCTTTAATCTCATTATTTAGTCCAATTATGTCCCTTAATGTTTAATAAAATGAGTCAATTGAATGTTGAGTAAGTATTTTTTTCCTTCTTCTCCGCAGAGTGAGTCAGTCAAATACTTCCTGGACAATTTGGATCGTATTGGACAGCTGGTGAGTATCACTGAAAGTTTTCCGTCTATATTTCAGAACCCTTAAAATCAGACAGAAAATGAGTTTCTCCCCTTTTCAGAACTTCATTCCAAGCAGGCAAGATATTTTGTTTGCACGAAAGGCGACCAAAGGGATTGTCGAGCACGACTTTGTCATCAAAAAGATTCCTTTCAAGATGGTGGATGTTGGGGGTCAAAGGTCGCAGAGACAGAAGTGGTTTCAGTGTTTTGATGGGATCACATCGATACTCTTCATGGTGTCGTCATCAGAATATGACCAGGTATGTGATAACAGGTAGTACGTGATAATGATCACACTTTCTTAAGAGCAAGTTTTATAGAACAATATAACCAAACAGAAATTTGCAGCCAAGGGAAAATCTGAGGAACAAATATGTATAAATGAGAATGTCCTCATGCTATATTCAATACTGTTATATATAATTAAAACTGTGATATTGGGGATGAAGAATATTTTTTTTGTAACTAGAAAATTACCAATTTTAGGCATAAACTTAAGCAATTGCTGTTATGTTATTGTCATGTCATCTGCACACTGGTGTTTTTTGGATAGACCAGCAAATAATCACCTTAAATTGTCACAATGATTGCAGAATGAATGAAGCTTTGTGCATCAATGAAAGCAAAACCTGCTAAAATCTAATTTCAGCTAAACTTCAGATTTGACCAGTTGCTCATTTGGTGATGTTCCTAATGTGTTTTGGAAAGTGCAAATTGCAATGAAAAGCTCAATTTCAAACAAAAATCTTGTCCTGCTTTCATTTGAGTTTCTGGATCCATTAGATAAACAAGTTCCAAGGGAAACATTTTATAGCCATAAAAGACCCTGGAAGAGAAATAGTACATTTGACATTCCACTGAATCTGTGGGGTGGGTCTGTTTCTGACTGGTTGAGTAATTCCAATCTTTTAGCTTTCAGTTCTACCACAGGATTTGGAACCATACAATACCATACAGTTATTTGAAATTCTCAGTTGTCTAAGGGACAGGTCTAAATAGATGAGAGCCATGCTCCAACTCTTATGTAAAGCTGATGCTATGGAAAGTTTTTCAAACCTTCTCTCGACTTTGGGAATTATGAAATAGAGAAGAGAGACACAACATCTGAGTTTTATACAAAGCTGTCTTTGTGGGACGCTGAGGAAACTTGATTGTTCCTGCAGTCGTGGCTCCAGTTCAAATCAACGGTCATATGATGGCGACCGAATCCTTAATTGCTGCGCTGATAAGACCTTAAAAAACCAAAAGATAATGCTGAAAGTGTGTTTTTCCAGGTCCTGATGGAGGACCGCAGGACAAACCGCCTGGTGGAGAGCATGAACATCTTCGAGACAATCGTCAACAACAAGCTCTTCCTTAACGTGTCCATCATCCTCTTCCTCAACAAAACAGACCTGCTAGTGGAAAAGATTTGTAAAGTGGATATTCGCAAGTACTTTCCAGAGTTCAGAGGAGACCAACGCAGGCTGGAAGACGTACAGGTACACAGACTTTCCACGTTAGATTATCTCCTTAAACACTGCAGATATGTAGGTACTTTTTATATTTTGCCTTATTCTGTTAAACTGCAGCGAATAAATCGTTTTGCACTTAAAGAGAAGAACCAATCAAAGGCTGTCACTTCTTTTGACAAACATTGTCTAAGGTAATCTCTCCAGACGTAACTAGACTCCACTTTGTCCACAAAAGTGTGTTTTGGCTACGGGAATGACACCTTTTGTACACACAAACACAGGCTCTCACTGCTCCTGCTCTCTTTCTTTCAGGCATTCCTGGTGCAGTCCTTCAGTCGCAAGAGGAGAAATCGGGGAAAGCCACTTTTCCACCACTTCACCACTGCAGTCGATACAGAAAATATTCGCTTTGTCTTCCATGCCGTCAAGGACACCATTCTGCAGGAAAACCTCAAAGACATCATGCTGCAGTGACGTTCCCGCCGCAGACGCTGGCTTCTCTTCCTGACACTGTGAAACTAGCCGTGAGTCTGGGCTTGAGGACTAGTCGGCAGCTCTGCCTCTCTGACACTGCAACCCATGAATGGGGAAAAAGTCAGTGGATCCAGCCGAACTCTAAACCTGTGGATCTATCTGTGTCGGCCACCGTAGACAGTTTGCATTTAACCTGTACTAAAGTGTGTCTGCTGAAATGAGGATGAACAAGGACGAGCGCACCAGCGACCCCACACGAGCACTGAAAGTGTTCTTTTCTCTTGTGTATATAAGAATTTTGACAACCTTGTCTCTAAACTAAGTCAGACTGCTGCCTGTTGTAAAGCTGAGCGAGGGGGAGGGAGTGCAGAGACAGAATGAGGAGGGAAGACAGAAGGTTGAGAGCAAGCTGAAGAATGCCTTGTTTAAAGGTACACGTGACGGAGGCAGAGGGGTGAGGGTCTGGGCCCAAGCTGGTCATATGCTGTGTTATGTGATAAGGTTGCACAAGTGTTCCTGTCAATGAACTTTAACAGAAGGAAGAGACAAGGCTCTCTTACGCTCCTCTGTGCTGTCCTTTTTTTTTTCCTCTTCTTGTGTTTGCTCTTTTTTCCCACCATTCGTACAAGATATGAACAGCTGCAGAGAGCAAGTTTTATTCTATCTGTCTCTCCTCTCCCGTTCTTTCCTCCTCTCTCCAGTACAATAGATGGACTGTTCCCTTCCCTTCCAGCAGAAAGAGCAGACAGTCAAATTAGAGACTCATCTTTGTAGAAAAGTAATACACACAGATGCCACTATTATGCATCGCGTATGATTCATCTCTGTCCCCATGTCTTTCCTTTCTTTTCCTTCCTTTTCCACTGTCCACTCTTTACTAAAAACGTCAAAATAAACCAGGCTTAAGCCGAGGCATATTCAAAGTATTTACTAGATGTTTGTGATTTATGATTACACTGCCTGTATCCATGCTTGTTGTAAACACGAAGGGAACAAGTGAAGATATCGAGATTGAACTGTAAATGACCTTATCCTTGGGTTTCTTGCAGAAAAACTTAAAAAGACGCAATAATCTCACTAAATTTCGGTAACATTTTCTTCTTCTGACATATATTTCTCCACTCTTTTCCCAACGTTTACCTAAACAGAACTGTGTAATTTGAAGCTAAAAGAAAATTTTCCACAGCCCATGCCTATGCAGTTCAATGTTGCCGGGCAACAGGGGCTCATCCCGCGAGCAGCCAAAGGTCAGCTGAAGATGCGGTTGCAGAAGTCACACAGCACTAGATATTGCACTTCCACTGGTCCTCAGGAACCCTGTTGCGAAGGTGGAGTTAAATTAGATGAGCAGTAGGGGAAATCAAAGCACACACACAGATTCCCTCATGTCTTAGTTAAATCCTTATCTCAAGACAATTAGGCTAACTCGTCACACTCAGCTTTAATTTCTTTTAGCTGCCTCCAGCTGCTGGGGTTCCTTTGTGAATTCATTTACTCTGAAGTCAGTGTTTGCGACATTGCCAATCAGTGTGTTTTGCATAAGTGACAGAGAGTATGAGCTGTATCTATAGGGGGGTTCTCATGCCGGTCCTCACAGTTTCGTAAAAGTTTTGACCATAACACAAGTCATTTTTTTGTGTTTTAAACAAAGTTTGTTCACTTCACTCTCACAACTCGCTAGTGTGAGCGCTGCAAAGCTGCCATTGAGCTGCTGGCCCCTCAGAAAATCACTTTGTTTTCCAAGAAATGTGGTCACATCAACTTAGAACCAAAAATTGCCCCTCTTGTGGGATAACTGAGCAGCTGTAAGAGACCCTTTTCCCAATTTACAGAATGATATTTTCAGTCGTTCTGACCATATTTGTAAAGGTTCAACACCTAAATGGATTTTTATGGCAATAATCAACAGGTTTTAAAAAAATACATGTTTTACTATGCCTTGTGGACTTTGTCGCCATCCTCAGCTAATATTACCGTGTTAACGAACTACACTCGTGCATACAATATTTTGCTGTTGTGTGTTTTATGATGTGAGAAAAAAACATTACTGTAATCAATAACATAGCAATCAAAACTATCCACAGATATCTTTTGATTCGGGTTAGCAGAGAGGTTAACTGCCTGCTGAGCATAAACAAAATGCTGTTGCTATGGTTACTTGCAGCTCAGCTTACCTAGCGCACTGATTTAGAACAGCGGTTAAGCTGCCACCCAGAACCGGGTCTGGCATGCTTTGTAGGGACTGTGATGGAGGCACGCTATCTCCAATATTCATCCATAAAAACATGCATTCAAATTAACATGGTAATGTTGATTTGATTTCCAACTTTTCGGGGATTTACATCTTGGTGCAAAGCAGTGGGACATCATGTCTAGGTTGCTCCTCCTCCTGCAAATATTCAGTCTAATTGGCCTTAAGGAGCACAAACCGCAAACACTTCAACGCACATTACTATTGAACTGCATTCATTTGAGAGTGTTCATTTTGGTATTTTGCATGCCCCTGCTCGCTGTGATTTGAATACTCCGGGTATACAACTGACACTGTGCATAAGTACAATTCAAACATCACTCTAACAGCACCACTTTAACCGTTATGTTGCTGTAGCGTTTGGCCTTAACTAATCTACCTTCTCCACTCACGCAAGTTTCAAAGTGTGTGTCATTGCACTGGATGTTTCTCAGAGAGATGACCAGAAAGAAAATGTGTATGGAAGAAAAAGGCAACAAAAAAATAAACAGGTGCAGAGTTTGAAAGGCCAGCACGAAGAAAAGTGGGAGGTCCTTTGCTTTTTTTTTTTCTTTTGGTTTTCCAGTGCCTTGCCTCTGTGCTCTGTGGTGAAATACACTGCCGTTTGCTGACATGCTGTTGCATTATTTTCTCAGTGTGAGCGTCACTGTGTGTTTGACTGTGTATGAGTGTGTGTGTGGCTAAAGCTAGGGGTCAAGACCCTATGAGCTGGAAAAGGAGTGGTAGTGAGATTAACAGAAGAAGGGGGAATGATAGGATTGGGAGGATTTTGAAAAGTTTTTGGAGTTCATGAAGAAGAAATTTGTAAGAAAAAATTCATTCAGATATGTTTTTCTTATTCCCCGTGGCGCTTATATCAGTATTTATGAACGTGAGAGATTCTCTTGCAAAACTCAGAAATCAACGAGGCGAAGCCCCCGATAAGTAATGTCACACTGATGTACAGCCGAGGCCAACTGTAAGCTCTCATTCCACATAATGTAATATGAAGCTCATCAGCGAGCGCTATCAGACCGCTGGGCATGAGAGCAAAGCTGAAACCGGGCAATATCTCTGTTACCCAGTAGAGTCTGACCTTTGCTTTGGCTTTTAATCAGAGGAGCTCGGCTACATAACTGCCTCTAAGTCTCAAGAGAGAGGGAGGGGGTCCAGAAACAACTAGACCAGAGTTTTAGTGTTGTTTCAGAAAATCACTGGTCAACATAGATTTATTTACACAGGAAGTGAGCAGAATGTAATTTACGGACTATACATGTGCTCTGCAGAAACTCATGTGACAGACTGTGAGATCTCTGGCACCCAAGAAAAAACATGACCTTGTAAATGGCTAGGCGCAGACTGGGGGAGGGACAGACAAAGGGAGGAAGAGGGAATACAAGAAAAAGTAAGAGGATAGAGAGAGGGAGGAGGGGAAGGAGGTTATGTTTCCTCTGAGCCCACTTCCTGTACCGATCCCAAAATGGAGTGACTGTAAGAAGAACGACATCCCTCTGCCTGTTTTCAGTAACCCCCCTCCTCCAACACGCACACACACACACACATGCACACAAAACACATCAGAGAAATCCAAACCAGCCTCCTGTGGTTTCCTACAAAGGAGGAAAAAGCAGGGAGCAGAAAAATATATCCCCAGTGGTCTTTGAAACACAAGGAAGCATTGGCTCACAGAGGCATAGAGGCGAAGTACACTCTGTCCTCAAGTTGCACTTGAACATGTACATTTTATCAGCAGCCACTATATGTGATTCTATTCCTGTATAACTTCATGCTGTGATCAGCCCCACAGCGTTGCAGTGTAGCTGAATGTTGATGTACTCGTGGGGTCCATTTTTAACATTAGAATGCTGTTAAACAGCTTGAACAGATCAGTGTTATTTTGTGCATTTAAACACAACCTTATTATTTTGGAAAATCACATTGCAAACTGTATCTTTTCAGATATAATCTTAGCAACCTTTTGGTAAATATAGTTAAACTTTTTGGCTTCCAAACTAAACATTCTTGACAGAAATGTTTTGTTATGCAAAAAAAAAAGAAGTGATATGGTGGTTTACAATTATTAGTAATAACCCCTCCATGTGAGTGCATAGCTAATTCCGGAGGTTTAAAAGTTTTTTGTTATGGTTATTGTGGCTGCACACCTGTAAAGATGGCAAGTAAATCACAGACTCTAACCCCCACAGTTGTACAACGACCTTTGCACCACAGAAATAAAACAGGAATCAGTGACTACAAACACATACAATGCTAAGGTGGCTGTAGCTTCACCTTGGCAACCACTTTAAAATGCACACTGTGTCACTGTACGGTGCACACGTTAAAGAATGCCCTGCCACGACACCGTTGCAACTGGAACCCCAGTAGAACAAGTGAATAATGATCCTAACCACACGACTTGTGTTGCCTTAGCAACTGTTTGGATCACAATCCGTCATAACTAGCCCAATATCCCATCGACCATCTGTTAAAGCCCAACCAGTCACCACAAACACAATTTCAACAACCAAGAACACAGGACAACAAAAGTGAAAGAGTCATTTGAAGTATTTCCTAAAATGCCTTCACGGCCATGTGATGACGGAATACGTGACTGAAGTCGCCAGACAATGCTCTGCACACCAACAACTGGCAGCTTACCTCACTGTAAACGCCGTGCTTAGTCAGCACGCTTGTGTAAAGTGAACTGTATTATTTCATGCCCACTGCTATGCCTTTTTTTGGCGCTACTTCAGAAAACCATGAGATTTTAGAAACCATCCATTGACTATTTTAGTATTCAAAGATCTGAGTGTAATGTCATGCATTTATCTGTTGTTTATATGTGAGTGTCTGTGGGAGTTTTTGTGTGTGAGGACGGCTGCATGTGTGCGAGTATGTTTGGTCTCATGACTCTGGTTAAGCTGATGTTTCCCTAAGGCTGTTTTGATTGGACCTACAGCTGAACTCTGATATTTAATAATGAGCAGAGCACACCACACACACAGACACAAGGGCTAGTCAAACGATTGAATCATACAGTGAACTATAAACAACTAGCGGCTCATTAGCTGATGATTTGACCATGACACATTACTGCACCCCAGGCAGCCACATCATTAAACCACTTCTGTTTAAGTTCACACTGACAATATAATAAACTCATGTCTTGCTTCTCATCAGATCTACAAGATGTGTTTTCAGGGGAATATTGAAAATAAAACAAAGATGAATGCATGAAAGCAAACACACTCCAACTGTTCAGCTAATAGCAAATACAGATAAATATACATGAATGGTTTACAACTTTAAATTGTAATTTCAAAATTCACAAAACAATCTAAATGAAATCAAAACAGTTAAATACTCCTGCGTTAAGTTTTAGTATTCCCATATACACTTCCATTGTTAAACAGAATATGCAGGTTGAGGGCAGAGGAGCGCTAGGCAGATGTCGCCCTCTGTAGGTATGAAAAAACATCCCTGTGCAAGACTATGCAGCAGTTTTGGATCCCATCCTTTATCCTGCACTGAATGCCCAAATCAATAACACTTTCTTTTGAGGACAGCACATAATTTTCGGGTCCATCATAAAGACATCACAAGCGCAAATACAAAGGATTTGCCATCTGCAAACCATTTAGAATTCTGGGTACTTGAAAGGACAAAATAGCTCGGCCAACATCTTTTAAAGCTAGTCAGTCCAGTAACAGCATTCTGTGACCAGACAAAGAAGGGTCAAGATGTACCTAATCAACCAGACCAATAAAAATACACAGGACCACTGGACCGGCTCATGATCTGAGGTGACGCATGGCATCGGTGTGATGGCATGGTCCGCATAGAAAAAAGTATGTAGTGTGATCAGGTCATGTGACAGAAAGTAGAAGGAGCTAAATGTATTCTAGGAGGAATGTATGGATATGTAGAGACCACCTGACATAAGTACAAACAGTCAAGTTTGCATATCTGTGATGAGTTTAAGAATTGTTCATTTTGGTAAAGAATGCAAAATGCTCCTAGATTTATGTGTTTAAGGCCATTTTTCAGGTAGGATGCATATACAGAAGTTTTGTCTTTTCAAGTCATCTTAATTAGAAACAAGTGTGCAGAGACCAAGGGACAACATATAGCAAAAGGTCAGCAGCCAGGATGTGTGCTGCCCGACGGTGCGGGATGCGTTTAAACAGCCGGTTTCTCCTCCTGGCACCTCTGCTGTCAAAAGCCCAGCAGTGTCAACAGTTATCACAGTTTGGTTTGTTCGTTTACAGACCAAGCTGTGCTTACCAAAAGAAAAGCAAAAATCCAAACGTGTTTCAACTTTATTCTTTGGCACACCCAAAGCATTGGTTTATTGAACTCGTTTAAAGAAAAAAAAAGTACAAAATTTGACTTGCAAGCCTTGTAACACTGTACAGATTATTACGTTTTTTCCCTTTTTTTAAACAATAGCAGTGGTCCTGTGGATGAGCTGTCTACAGTATTAGTCAGAGCAGTAAATCTATCACACATGATTCTACAGTTGATAAACATTCCTCTTCCAGTATATTTAATCTCTGAGTTACTCTCTTTTGACAACCTGAACATGAGCTCTGAGTAGGTCTGATTAGGACATTTAAACAAATCCGTATACTTGATCTAATTGTTGTAATTGGTCAAATATACATTAACTTGATTTAACAGAGGCATGTTGTTACCACTCTTTAAAATAATTTCCACTGTCGAAGTGGTTGTTATTAGTTATGTTTTTTTTTATCCTAAAACAGTTTCAATATTCTCTTCGCTGTTGTTTCCCAGAAACAAATTTTTCCAGAGGCTCAAAAAATGTTTTCTTTAAGATCTTTTCAAAGCCTTTGTTAGGAGGGGCTGAGTAAAATACAATTAAATAAATGTATAAAACAAGCACAGCTGTATAAAAACCTTTTTCACAGCACTGTAACCTTTCAGAGAAGAAAAAAAAACAGCAGGGGCTTTACAAAAGCAATAACCGTGTTCTGTCAAGGATTTTTTTTTCTGCGCATATGGAGCATAGAGTCCGGAGTCATATGAAAGCTATTTGGCTTTGGGGGGCAGATAGTAGGGGTGAAACAGCCTCTCATGGGCACAGATGTGCAGAGCAGCATGTGTGTGCATCAGTAACCGTGGAAATCGTGAGGTGAAGTAGCTGACAAAGCCTTCAGGCAGCTCTCCAAGAGTCTCCTGCACTTCAGGTGGCAACTCATGGTAGTGATGCTTCTGTAAGATCCAGAATTCAAAAGCAAAAAATAAATAAATAAACTTGTGTGTCTGAATAAGTATGTTACAGTTAAAATGTTTTCAAGTAAATAAGCTGACCTTATTCCTCATAGCTCTGAGCAGATCTCTAACGGAATTTCCTTTATATGTTCTGAACCGCCTCAAATCTGGAGTACATATCAGGAGAGGAAAAAAACATTTGTGATTTCTGTTTTCGGGCACATGTGAAGCAGACTTTGCAGTCATGTGGTTACACATTAATGGCTTTATGAGTACCTGTCTGCAGAGGCACAGAGATGTGCATCCTCCAATTGGTACGAACCACTGCTCGTCCCGCAGTCTCCAGTCTGACCACTATGGGACTATCAGCTGGCTCCTTCTCTATGCGGTCACTCACATCCTATCAGCGCACACACATACACAAAAGAAACTTGAAGTTGTGCTGAACCAGCTACTTGAATGCAATAGAAATGTAGAGATAAAAAGCAGAAATGAGACAGTTCCACTGTCGTAGGAAAAATCTGAAGACCTGGAAAAAGAGCAGTTGCTTCTCAGGACTCCAGAAGAATGGATGTTTGAGCACACAGGCGGTGGAGGGACGTGACTCCACCTCAGCACTGATCATTTGTTCGATCAGATCCCGCGCGATGACATCATCTGATAGAACAGAGGTAGACATAAAGTTTTCAGGTCAGTCGTGAATCATTTAGGTTTTAGAATGAGTTCAACTGATTCTAACAGTGGCCCTTTATTAATCTATTCCTCTCACACAATCAATTTCAATTTAGATAATTTGTGAGCTTCTGTGTTTTTCCTGCTGATGACTTTCCACAGTGTAATACACTGAGCTCTTTTGGACACCGGCCAAACGTCCATGACAAGCAAGTCAAAGGCTACTATTACCGTGCATGTCCTCCATAAAGTGCAAGAGTGAGTATTCTCCTGACAGGATGTTTATCTGTCGTCTCAACGTTTCACCAAAGGGGTGCTGCCCTCTGCTGACCACATAGTAAAACACGCAGCCTGCTGAGAAAACGTCCACTGCAGCTGTCTGGAAAGATGACAGGGTAAACAGAAACAAGTCGTGTCATAACCAGAAAAATGTTCAAAGATTAAGACCATATATTCAGAAAAAGGTCAATTTTGCTGCAGCTTAAGAAAAAACGGGTTTATCAAACTTGAGCTAAATTTACATTTAATTATGTTAAGTTTAATCGATGTTTAAGGAAGAATTCTGCCTGGTGAGATGTTTGTGTGCATCCTACTGGTTTAATTCCAGGTGTATCTCGCAGTACTTCGGGAGCTATCCATCCTTCTGTTCCTGGTATTCCAGACCGCAACGAGAAGCTGCTCTGACCGTCTGGAATCTTCTTACAGAGACCAAAATCTGAGATGAGCGCTCGAACTTGACCCAGTGCACTTGGACCCGAAAGGAGAATGTTTCTAGGTTTTAAATCTCGATGAACTGTCGGGAAAAAAAGTACGAATTTCAATTTTCACCTTTGCGTTGTCTCTACTGTAGGTTAAAAGCACCACAGAACACTGACATAATTATGAGTCTATAGCTCTGTGTAAAGGTTTATCTCTGACCTATATTGAGTGAGTGGAGATGCTGGAGACCACACATAGTCTGTTCCAGCAGGGTTACGGGATTCAGCTCCGGAAAGGAAGATGGATCCTCCACATACTGAAGAAAATGCAGACAAGGCAAACAGACACTTTACTTCCTCATAATGAATGTTAGTGTAATTTACATTCAAGGCTGAGACACACAGCACTAACAAAGTCCTCCTGTGCTGACCTGTTGCATGGTTGCGGAACACAGCTCGATGGCAATGTAAGTGAAGAGGTGGTCTCTCTCTGTGCAGAAGTATCGGATGACGTTCGGGTGTGTGTCAGACTCCCGGAGCAGCTGAACCTCCCGCTCTGCTACCTCAAAACACTCCGGCAGGATTCGCTTTACAGCCACTTGTCGTCCATCAAATTTGCCCCTAATGTTTTAAAGAGGAACTCAGTGTCCACATACTTGTATTTTCATGTCTTTGTATTTTTAATCAAATAACATCTGTGATTTTTGTTGGTAAGCACGCGTTTCGAGGAAAACCTGAGCTAGAAAGCACACATTTTTCAGGTTAAAAGGACAGCTCTGCCAAGCTCCTACTCACTCAGCTCTTTCCACCTTCAGCGGTCACCATCTTTGTAAAATTCTGCAAGTATTAATCATTTGCAGCACTGGCATCTGTGGGGGTGAGCTGCATTGCTGTGTTTCTCTCACTTTCATCACTCACTTTGGATTTTAGAGCTAGGTTGATTAACTCTCCCCCATCTAATCTTTTAGTCAATGCTGAATTCATAAATTATTTGATAGTAAAAAGTACTTTTAGTCTTTTTATAATTGTGGTTGTTGGTGAGTAGGAGCTGGGAGGAGCTCTAAGGTGATAATGTTCCTTCATACCACAATGATCAGCGTCTCTGAACAGGAAAATTCCTTGGCACAGAAGTTAAGTTTTGCAGATATTTTGCACTAATGATCTAAAACAAGCAGCAGCCAACAGAGCCAATAGATAAGATAAAAATATATACTATACCTAAAGACAAAAGTTCCTGCTGTGCCATGTCCGAGCACCTCCACCGGAACAAAGGAGATTTTTCCAACCAGCACTTCATCACTGTTTCCTTGTAAAAGAGATGGAAAAGTACAGTGTCATCTTATCTTTAAATCACACCATTTTTTCCTATTAATCTGATAAATATTTTCTGTAGAGATCTACCAATGGATTTAGTTAAACAGTCTGCAAATGTTGTAGGGGCTGATATTTAGTAACAGTTTATCGTCTTATTAGTTGTTTAACAAATATAAATAAACAAAAAGAAAAATGTGAGAGAGAGTGGCTTTATTGATTATTCAGTTGAATTAATGCTAAGTATTATTTTTCTGTATTTTGAAAAAGATGCACAAATATCAACTTGGCACTATGGCCAGTTGAGTTAAGCTGTGCAAATAAAAAATATTGTAATTAGATCTAAGCCTGACTGATCTTGATGTACATGTTTTGTTTAGCTAACATGTTATTATGCATTTTTGATTGGTAGATATGATTTGTGATGTGCTTATTTCGATTTTTGTGTTCATTTTTGGCGCAATTGGGTTCTTACCTGTAGCTGGTCTGTTGTCAGTGTTGCCATTATCTACATCTGAGGTGGTACTGCTATGGCTGTGAGGGCCAGGTAGAGCATCAGTTGATGCAGGTGGAGAGTCTAGATCCAGAAAAGAGAGGGCACATGTGCTGTAGGTGTTACATGCAAATAAAGCTCTGCCTTACCGCTTTTAACAATAAAATAAATAAATGCAGCTTATAACACAAAGAAAAGTGATTAAGAAACCTGTTTGTTATTATTGAATTCACTTAAAAAAGCAAAGAAGCAGTGGGGCTTCTTTAGCAAATCTTGTTTAAAAGTTAACGTACATACCACTCGTGATATCTGTGTCAGTAGATGCCGTTACGTCTGCAGACTCTAAAGTCTGATTGTTTGTTGTCTGCCTGTGGGTCAGTGTGTCTGTCTGCATCTGCTGGAGGTGGGACTCAAAAGCTTCCTCCAGCTGTCTTTGAGCTTTCAAATGCTTTGCTGTTTGCTGCAGAAACACACAAAGACACAAGACAATGAAAACAGAAGATGGTAACTGTAAGAGGAGGGCACATAGACATACATATATATATCTGTATATACAGAAAGTGAACACCTGAATTCCAAGGCATGCGTTTGAAATACACAGTCAAACTCACAATTGGACATGTGAATGCAAATGCAAGCCATCCTCCCAGCAGCAATGTCAGGACAGCCAATGTCAGATGGTCCTGAGTCATATAGACAGGCAGGACAGTGGGCGGCCTCTGAGCCTGTCCTGTTGTCCTGCTATCAGCACCTCCTTTGTTAGCATTAGAGTCACCGTGGACACTGCTCTGAAACTGATGGGCAAAAGAAGCAATAAAAAATACCTGAAAAGTTTGTACTTTTTCCTTTGTGTTTAAGAGAAGCTATTCCTTAGCTGGCTTTGAATGGTTACAGAGTTACATTAAGTAATTTCTTTGTTCTTTATTCACAGATAGATGAAGACAGAAAATAGTGGACTGTTAAAGGCTGTCATAAAAAACATACATCCTTATGTGTAAACTACAATAATGGTATATAAGTACTGTGTCTCACATAGTGCTGCTGGTGGTGGTGGAAGGCAGAGGAGACAGGAGGGGGAGAAGATCGAGGGGGGATAACTGCCTCACCAGAATGATGCAGAGAGGCAGGAAAATCCCTCAGCATGGTGGTGTGAGCTACTGGAGGGAGTTCATGGTGACCTACGGCACAAAACATCACAGACACAATGAATTTACAGCTGCACAGAAGTCTGTCCTGTCAGGCTGGGGATCATCATCAAAACAGTTCAAACATAGTTCTCTTTTAGCCCTGATTGCGGTTGATGTAAATCTCTACGGATGTTGGAGTGTTTTTATGCATTTACCGATGAGCAGCCAGTGGTTTTTCTTGCTGTTTGTGCTCCCTGGTGGGTAGCGCACATCAGTTGATGGTGTGATCTCGCACTCTCCTCGCTCACTGACTGTCACTCCAACTGTCACTGGGCCCTCAATCCTTGCTAGGGTTAGTCCCCGAGGCTGCCATAGAGAAAAAAACACAGACTAGTTATCTTCTCATCACTTTGATCACTATCATAAGTGTAATGTTTGTCCCTGAGTGGATGCACTACATCAGGTCCTTGTTTATTCAGAGCGGGAGAATTAATATGATCCACACAACACCTACCTCATCTCTAAGTGCAATAACATGCAACTAAAAACAATTGTAATTTGTGATTAATAGTCACTTAAATCATTGTTACCTTATTCATTGCTACTTTCAAATTTTAGTGTTCAATTTCCTGCACTGTCTCTATTGATATTTTTCTTTTTGACCTGTGTGGCCAGACCGAGCTTATTTGTAAACATGGCTAAAGAAGAATCTGGAATTTTGGAGGAAGCAGGAGAAATATTTCTACTCACCACTAATGACACTCCATGGTGGACAAGAGAAGTTGAGGCATAGAGGTGGGAGTCCAGCTTTCCAACATAGAGTGTAGGTCTGCAGGAAACAAAAGCTGGGTTACTTCCTCAGTTTGGTACTCTTTTCTTGGCATGTCTGTCAGCAACTAAGTCTGATTCATTTCGTGGGTGGGCATCTGTAGGGGGATAACTGAATTTCAAGTAATTTGTTCAAGTACGACTTGAGTGTAGAGCTTGTCAGTAACATGTGGGCACAACATGTAGGGAAATTTGTTCAAACGTTTTGGTTGCTTTGTGTTTTCTAAAAGCATCCCATGACCATAATGATGCTGACATGAAAATCTACCATTTCATAACTGTGGGAAGATCAGTATATACACCGTTTCTCTTACACTAGCTGTGTTTGTGCAGTGGCTTGGTCTTTCACAAACTGATAGCTCCACTTCAGCGTAGACTCTGATTCTTCCTGGTTTTTGGCAGAGGAAAATGTTAGGAATCGTAATGTTTCCATGGCAAGGGACAAGTGAGGGGCATGTCTCAGCGTGTCCCCAGAGTACAGGTACACCCCCACAACCGGTGAACCGTAGTTTTGACTCCACAAGACATCACCTGGAAAACAATATGATACGACAGTTAAAGGACGTCTGGGTGGGTAGAGAAGAAAGATTGAAGAAGGGCTTTGCTTATTCAAACCACACACTTCCCCTTACCTGACTCTCTATCAACTGTAACAACAAGACCATCCCCACTTGACACAAGGTGGGCCATTTCTGGAAGGATTGCACAAAGAGTAAGTTAGCTTTTTTATTTTTACTTAGTCTCAGCTTTTCCTTCGTAAACACTATGCAAACCCCAACTCAACAACATAAATATTCCAATGAATATTCCAAGTGATTGTGCATCCTGAAAAAAGTTTCTCAAGAGAGAAATATCAACAAGAACAAAGACCATAGAAACATCAAAGAAGAAATATACAGTCTAAAATAATAACCTGCTGAGTTTTTAGTCAAGAGATTTCCTTTTTCTTTTTTTTTAAAGAAAAAGTTATCTCACATCTATTACTTACCAACAAAGACATACTGAGAGACATAGTGTAAAATTGTTAAACAGACAGTTTTTAATGGAAATTATTTAATTAACAACAAACTGTACAAAGTCAGTGTGTGCAGAGACATACTGTAGTCCTGCTTCTCATCATAAGGGATGGCGGAGTAATCATTGTACGTGGCACTCCATCGCAGCTCCTGTGTCTTTGTATCAAACATAGTGACCATGTACTCTGCAAAGGACAAAGCGACACACGTCACCATAAAACTTCCTCAGGCACGGGAGAGGCTGTTCATGATCCTGTGTGACATACCTGTCCGCCCAATGTAGAGCAGAGGAGTGTTGGGGCAGATGGACTCAGAGGAGGAGGTGGTTAAACTTGTTTGCTTCTCACCCGTTTCAGGATCCACTACAAACCACACATCCTGCTTCTTTCCTGCATGTGCATAAACACACACACACACACAAACAATTATTCACCAAAAGCAATCATTTCTGCCACATATTTGTTCAGTATGACTCAGTTTCTCTTATGCGTTTGTCACACATATGGATATGTGGTACATATCTGTGCGTACACTAACAGACTGTACATATCTGACCTGTATAGAGTATGCCATCGGAGCTTCTGCAAGGAGCTGACTGAACCAGCTCTGGGATGGTAAAAGGCAGTTTCTAAAGATAAAGAAAGGCATTATGGTTATCAGGTTAAATAAAAAAACATTATGTGGCCCCGAAGACACATAGACAAACCACTGCTTACCATCAAGCCCTCCTTGTGCTTTCCACCAAGTACATACAGGCTGCCATCATTAGGGTCTGGGAGGAAACTTGGTCTAGGTAAAACAATTGTTCATTAGTAAAATTATATATCATTAAGCAGAGTATATATATATTATATAAAGTTCTTATGATCCATGACTTGTGAGAATGAAGGTTTTTTTAGGTTAAGTAATTTTTTTAATATGTTTGAGTGTAAACTCAGAGACTGAGATATTCACTATTCTACAATAAAATGTGGGGTGCGTAAAATGTGGGGTTCTGTTAGGTATCATTCGCATAGCAATGGTATGAGGAGGTATGGGAGCAGATCATACACGGAGGGCTTCCATAGCAAGTAATATAACCCTGAGCTTGAATTGCACATATACTAATTTAATCTTTCTAAATATTGACCATCAAACTAAGCAGAGAAACCAATAATAACAACAATAAAATTATCATAACCAAATTATAAAGTTAGCACGAAGTAATTTGAACTTCAGTATTTATCCTTACATGTACACACACCTGGTGTGTGTTACTTACTCTGTGAGGTAGACAGGTACATGAATAATGGGGTCTGAAAGATTCAAGGAAAGATGCAAACCATTAAAAACTTTTTTTTCTTAAGTTGAGTGAGTGAAGAGCATGGGCAGGTTTGTGTCTGAACCTTCTCTTAAGGTCCACTTGATGTCCCCTGTCTGTTTGGACACGGCATGCAGACTACCATCCAGGGTCGAAACGAACAGGAGGGATTCCGGAAGGGTGACTGACCTGACTCCTCCAACCTGAAATGTAGCGAAAGGCAAAGAGATAGGGAGAGAAAACCTTTAAGCCAGCTGTTAGAGAAGGTCAGTCGTGTCATGTATCTGATTCGGATTTTAACATTACTTGGCATGTGGATGCGCGTGACTTTGTATGAGTGGGTGTGCCAGGGTTTGATTGTCCATGCCTGTGGTGAGTTGGTACTCAAACAACGTTCCTTATTTAACAGGATATCCTTATTCTCTGCCCTCCTGACACTATGCCTGAGGCTGAAAACTTGCATGTGTGCCTGAGTTGCTCATATTGCGAGAGTAAAAATCTGTTTACGCACTGGGGCTTCCTTTTGGGGACAAAAGTAATTCCATGCCACATAGATAAAGAACTTATATTTGGTTTAGGACTATAAAGAAATAAACTTAACTGATTTAAGTTAGATTAAGCTTGTATTGGGAGGTGATAAAGAAAATGAGAGTCATGGCAATGTCCCCTTAAGAGATGGAAATGCAGCTGAGTATATTTGTGTGTGCCTCCACCCCTCTGTATTTACCCACTGAGGGGTGTCTGCTGGTATGGGAGCAGGATCCTGAGGTAGTGCCCTGCCCAAGCAAAACACAGGAGCAAGACACGCGCGCACATGGGCGCGCACACGCACGGATCATTACTTTCTTCGGGCAATTTAGCTGAGCAGCGGGTTATCTAAACACTTAAAACCTCCCCATCATCTCATTGGCAACTTTTCCCGGAGCCATAAATAGACTCGGATGCCAGTGGCGGTCTCCGCTGGGCATAAATAGACACACACCGCGTTCACAACAGAAACACCGTCACACTGCTCCGCGTTTCGAAGTTTACCTGAAAAAGTTGGCCTTCCCAGGACAGCAGGAGAACAGACAGCAGCAGGCGTCCCAGAGCCCCCATGACCCCCAAAACACTCTGTTTCATGGTCCGACAAAAAAACGAAGACCAGAGCTATTCAACTAACAACAGAGGTCGAACTCTCTCTTCATTTCCAGCGCCGACGTCCAGCCGTCACAGCAGCCGCATGACTTCTCCCATCACTGAAAACGCGCTCATAGTGGGCAAAAGTGGCAAAGCTTATAGGTGGGAGTAAAACTTTAGAACCATAGCAACCGCTCCTGTCACTATTTCCCTATTTCCGTGTTGGGAAAGGCTCGGTGACGTCAGCGACAAACTGTCAAAGCGCCGGGGGCCGGATCCCCGTGTCCACCCCGAGCACCTGTCCCCTCGAGATGAGCGCAACGAGTCCTGGCCAATGAGAAGCCGAGTTTGGAGAAGAGTGGGCGGGGCCATGGAAAGGACTGGAACACGTGGAAACCGACAACAGGACAAATGTCAACGCAACAGAAGAAGCTTTTTGTGCAATAGAAAGACGTGGAGGGATTAATTGTTCGTCTCCCGCAGTTACACACAATGACTCAAATTTATGGGAAGTACCTCCATCAGCATGAAATTGTAACTGTTCTTCAGTTGGTCTTTTCATATCTACACTTAAACTGACTTTAAGGAGGGAAATGTTTGCTCCGGTAAATGTATTCTAGTTCCTCGGTGTTTTCATTAGTGCTGATACAACGAGTTTAGTTTTATTCCCTTTGGTTTATTTTCTGAAATGTTTAACGTTTCAGTTTTCTAAAGATACCAATACTTCTCTAAGTCGAAAGGCATTCTCAAAGCTTTTTTTATGATCTCTTTTGTTAAGATTTTTGACAGAAATGACTGACAAAAGTAGGATCCTTAGTTTTAGTTTTGTATATCAAACAAAACTAATGGTAATTTGTGTCTTTTTACAACAAATGAAAACATCGTCCAATTAAATAACGTGAAAATATTTACCATCTCTTTTATTTTCTGCAACATTTCTCCTAAGCGATTTCTTCCTACAGAGCCCCACAGCTTCATCCATGACATACCAAAATACAGTACTATTCACAATGTACAATTCAAAGTGCATTTTCATGGGGACACCAGACTCGGATAAAGTAACTTATAAGCTGTGCGCTTAAAATATTAAATGATAAATAATACTGGCAGGCACTTCTCACATAGGAGGAATGGAAAAAACAGATGAGATACATTGAAAAGGCTGGTCTTAAAGGCATGAACTGGCTGTGCACAGGTAGGCAACACATGGGTTCTTCACACCGTGCATTCCCCAGGCCTCAGATTCGGTGTGGTCTATTGGTGGAGCATGCCGTCGGGTTTAGGGTAACCAAACAGCTCAAAGTCTGGTTCATACAGCTTGTAAAGTTCTTTCCTCTTGGTAATAGGTATCTGTGTAAACCAGTCTCTTTCCCAGCTGGCTGCGGTACGGTTTCGGGCCCCTGAGGGGAAGCGTAGCAGATGATCCACCTTCAGAAGCTTCAGTAGTTGCTCCGCATCGGTTTCAAGGGTTTCTAGTCGTCCAATGAAGTCATATTTCACCTGGCATGGATGGCACAACCGGTAAACCTGCAACAGAGAAGGTATATCTACAGTTTAATATTAGACCCTGTGTTCATATATTGAAACATATGAAAAACTCCTGCACTGTTTTAATCACTAAAAAGGGGTTTTGGCTATCCTGCCTTCACCACGTGCAGTTTGTCCAAACTCGTGATTTCAGACAAACTACATGAGGAGACAGACCAGTTTTTTCTGGAAGGTAGGGTTTTTCTCCATTTGCAGCATTATCTCTCATGTCTTTGGCAGTGTTGTTTGCAGCCACGTGCTGCTGCAGTATCATTCAATGGCTCAGATAAACTTAATTAACTTTTAGAGAAGGTTGGCTCTGATTATTGGACAACTGTGAAGCCCCTGGAGCTTCCCAACAAAATGCTGCCCAGCTGCAACACGAAACAGCCTGTCGTCTGAGACTAATACGATAAGGACTGATAAAGGCGGTCCAATAGCTTTAAATTTTCTTCTTAAAGCTGAAATTCATGACGTATGTGGCTGTATTTTGGGGGGGGGGTTCCAATTGATAACACGATAACATAATATAATTTCCCTTCATCATCTAATTGCTTAGAACAGATATTTGGTCAAATATTTCCATCACTTTGTGGGAAAAGTGTGTATGTCTGAGGCAGTCCCAAACATTTCACCCTGCTAGCTTTACTCAGAAATTGTTTAAAGAAGCTACTCCCCATCTGAGATTAAACCTAAACAACCTTTGGTTCCCAGTCAGTGCCTTTCATTCTTTATTTATCAAATTCTTTGTCTGTGATGAAGTTGCTTTCACCACTCTCAGGGGCCATGTGTGGACTTGGAATAGCTTTTTGTCCACCAGATTTGGTTTTGGGTACATCTGAAACTGGTCCAGCAGTGTTGGAGAACTGTGTCCTTCCCATTCAGAGCTGATTTAATACTTAGCCAGCTGCAACACGCAGAAAAAACTCCTGTGCTTAGTTCTGGTGCCATGTAGTCAGACTACACAGTTTACATAGACACAAAGGGGGACTCAATCAATATAATGAATATTTCATGCTCACAAGTCATTTGGATTGTCACACTGCATACATTTGTGCTAAATGTTATATTGACTCTTTCTTTCTTTATTGTTTTTTTTTTTTTGCCTACTGACAGGCAACATAGTGCCATCCTTAAGACAACAACCGTGATTTCTATGTTTTGAAGTTAGGTTGTATCAAAAAGGGCAGGGACACTGTCATGTTCCATTCGAGGAGACATGAAAAAGTGAGGAAAAGTTGACAATGAACGCAACATCTTTTTCGAAAATCCATTTAAAATTTCAAGCATGCACTGAACATATCAGCATGCAGTGAGAGGTTGCACTTGGGATATTACCTGCCGCCAGTGCTCATTGAAGATGCTTTCCCGCTCGGTCTCTGGATCTAGCAGATATGTGATAAACTGCTGAAATGTCGGTTTGATTCCGGCCGCAAACGCCTCAGCAGCCGTCTGTGGCAAACTCCCTGATATGTTACCATACTGCTGCAGCATGACTGAACCAAACTGCCTGTAGAAGTCCTCATTGGGCCTAAACACACACACACAGAAAAATGCACACGCTAATAATTAATCAAATAAGTGAAAGGACTGCAGTTTAGTCACAGGTGAAGCGCATCCCATTTCCTTAAAGCCAGTGTGCGTGATGGCAGACACACACCTTCCAAACTTGTTCCTGAAGGCAGAGATAAGGCGCACAAAGGGGTCTCTCACAAACAGAAACTTGGTGTAGTGCTGGAGCTTGAGTGCCATCAGGTGGCGAGACAGTGAACCATAATGGCGCCAAAACCTGGCAAAGAGAAACAGAGACGGAACGTAACTTGAGCGCTCATCTGCTGGTGCGAGCCTGTCTGTGTTTTTCTCTCTGTTTTGTCGTCTTAAAAAAATCTGTTCAGCTGCTTGCTCTTTAGCAGAACTGAGCACATTTGGTATTGACATCGGATGACTGCAAACCGAGTCGGATCGCGGCGGAGGGGGGAAAAGACGTGTCCTGTATACTGATACAGACAGAAAAACACATGTCCGGCTCCCGCGGGGCAGAGAAAGGTCTGCCTGTGCTGCAGCACCAAGCCCCGCCTGTCCTTTCCACACACTCCGTCCAGCATCAGCTCATTAAATAGCTCAAAACGCACACAGTTTGACAAACACAGCTCCAGCATAATTACACATCTGAATAGTGGAGGTCTTTATTAGGCTATTTGACGAGGGCGCGCAAGTCCAGTTTTTGTTAGCTAAAGCAATAAGACGCAGAGAGAGAAATGTAATACTGATACACAGAACACAGTAAGTATAAATTCTTTTTTTTATTTCAGCCTTAGAATACACAGGCTGATGCACCTTCATTTCTGAATTGTGAAATTGTGTTAACCCATTTCCTTCCTCTGCTCATTCAAGGATTGAGAAATATGGCTTGCTAGGGAAACTTCCTGCCAAGAGATGGTTTGCATTCTCAGTGTTTATTTTGTTTATGTTTTCTGTGAGGCCATTTGACACTCTTTTGCTCTGACACTGGGCAGATGTGCTTTTACTGATTAGGAATGGTATTAAGATTCATCATTTGGCTTGACTTTGAAAGGAATTTGGTAAGATATTTGCTCATGCAAATGAAAGTTAATGAATACAAACTCTCCTTTGGCGTTTCCTCCCTAATCTAAAAGGCCAACACTTCCTTATGAGAAGCAGAACTTTATTTATCATCTTTACCCTGGAGAGAAAAATTAAGCAGGTGACCTTTGGGATATAACGAGCATTATATTTGCAATCACTGCAAATGTGAAAGTCCGTTTCAAAGTAAGAAAAACCACTGAGGACATTAAGTTCATGCTGAAATTATATCCATAAACCCTACAGAGAGGCCGGGTTCAGCAGGAAGACATTAATAAGTCCCTTTTGGGCTGTGTGTAAAATATTATCTTAACATAATTTAGTATTTAAGAATGATAGGTGCAACAGGGCTGAATTATATGTGATGATGGTAGTAATTTATCATCGGTCCCAGAGACCCCTCTCCCTGACGACACAGCTACACCTGAATCTCTGTGTCTTATCAGTATCTCTAAGGTTCTTGGTGAACCAGTATGGAATGCTGCCTTTTCTCATTCCCGATGCAAAGATTACCACACATCTCCCCTTAAACAGCGCCTCCAGACCAGAATGACTGCTGGTAAGGAAAGCTGTTAGCTGCTTAAAATCTCCTTTTCTTTGTTTGTAGCCCCACCAGCTACAGTGCAAAATCCAAAAACATCCAAATGCACTGACCTCAAAGGGCCTTCTTGTGCATTTCACTCATTTTCAAATTAAATTTAATTTAAAAAAAGGTATTACAAAACTGTTTACATTTCCTATACTCAGAAGTCAAGAATACATATATTAATCTAAGGTAATATTTGAGCATCTTTCAAATGACTAAAAGAAAGCTTCCTGAGTATTTTATACTTTTATAGAAATTTTGAATATGAAAGATGCTTTTGCTCTTCGATTTAAAAAATCACAACTCAATGACTTATATGTGAATGATGTTCACTGAGAGGCTAAAAGAACAAGCAGCTGCCTCATGCTCCACAGTTTTTCATCAACCAGCAGATCCCCGACGGCAGACTGAAACCCAGAGACTCAGGAGCCAAACGGTCAGGGAGACAGAGGGAGAATAACACCGCAGCAAATCTCAGTGTGACATGAATGCCATGGAAATTAGGGCTTAAAAAGAGCTCATCTAAAAGATCCTGCACACAAAAATGTAAGATTGTAAAATAATCGAAACCCTGGTTTCCCTCATTTCCCTCTGTTATTCTTTCTGTTTTTAGCAGACAGAAATGGGAACTGTCCGTCAGGTTCCGCTGTTTAATTCCCAGTGCGATGCTATTCTCAGAAATTGTGGCTGACAGAGCAATTTCGCTTACTGTAAGCACTTAAAGAAGGATCCTTAAACATGCATTATAGGGTAAACACACAAAATAAGCAGCAAACTTTGCTGTGTCATACTTTGCGAAGGTGAGGTGGAGGGAGGAGTTGTGCACAACGTCGGAGGGCACGGCCTCTGGGTCGGTGTAGGGTTTTCCTGAGGACGGCGAGATTAAAGACTGAGACAGAACCACCATGACTCTCTTCCAATTGGTGCACGCCACCTGAACAAAGAGAAGGGACGAGAGACATCAGCGTGAAAAAAGGTCAACCATTCAGAGTATCTGAGGAAATGTGTGCATGTCTGGGAAGGAACGTGTTTGGATTGAGGCCTCTCGATCCACACGCTTCCAACTATAAACAACAATCGCATGAAGTGGCAGAGGGGGAGCGGTACCTTGGGAACATAGCAGTAGATAATCTGGTGCGTGTCATCCACGATCAGGTGGTCCAGCTCTCTGTTGGGGATTTGCTCAAACGCCCGAGTCCTTCCAGGGAACTCCAGTGTGTCCCTTCCTGAACATACATCCATAACCCTCCTCTTTCTCTCCTCCTGTTCCCCGTCAACTGTAGCTACGGGAGCCCTCTTCTTGCCCTCATACTCCCTTGATTTGTCCTGCTTCTGCTCCTCCTTTCTACGTTTCTGAGCTGCTGCTTGGTAGCCGAGAGCAGCGGTGGACGGGGGGGTGGGGACGGTGCCGGACGCACCGGTCTGCGAGCTGATGGTGGACATGGCCGGTGAGGTGGTGCAGCGGCCAGAGTGGAGGGACCCGTGTTTCAGCTCCTGAAAGGGGTAGAGGCTGAATCCGCCCACATCGTCCCAGTAGACGATGATGAGCAGAATCATAAACAGGGACCCCAGGAGGAAGGCCACTCGCAGGCTGCGCCATACTCCCATGTTTACACCGCACTCGGGGCCGTGGCGGGCGCAATAAAAATGCTTGTGGTTATCTCTGCTCCATGGTGGCGATCGATCACGGAAGCAGACACTTCCAGCTCAGCAGCAGCTGCAGCGATGAAAAAAAAGAAAAGAAAAAGAGGACACGAGATTAAGACCCTTTTTCCGAGCGTTTCTTCTTTTCTTAGAGCGAGAACGAGGGGATGCAAATGTAGAACGCTAACAACCAAAAAAAGGAAGTGTGCACTTTAGATTTGACACACAGGTGTAGCCTCTTGCCAGATTTCTGCTAAATATTTCTGGTGGCTCAACCTCACATAACAAGCATGCAGAGACTTGACCCGAAAGTTTGAGCAACCCCCTTTCACGCCATGTCATGAAAAGCTGCATGAAAAAAAAAAGATCTGAAGGCATAAAGCTGAAAGGAAAAGTTTCAAAAACATTAAAGGAAACAAAAGAAAATTCCATTTGAGTGTTATCATCGGTTTATTCAACTGAACTTGGTCTGCCCTCAATGCTGTTTTTAAAATTCACGCTGATCGTTCCAAATTTGGCAAGTCAGCAGCTAGAAAACACTTCCAGCTCTGTCGAGCTATGTGAACATCAACACATTTGTTTTCTGAGTGCCAAGCAGCAACTCAAAGGGGCTGTTTATTTTAGTCTTTTTTTAAAAACTCATTCACTTATTTGACTCTCATTGCATTCCTTTAAAAAAAAAAAAAAACGTGGGCTGGAAAAGATGAGGAACGGTCTACAAAAACGCATGCAAACTGCAAGTTTAAGGTAGTTTTCCCTCAGATTTTCCCTGACGCAGTGTTTCTGATCAGGCTGAAGGTTTCTGTCTTGCACTGTTTTGTCCATTCACATTAAAGAGGCTCTGAAACTGAGACTGAATCCGCAACACTAAGTTCCCTTTCTCTTGTATCACAGTTTCCATCTTCGGTGCTGCAGTTTCCGGGCCACTGACTGCTGTCTGTTGTTCTCCTCTTGTGAGACTAGTACTCTTTCTGTGTCTTTTTTGCTGGGTCACCCTCTTAACTTCCTGTGTTGTGAGCTATTAGTAATCAGAGTTGTGGTAAGAGCTGAGCTCTAAAATCAGAATCAGCCAAGCCAACCCATGCTTCCTTATCCTTTAGTTTATTAAGCACATAACATGCTCCACGTCCTACTTTGATTATGTCATGTGTAGTTACATTAGCCATAGTGTTATTACATATACGAAAACGGGATTTGTGGTTAAATCTTACAATTCTCTACCGGCCATACATTCAGACAGATATTCACAAAAAAAAAGAAAACATTAAATGTTGGAATGTGTAAAACACATTCAATCCATAAGAAAACTGTCTTCCCGCTCTTCTGTGGCTGCATCCTGACAGAAACCCTAGTGTAGAGCAACACAATGACCTGATCTCCCCTACATGATATGCTTGGCTGTGTTTCGGGGTGTTGAGTGGCCCAGGGGCCGTGGGAACCACGGGCTCCACCAGGGACGCTCAGCTGTCACTGAGATGTGAACAAACGGGGCTTGAACTGGAGAAGGGGCAGCTTCAGGAGGGTTTCCACCCCTCTTTGTCTGTCCCATAAAAACATCTGCTGTCGGTGGAGGGGGGGTGAGGGGGGATTATGGAAAGAAAAATGACAGCCCCGGAAGAAAAAAAAAACAGATAAACTCCAGACAGTCAGAAGAAGAAAAAAACGTTTAGCCTAAGCCCAGTGCTCAGATTTTTCTTTCTTTTTTTTTTTTTAAAGAAAATTATGGGTTTCTCTGTGGAAAAAGCAGAGCCCTCACTGACTGGAGGAGTCTGAAGAAACTAACATCCACCAAGTCCCCCTTTTTCCTGCCACGCGTTCCGCACGCGCGGAGAAATGGGAGAAAAACACATTGTTTGTGACCGTAAAATAGCGTGCTCGGTTCAAAGTCTTAACACTGGTCAAAAGAATAAATAAATCTCATACCCGAGGCCGTTTAAGGCGTGAAGACGCCTGTAATAGTGTTTCATATCAGGTTACACGCCTTTAGCTCCTCTAAAAGGACCTGACACTTGCTCCTCTGAGTCGGAGGGAAACAATCTTAATTTGGCCAGCAAACAGGTCACAGTGTGCCCATTCACGGACTGCCGCGGACACTGTTCCTCTGTCATCTCCTCTCCTCTGAACGGCAGCCGCAGAAAGCCTGGGCTTATTTTTTTTCTCCCCACAATATCATTCACTGTAACTCCCCACCGTCTCTCTGCTCATCCTCCCTCTGAAGTCCAACAAAGCTCGGTTCGTCTCCTCTTACGTTCTCAGAGAAAGATCACAGGGAACGTGAGTTTATCTCAATACCAATTTGTCTGTGGGAAAAGAAAACACACACTCACACACACGGCTATTCAGAGAGCTCAGTCTTACCCAGCAGTGGATATCCATGCCGGTCGGTCAGTCCCGTTAAAGTCCCCCCTTTTTCTTGTGTCCGTCTGGCCGGTGATGAGACTGGGCGGGCACATTAGAACTGCAGCGGTTTTCGCTCCCCACTGAATGAACCGGGAAGTCTCGCGAGATACGAGCCATTCAGCCACCCACGCTTCCCCATCACGTTCCATTCATTTTCACCAAGCTCACCAAACACAGGTTAACGCGAGGATTTGGGCTGTAAAATAATAAAACAGCCCTTACCCAAGATTCTGGCTGTTGAATTAAATCAGACACCTCCAGGGGGCCCCAGAAACATCCGCTAACTGGGAACAAATTGTTCTGAGGAATTTTGCCCCTTATAAAAAATTCAGTACAATTTACACTGTTTTTGGCAAGACGATAATAATGTTAACATATTAGGATTTGAAAGCCTGGCTTGAGGAGCATAAAAGTCATAATTTGAATTTGGTGAGGCTTTAGACCATTTATTTAAGTCGTTCCCCCTCTAAAATGACACCATTTTTAAGTTTCAGATTACCTTGTTTTCTTAAAAGTTATTCATTTTTGTTTTGCATTGTGTTCTTCCGTGCACCTTTGATTCCTCTGTCCATTGGAGGACGTTTCTGCCTTCCCTTTTTCAGTTTTGTTAGTAACTTTTAACTGTTATTATGAAACATCTCTTCCTTTTATGTATGAGTTTTACACGGCTTTTACAAACTTGGCAGATTTGCAGATTTTTACCCTATAAAAAAACACTATTTAAAGAAATCCCTGAAATCCAAACAGGAGTATTTCCAATTTTATCTGCTAATAAATGCTGTTATGTTGTTGGAATCTTCAATGTACAATAAAAGGAATCTAATCCCTTGTAAAATGTCATTATAGCTGGGTTCAGAACTGCATCTATTAAAATCTGTAACTTATTTCACAGCCAGTAAATGCTTTAAATCTGCAGGTTGGGGGTACATATAAAACTAAACATTTACACATACAAACGAGGCATCCATTGAATAGGTGATCAAAATGCTCTTCATAGTTGTGCTACTTTCAGATTTTCAACAGCACTGCCTTCTTGAGTTGTAATGTTTGTGATCACTCAGCTGAAAGAATACAAGAACATACTGAGACAACTCCGCTGTTACTGTGTTTGAATGTTTATTTAAAGTTATTCCCACTGCGCACCCTCTCCTCGTGTGAAAGCTGAGTCTGAAAGGAGGAGGATACAGGCCACTATAATGCCACATTAGCACATTTATGGAAAAGGCTACTTGCTTGGTCTCAACACCTCCATCCTGCTCTGGTATGGCACTCTGTGCTGCCCGGTAGTAACACACTAGCATGATGTAACTAGTCCTGAAACAACCCCAGAAGGAAGAAAGTCCAACAAGATGGGGCTGAGAGGTGGTGACTACAACCAATGACTAGAAAAAAATGGAGGCAGTGTTACTATATATCAAGTTCCGCAGAGAAGAAGATTGGGTTAACGATGGTACGAGACAGGAGAAAATGTGAGGTATCTTCTCGTTTGACTGTGGCTCCTGATCCAGAAGACGTGCTCTGATGATGTCACTACGGTTGAAAATTGAGCTCAAAAAGAACCCAAGTTTCACTGCCCGGTTGTCGTCCTTCTCCAATCAATGACGCAGTGCCTCTCTCTCCTCCTTCCACACAACAACAGATGGACTGGAGAAAAAAAGGAAAGCATTACAGCCGGAATTACTTCTCAATAACGGGGGTTTGTGGCCGCAGGAAGGGTCTTAACCGGATAGCTCTAGTCATTCCGACAAATTAAACAAACGACAGGCCAAGAAACATCTGCACTTCTCGGCCCAGAAAGGAAGCCTTAAAACATTTGTTCTATTAAACCTGGAGGAACTAAAGGAAGATCACACAACTCTTACCTGCGATGGGGACTACAGATCTCCAATGGGAATGATTTCTTCGTTGATAAAAAACTCAATGGTCTCCTCCTCCCAGTCGTCCACGTTGCTGTCCAGCTCATCCGTGTCCACTTCTGCGAGAGGGCAAAGAACAAAGAGAGCAGCAACACTCTTAAGTTGTGATCAGAGGTGAATGGGGGCGGGGCAGTGGTGAAGAGTGCGGCTCTACCTCCTCTGAGCTCGAGGCGGATGCTCTTCTGTTCCTGATAGATCTGTTGTGCCGTCTCCCGATAGCGACGGTAGTCGTCCATCATGGCCCTGCGCTTGTCGACCAGCTCCTACTCACACACACACACACACACACAAAGACACATTCAGCTTAATGAAAACTCTTGTGCCTGTAATATGTTACTTGTGAAGTATTAAATGTGTTAATAGTAATAGTAAACAATTATCTTGGTGACCAGAGTTTGGGTTCAAAGAAATTTTTAATATCAAAACTGGCCACCAGAAAAAGCTTAAAGATTAAGCCTCAGCACAGGAAGCACATAGCACTGAGAAGGAAAAGAATAATGGGTCGAACCTTGGAAGCCTTGGACTGGCTCAGACGATCCTTCTGCTCAAAGATCTTGGAGTATTTCTTAAGATCCTTCTTGATCAACTGCAGGAGGATAGATGAAAATATTGAGAATGTTTTTGAAAAATTAATTTTGCATATGCAAAGGCTAAATACACAACAATCTGAGTATGTAGCTTTGTAGCTCAGCAGTCAAATGGTTGGTCACGACGGTAAAAGGATGAAGCTGCACCTTGATCTCATCTGCGCTGAGCAGAGTGGGAGGTCTGGGTCTCCAGAGTAGCTGACAGAAGCGGTCCTTGTTGTTTTTCTGAAGGAGACGGCCTTGGAATGTCCACAGCCAGTATGCATTATCCACCTAAATGCACAAAAGTGGAGTCAGCAAAGGGTGTGAAAAGTTTAAACTTGCACTGGCGCACGTGTTCCAAAAGTGCCAGGCTCCGCCTGTATGAGCAGGCCACACCTTGTGGCTCCACCAGGAGACGGAGGTGACCACGTATCGACCGGTCGGGTCCCACTCCACGTCCGAGGCCATGTAGTGCTCGGCTATGTTCATCATGGTGCAGTCTGACGTGTCCACGAAGGCAAGAGCTCCATTCATACTGAACACAGACACAGAACAGGAGGGTTAAGAGCTCATACGAAGGCATTCAAGTGCCTGATCAAAGAAAGAGACCAAGCCTCAGATCAGCATTAGAATCAGGAGCTTAGCTCTCATATGAGGTGTCAGAAAAATTGTTTTGTTTTTCATCATTGGCTTCCCGTGTCTTCTCATCTCATCCACACAGCTAAACTCACCTCCTGAGGCCGGCCAGAACCAAAAACTGTCCCTGGGGGCTCCAGAAGATGCTGTTGGCCTGCTGCTTATCGAACATCTCTGTGAGACACAAAGTGGCACACTCAGAGGATGTTCCCAGGATAAAAGATATCGGGAAGCACTTCGTTACAGGCTTTGCAAGCGTTTACTTACTGATGAGCTCAATCTTGCCGTTGTTTTTGACATGGTAGAAGGAGGCGTTGATTCTTGGAGACTCGCCGTGAAGGACAGCAAACTTGCTGCCGTTGGGCTCCCAGGCAAATGCTATGATGCTTTCTGAAACCAAAATAAAAATGTGGTCAGATTATTTCCGCGACACAGAATCACAAAACAGTAGCTCTGCTCTTACCCTTCATCTCCACCACATCGACAGGAACCTGCTTCTCTCTCATCCTGAAGATTTCAAAGTTGGTAACCACGCCCTGACGAAGAATAAGAATAGAATGTAACACTTGATTTTCACTTTGCACATTGTTTCCTCTCTTTCTTCAGGTACCTGTGTCCCTTTGGGAGTCCTGTCCACTTTCACACACAGATAATCTCCGTTCCTCTGCCAGTGCAGTTTGCAGTCGACGACATTGAAGAGATTGCGGACGCGGATCTCCTGACGGGAAGGCAACTGCATCAGAGTCACTCTGGCTGGGATGTCCTTGTCCTCAGGTACCCAGAACGCTATGATGTTGTCCCCAGGAGACCACGAGAAGTCCCTGTTGGTCCACAAACACTCAGATTCTTCTCAGGATTTCAGCAAGTGATGTTAAGTGTGTTAGAAAGAGAAATAAACTTTAAAAACTCTTACTTGATCCCAGTGCACTTGAGACTCTTCTTATCCAATAAGCCCATCGACTGAGAAAAGCAGAAAAAAATATATATTTAGGGATGACTTGTTCACTGAACAATGAAGAAAAATAAATAAATTACATAAAAACACTGCGGTACTTACTGGAGTTTCATAGATGCTCAGCGTGTCTGGAGTCATCCTAGCAAAGAACTTCCCATCATGGCTCCATCTGAGAATAATTATGTATAATTAAAACAATTCCATAGACTGCATGAGGAGAAAATATGTGACTTTGATGAGAGTGCAAACAAATACAGTATTCCTACTTAAATATGGGCCAGTGTGCAGAGCTTTCGCAGTGGAAGCCTCTCTTCTTCTGTCCAGTCAGAATGTCCCAGATGATGATGGCCTGTGGATCCTCCTTGGTGTCCATCAAGGGACTGAAGGTCACAACATACCTGGCAGGCAGTGAAAACACAGGAACCAGCTTAGATAAAGCCCAGTTTCCTCAGTGACAACATGATGTCAAATCAGAAAGGAATAGAGACGACTAACATGCAAGGATCAGACTACAGTTAAGCATTTTTTTTAAATGATACTTGTATCTGTGAGCTAATGACAAAAGAGCTGATAAAACAAAAGGTGTTGGGTACCTCTCACATGGTGAGAAGTCGATGAGGGACACGCCCTGATGGCTGAACCTCTGGATCTGTTTGAACTTCTCGCCACCCCACAGGGCGATGCCACGTTGGTGGAAGGTGGCAAGGTAGGTGCCTTTAGGAGACCAGCGAACATAGGTCTCTGTCCAGCGCTGCAAAGACGAAAACGTTACCCACCTGCAAGCCAGTGAGATCTTTAACTTAGCCCACGTCTGTGTGACCCAAGAACTTACTGCTCTCTCTTCAACGGTGAGAGGCTCTTTAACGTCATTGGCGAAAATGGCGGTCCTTTCTCCAGATTCGTAGATCACACTGAACTGGTCACGGCAGTCTGACTCCTCAATCCAGTGGCGCATATTGCCCTATACAGATAGACAGTTTAGAGAATTTAAAAAATGTCCATTTCTTTATCGCAGTATTATATCAGTGGTAAAGCAGTTCAACTTACAAAGTCTTTAAAAGGCTGCTTCTCAGGAGTCTCCCACTCATCACTGATATTCATGTATCTAAGAAAAAAGATCAAATCAATACATTAATCCATTATATCTCATATCTATACACTATTTTTCATGGACAAATTGACCGATATGGCAAACCTACTTGTCAAAGTCAGTGAAGAGGTTGACCCTGAAAGTATGCTGTTTGTCGAGTTTGTAACCATCTGCGTTCTTCACCGCCTCCAGAGCCTGAGTGGGAGCCGCGTACTCCAAGAAAATGTATCTGCAAGTACAAGGTAAACATTTCGTATATCCTGAATTCAGCTGTAAAAAAGTTTAGCAAAGCAGAAATGTTTTTGTTTTTTTTTCAAGTTAAATAAAGCAGCTAGGTCATACCCTTTGGTCATGCCTTCAGCCTCCGGGTAAAACTCAGTCGTAATCTTGCCGAACTTGGAGAAGATCTTGTGTATGACGTTTTTGAGTTTTTCCAAACGCTCTGGCCCCACTTGAGGCACGTTGTCCACCACCACCATCGAGTCTATGCCGTCAGCCTCTTGGGGCTTCTCCCGCAAGACTTCTTCCAGAAGCTCTGAGGAGTTGAAGAACAAAATCAACATGCTTCTTGTATGATCCACCCTATAGTTTTATGCACTATGTTAATGGATTGAACCATATTTTCTATTTGATCCTCAAAAACTACCATTTCCTTGCACCCGATGGGATTGTTTTGAAAAAAATGTGTAAATTTGTTTTAGTGTATTTGCCTACACTAATGTAAGATAGACTGCTTATCTACATACAAATATTCAACGAAACATCCTCTCCCACCCTCTTAAATAATTAGCTGTTTAAGAAAAAATATATTAGTTGATTGCCACTTAAAATTAACTGGGCTGAACCTCTGTGGTGCTGTTCTGAAGTAAATGCCATCACTGTAATAGTTAAAACTGTTTAATATTGTGTGTTTAGGCAGCACTGTGATGAGTTTGCACACTGGTATTTAGCAATACTGTAAAATTTCATTTCTACAGACAGAGGAGTCAATGGACAATATAATAAATAACCTCAGCATTATTGCCTAATCCATTTTGTAGGATTTAAAGCTATGCTGAGTTGTTAACTGTCTGCTACTGTCTGGCTTAAATAAGTATAATTAATTACTCAAATGAATGAAAGCAGGGTTGATTGCCAAACATTGTTACACAATCAGACTGCAAAAATGTATTTAAAAAAATCATCTAAAAGCACTTTGTTGCACCCATCGTTCCTTGGAGCTGGTGTAGGTCCTTATCTAGTTCAAATGAATTAATGCCGGAGGGTCAAGTGTTTGGTTTTATCCTTAAATATTACTATTTAGTTTTTTATGCTGACCGTGTCTTATTATTCATACGTGCTCCTACTTACATTTGGCTGCCGATATGTCACATCAATCTATACCACAACGACAAGGCCACAATGAGTGTCTGTCTGGGGTCTGGGTGAGGCTGCAACGGCCGCCTAACAGCAGTTTGAACACATCATGTTGGATATCAAGGACAATTGTGGATGTATTGTTTTATGTTCTGTAGCCACATTTTAATGTCAGAATTAGGTTATGTGGTAAGCACCGCTTCATATCGATAAGCAAAACCATAGTATGGCTCGCCATCTGGTATCCAATGAATGTTGGTCTTTTGGCTAATAGATAGCAGGAGGCCTTAAAGCCGGCAGTTTTCCTGCCGCCGCTCACCCTCATCTTCGATGTCATCAACGAAGTCCTCCGGGTCGCTGAAGGAGGGCTCCTCCTCTTCATACTCTGGGTCGTCCACCATATCCACCGTTTCGCGCATTTAACGTCACTCAGAGTCTTTATGATGTCTATAAGGGACCAAAATCCCAAAAACTGTGAGGCTAACGATGCTCGACCGGTGCGGCACCATGTGCGAAAATGGACGAAGAGACGGAAACGTGACACCGGAAGCTGCTCACAGGCGCGTGCTGGGACTGCGGGGAAAACGTAGATCTGTAAAACATAAAAACTGCTTCTGGTATTTTGTTTCGCGCGGATTCACGCTATAGGGACTGTTGTAGATCAGTGGATGTTTCAGCTTCCGTTGCTATGACTCTCAAATTGGACTTTTACAGATAAAAAAGAAGTGGCGACACGTACGGATAGAAACTGACATTCTATATCCCGCGAGAAGGACTCTCGTGAAATCCATAAGACTTATATCCGGCTTTTATAAATTTTAAACAGCTGTACTCATTTCCTTTGGCGTAATTGAGGGTTCTTGCTACATTTCCACTTGTGAGTCGGTGTAAGCTGTGAATGCTTCAGAGGGAACAGTGTAATGTGTAAAATAGTCTGTTAGGACCATGGACAGAGAGTGTGTGTCCGTGCTGCCCCGGGTCTGCGAGGTGCTGGCGGCCCCCGCGAGCTGCCTGCCCGATGACACCAGCCTGGAGAAACTGCTGGACTGGTTCACAGCGCTCACAAAGTCTGGTTAGTTGCACTAACAGTTAACAGGACTATTTTAGACGACTCTTTGGCAATTTTGAAAATTTCTAGTCATATAGCTCTCCTATGGGGGCGTTTTCATTCACATGTTTTTATGAACTTTATCACCAAAAATGACCCAGTTAATATTAATACCGTTTTTATTAAGATTAGAACTGAGCGTCTGTAAATAGTTAATGAATAAATAGATAAACGAACTACAAAACTTCGTGTAACTGAAAGCAATACTATCAAACTGGTGATTTCTGATTCCATCTCTTAAAAACAATTTTAAGTAAAATGTTAACCTGTTTCATTATTTTTCCCTGTAATAAAGGGGTATCTCTGCAGGAGACCTGCCCATGTCTGCTCAAATTCATATCCACTGTGGTTTACGACACCTCTTCAGACCCCAGCATCCTCTCCTTTACCCTGAAGCTCACTGGCCTAGTGGGTGCCACTGAAGAAGGCTTTAAAGTTCTTCAGGTAGGACTTGAGACATCTGGTGGTTTTCGTACACCTTTTAAGATGAAATAGTCTACGCATGTCTAGTACTGGCTGTCACCCACCTTTGTGATAATGCCCTCATGTCCTCATTGTAGGAGTGCTCAGTGCTGGACCCAGCCTTTAACCCTCAGCGCTGGCAGGAAGCAGGACCATGGGAGGATCCATGTTTACGAATTGGATGGATTCAGGGATGGAAAACAATGCTGCAGCATTCAGGGGCTCTCTTCTTTTTTGTACAAGCAGGTGACTTTTCATGGAGAGAATTTCATATTGAGATTAGCAATATTAAGGATTAATCATGCTCTAAAGGTGTTGATGAGGATTTACCTCCAGCACATTGTCATTCTTTTTTTTTTCTTCTATAATCTCATTCTTCAGGTTTTATTGAACAGCTCCTACACCTTCAGACAGACTCCAGTCTATTCGTTGCTTCAGCTGCCAATCAGATGCTGGCTCATGTCCTGCTCCTCTGTCAGAACGCTCCCTCTGAGGGGTTGAACGGTGTAGATGAAGAAGACAACAATAGCACGGGCGCCTCCATCACAGACTTGAAGCGCCCGGCTGCCACCTTTAAAACGGATAAAGACTGCCCTGCTGTCGTCGTGGAGATTTCAGAGTACCTCAAGAAGTTGTTGGTTCCCAAAGAAGCTTCACAGCTTCACCAGAGCCAGCGGATCCTCAAACTGCTGGCTCTGCTTCTGGCCCAGGCCAGGCCTCCTCTGCGGGAGAGGCTGCTGCTGATGGTGGCGGACTCTCTGGAGGAGCTAGTGACCGCAGGCTACGGTCAGCTCACAGGGCCTCTGATGGACGTCATTCTAGCTGCACGCAGGTAGATGTTAGGAATATTTAACGGAACGCATGAGAGGTTGCATGAGTGAACATTCAAGACATTCTGCTTCCAACTTTCTCTGTGGGAGATTCTATTACATGTAAGTGAGCTGATGATGCTCTGGATATTAAATCGGGAATTTTACTCTGGCAGAGTGAATGGAAATACTTCAGCAAGCTCATGTTGAAACGTAATATTTATAGACTGTTTTTTCATCCACAGTTTCTGATGGTCTAACTATATGAGCAAATGTCACTTAAAGCAACTTTAACCCAGCTTTTAGCTTCATAATGTTTGGCTGATTTTACAAAAAGAAAAGCATCCACAAAGTCCCATATGAGTCTGGTCTTATGTAGGTTAAAATGCAGCCATTTCTCTGATTCAGTTACAACTTGAGCATTTAAAAAAAGATCTGGTTGTAAGTTTTGATCAATTTAAAGACGTCTTTGTGCTTTTTTGAGCAGCAGTGGCGCTGATGTTCCGGACCAACGCATGTCCCGTCTTTTATCCTTCATGTTGAGCACGGGGAAGCCTGCCGACCTCGTCCACGCTGCGGCCGCCTTTCTGCGCCGCGGCCATAAGTAAGCATCTGTTCCCAGCCTGACAATGGTTTTACTCACCGACGGCCACTAATTTTTCTTCCTCCATTTGTTTTTTTCTTCTTCTTTTTTTTTTTTGTCCAGTGATGGAACCCACTTGGCCCAGTCTGCTGGAGTTCTGCTGCTACCCCTAGACATCGTTACCGGCCTTAGTTTGCTGGGCACAGGCACCTCAGGTAGTCCCACTTATTTAAAAGTTCAATTTATGTCGCTGGTTGCCTATTTTACGCAGATATTTTTCTGTTCCTTCTGTAGATCAGCAGCGACTGTCAATGGTGGAGCAACTTAAGACCAAAACGTCTTGCATCTCCATGATTTGTCTCAGTCTAACAAACGCACCGCAGATTGCCCTGCTGGTGAGTGGAGGAGAGCACATCAGCTTAGTTTCTTACACAAGGAAAGTCTGTTATGTTACCTTGTCTCCTCTCTCAGGCCCCTGACTGCCGCCCCTGTGCTCCGGCTTTGATTCTCACTGCCGTTTTGTCGTTACTGAGGATGTGCAGTGGGGACACCACCACCTCGTCCCCTGGCTGTTTTGAAGTTTTCAGAAATATCACCGGCTGTGGCAAAGCGCAGAAATGTGCTCTAGACGCTCTGTCAGCACTCAGCAGCTGCCCAGGTATCCCCAATTCTGTCCTCCCTGAACACAATTCCCTTCACCTGGTAGATTTCAACCCAGTTAGCTGAAGCTGGAAGTAGGAAGTAGGAAGAAGGAATCATTTGCAGACTGTTTGTTTCATCAAAGTGTCAAACAGGCATCTGCAATAAATGTAGTAATGCGGTAAAACTGGATTTGTTTTTGTACATAAAACAACTTTAACAGATCTACATTTTGTTTATGTGTTTTACAGAAGTAAAAGTCATGCTGCTTGAGGTGTTCACACATCTTACACAGTGCCTGGCAAACCCTGATTCTGACCCCGCTGTAAGTCACTGTGTCTGCCTGTGGTCACGCACACACCGTTTGTAACGCCTGTCTTATCTGTTTGTGAGGTCATTCAGCTCTGATTGATGTGCATGAATGATGTTGAAAACAGAGGAGGGATTTCAATAAATATGTAGCTAGATAGATAGACAAATAAATGCAGAGATGGTTACCTATTTGGTGTTTTTTAAACTTTGGAAAGAATTGCTTAGATTTGATAGAAAAACTGGGTAATGAGGTCCAGCATCATAAAATCGTATGAAGTCATCTGTTGTGAATAAAAAGGTATTTTTCATGTTTCACAGGTACTACAGAAGTCATACCAGGCCTTAGTAAAGTGGATCGGTGTTTGCACAGACCTCTCCTCCCTATCAGACCATCTCAGAGAAGGTAAAATTCACCAGCAGCTCCATTACTGCGTAATAGCATAGATTCACACAGACCAAAATGCAATCCCACACCCGGCTGTCAGATCTCCTCCAGGTGGTGAGGAAGCGGGCGTGTGACATGAGGTGGGAGGTTCGAGACTCCACGGTGGAGTTTGTGGGCCACCTGGCCGGACTGCGCGGACACCAGACCTCAGCAGAGAAGGTGTGCGACGCGTCTGAGGCTCTGCTGGGCGGCGGCAGCTTCACGACGCCTCTGCTGAAAGAGGCGCTGCAGGACCCAGAGAGCTACGTGAGAGCCAGCGCCATCTCTGCCCTGGCTCACACACTGGCTCCCAGCTGGCAGCAGGGGGCAACCCTCACTCAGGAGCAGGTGGGCCAGGTTTTCTCACACTCCATTCCAGGAGTGACCTAATAGACGTGTCTATAATATTTGAATAGAATTTTCTTTTCTTATGGTTGTCTTTTGCGTGCAGACTGTTTCACTTTGTGTTTTTATGCAATTTCCATAAGTACGCTGAAACACGAAGCACATTTCAGATCCTTCAGCTCAGTGTGACGTCCAGTGTGTCGATAACCCTAACTTCTGTGTCTCTTCAGACTGAAATAGTGACCCGGCTGCTTGAAATTCTGTCCCAGGATACTGAGGGATTTGCCAGGAGACCTGTTGTGCAGTACTTTATCGCTTGGTTCTCCTCCTCATCATCCTCACCCTCCTCCGCCTGCCCCCTCCTCGTGCAGTCCGTGTGCTCCGTCCTGTCACGAGGCAGCGCCGACCTGGACTGGGAGGTCAAAGTTAATACGCTGGATCTGGCCGAGCTTCTGCTAGACCGGACCTTTTCAGGTCACCATCGTTACCGAAAGGGACCAACCACAACCAACCACGGTCAACCACACCCCTACGCTGCGACGCCCGCTCCGACCCACACTCCAAAGACACACCCGCAGGATGTGGAGTCGGATTTGGTGGGCGTGCTGAAGGCTTTGGTGGAGCAGGGCGTCCTGTCCGTGCTGCTGAGCGGCCTGGCGGACTGCGACAGACCCGTTGGTCTGAAAGCCTGTCGACTGTTGATAAGACTCAGAGACACAGTTTGCCCCCTGTCATCCGAGGCTCAGGATCCAGCTGTTGCCCCGGCGACCAACAGTGTGAACTTTGAACTGCCTGCATGGGGTTGGGCGAAGGAGATCAGACACATGCTGGGAGAGAGGGGACGTTTGGAGGCAGCCACCGCTTCTGGTGAAGCAGCAAAGGAAGGCGTGAGCTCTGAGGGCCCGGCCCTCTCCATCAGTGTGTGTGAGGCGTTGAGCTCTCTCGGATTAGATGAGAGGCTGGAAATCCTGACTCAGAGCAGTGACCACATTTACAACTCTCCTCTGTCCCTGCTGCAGGACATTCTGACAGCCAGCACCGCTCACACTCAGCCGAACTCACAGCAGGGGCAAGAGGTCATAGTGGACTGCTACTGACAAAGTACCATTGAAATTTCACCAAAGATTGAAGTTTCAGGAAAGACCTTTGAGAAATATTTTCGATAAAGATTTATTTTTTCTAATAAAACTTGCAAATTGCTTTTACTTAAATAAAATAAAAAACTGACTTGAAAATTTCCACTCTCCTCAACATCCAAGCTCCATGTTTTCCCTTTGTTTTGTTACAAAAAAAACCCATCATCATACATGTAGTCCATCCTTAAAGTGCCCCGTTTGGGACTTTGAATCAACTGTAAAGAGTCTATTATCTATTGTCTCTAGACAGATGTTTTCCAACTTACAATCAGCAGTGTTTGCATTATGCACGCATTTCAGTTTATTGTCTATTTTGGGACGGTTGATGGAAGCAAGCGTTCCCAAAGAGGCAGAGCATGCTAACTCCTGGGCCAGCCACCACTCTACCGTCCAACCCCACCTTACAGCAGCTGGTACTCCAAGTCACAAGATTAAGGCCATAAACCTACTGCTTAGCAGATATTTAAAACCTTTACTAGTTTTTCCCCTAGCAAATCTGAACAGCTCACTGGATGAGACATTTTCAAAAGGTTTAGGTTTATTTTTTTCATTTTTAGTTTGGATTTGTTTTTGATTTTAAATAACTAAACATTTGGTCTCCTGCAAACACAGAAAAACATTTTCCATACCTCCTTTTAAAACCCTCTTCACAGCCCCTTGAAAAATCTAAATCAGCTTGTGCACTTGATGTAACACCTGCCTGGATTTGTTATGATGAGAGTTGGTCACGCCGTTCTATTTTGGGTTTTTTATTTTTTTTTATTCCTCCGTTGTGTCACGCTTCCGCTGTCCCTGATTTCTAGCGTCGCAGGTACTTCATCAAATGCCCAGCTTGGAGTGTGCAGACAGCACTGATGAAGACTGAGAGGACAGCCACCGCCTCCACGTGTCCACAGGCTCTCCTCCTCTGTCACATGGCCTCACAGAGGGACACACGCAGCGCACACGCTCCTCATTAACTTAAGAGCAGCAGCATGTCAGCAAACACACACACTGATTATCTCACCCCTGTCCTCTCTCTGCCGTGCTCCACTCTCTCAGCTGTGTTCTCTCTTTATTCATGAGGTGAAACTGTGGCAAGCTCTCAGCTCTCTTTTGTCCAGCATGGAGGCTGTGGCCCTTTTCTCTTTCTCGGCATCAGAGGCAGACGAGATCAGTTTTCAGAAAGGAGACGTTATCAAGGTGAGCGGGAACGTGCCGGATAGTGAGGCTTTGGACACGATTTGCTGCATGTTTACGTAGAGTAATCGTGTGCATGTGTATTCTAGGTGACAGAAATGGAGGAGGATTCTTGCTGGTTCACAGCAGAGGTCCAGGGCAAGCGTGGCTATGTGCCTGAAAACTACATTTCCCTCCTCCCTCATCCGTAAAGAAATGATTTGTCCAATTGTGCTTACAATTTAAAGGATAACAAACTGGTTTAACTTGTGGCAGTTTAGCTTAACTTGATATGTTGTTTCCCAAGTTAGCAGCTTCATTTTACTGATTTTTTTTTTACAGTCTGATTGTGTAATTTCCAGAAATATGACAACAGCTTAAAGCATTTGGTGTTTCACAACATAAAGACCTTTTCTTGTGGATCTGTGCCCTCTGTTGTGCAATAAACTGTCTACATGAGAGAGCCGGCCCTTAATTCAAATACGTATGCTTATGTTTTTCGAAAGAAAAATCAGTGCACTTTAATTCTCTAAATGTTTAAGCTCAGGAGCGGGATATAAGTTCTGAACACCTCTGTGTTGTCTCGTAGGTGGTTTGCAGGAGACGTGTCCAGAGCTGAGGCGGAGCAGCGTCTGTGCCGGCTGGACACGGGAGTGTTCCTGGTGAGGGAGAGCGAATCGGCCCCAGGAGAGTTTTCCCTCTCTGTTAGGTCAGTGAATGCACCACTCCTCCACACACACACACCTGCTTTACCTAAGGTGAATGAAGTATGATGCAGGCTCTGAAAAATCTCAACCTGGAATGTGCTTTCTCATGCACTTCCCTCACAATTTCATCGTCTTCATGATCGTGGATCGTCTTCCCTTGGGAAGACAGTCTTTTTGTTTTTCAAACACTTCATCCCCTCAGTTCAGTCAGATGTTTGTGGTTAAGGCATTCATATGCCTCAGTGTGTGTCAGTCCGAGCGGAGAGAAAAGTCAGACCATTTTAATACACTCTATGAGAATTGGTGGCTCTAAAAATATCCCATGGAGCACAAAGACAATGTGTGTGTGGGAGAGAAGTGTAATGTGGGTCAGCAAAGTGACGTGGGACACATTTAATCACTGAGGGTAAATTTGATGTGTTCAATAATCGGGGCATTGCGTAACACCGCCGGCTCTTTAAATATACACAGGTACATTATGTAACTGTCTTCTGCCTTAAACATCCGTCCGCACGCTGTGCACATGTTAACAATTTAAGGCTTAACATCTGTCTGTTAACAAGGGCTGAGAGGAAGAGGCGTACTCCATCTAAAGTAGTCATACAAAAAGTGATCAGCAGAGGGTGACCATGCCCTAGAGGAGTCGCTAAAACCCAATAAGTGTGCACACAGCAGCAGTGCCTGCTCAGTGTGTGTCTAAAAACATTGCTCTCTGCATCTTATGTCTATCAGGGATGATCTGTTTACAAGCTAAGAAGCAAAGCACACTGGGAATTTTTGAAGAACATGGGATATATTTTGAATGAAAACTGTTTAGCAATAGGATGCATATAGAGAATTGAAGCCGCTCAGTTACAAATGTATCTAAAATGGAGAGAGAGAGAGAGCGGGTGATGGCAGGATTGCCAGTTAAGGCCTACTCAGGAAAAGTACCTAAATGGACCCCATCCAACACTGTTTGGCACAAATCTGTACTCCAACGTTGAGGACATGAAGGTCTCAATGACCTGATCTGAGGAATCATCCGAGATTTTCTCATGGAGGGGGGACGTGTCAAACTCAGTATCGATGCAGATGTGCATTTAGTACGTGATGAAGTCACTAATTTCACATAATGCCAGATCTGTGCAGTGTGACTTCGTGGAAGGCATGTGCACGCAGGTATGTGTGCACAAGGCCACGCATACCTGCCATTCTTTTCTTCACGGTCACAGATTAGTTTCACACTTTTCCTTTTCGCAGCTACGGTGACAGGGTGGAGCATTTCCGGGTTCTGGAGGGGGGAGGCCAGTACTGCATCTGGGACAAGTCGTTTTGCTCCTTAAATCGTTTGGTGGATTTCTACCGAGTTCACAGCATTGCCGTGGAGAAAGTGGTGTGCCTCCGAGACCCTCCCTCGCCCCTCCATCTGCAGTCGGATCCTGGACGAAATCCATATCCCAGCCCTTACAAAAGCAGCTCTGAGGAGGTCCCCTCGGCCCACCTCCATTCCCGCCTGGAGCGAGAGGCCACCCCACGTCCGTTTAAACCACTTTTAGAGGTATGGCTAATCACAGAGCACCATTTTTCCACATTTAAGCCCGCTGGGATCAATCATATGCCGGTTAATACGGGGTATGGATGACCCCAGGAGGGGGCAGCAGGGTCAGAACACATGTGGTGGGTGTCTGACCACATGTTCTGGCTCTGCTTGTGTGTAGAAACCCCGTCTGGCTCACGCCCTCTGCGACTACACTCCCCGTCAAACCGCCCACCTCCACTTCTGGCGTGGTGACATCATCGACCTGCTGGACTGTTCGAGCTCCTTGACCTGGCAAGGCCGCTGCCGAGGCCGAGTCGGCATCTTTCCAGCAGAATATGTCCAGCCGCTGTACCGTTAGCACCATATCGGTTTCTGTCCTGTAACCCAACATTTCTGGCTCAGGCTGTAGTGACTTACCCTGCTCACCCAGAGACTGAAGAGCTGAAGGCATTAGGTAAAAGCGAACAAAAATCTTACGGGCGGTGATTTTATTTTTCAAATAGAGACCTTTTCCCCATTCACTCTTTAGGAAAGGATTTCCATCACGCAGTTAAATGTGCACAATGGTGTCTATGCGTATCCCAGGTGCTGCTATCTGTGTGTCAGAAGCAAAATGCTCCACTTTTTATCGTTATGTTCCCTGTTCAAATCGAAATTTCTCAGCCTGAAAGCAAAGTGTAGAAGATGAGATCAGGCTGGTACATTATCTCCACCCACTGTCAGTACTGTTTATGGCACATGTTTTTGATGTTCTTCTTACGTTAAAATGCATAGAGAATTATCTAAATTAAAGCAAAGACGAAAGTAGGCTCAGCAGGCCTCTGCACTGTAACCAGTTAAGTCAGTTCAGACTTTAGGGCTGCAGATGTCAGGTTTTGTTGCTGCCTTTTATTTAATAATTGGTACCTCAATACTTTTAGATAATGTATTGCTGGTCAGTAGGTTTATAGACATTGAATCTGTGAACTTGATGGATTCTGTGTCCACATCTGAAAATGAGAGAAACTTGTAGCTCAACTGAACGTTCATCTGATCAACATGTATTGTAAAGTGAGATGGAACTTCATGTTTGCTTTGTTTCACCATTTTGTGGTTACATCTTTAATCTTCTTTAGTGAAATGAACAGAAGATGAGTTTTATGTGCTTGTCTTTTTTTTTCATTAACTCATCGACTCACATCCAATGAGTTGACGAGAAATAAGTGGTTGGGAAAATGGATGGATGGAAGTTTCCTATTCGGTTATAAAGTTATGTTTCAGCAATCCATCTGTAGATCCTGACTGAGTCTCCGGCTGACCGTTGAACTAAAACACACATACACACACACACACACAAACACACACACACATCCACTTAACATTAAAAAGGAAACCTTATTGACTGTGTTGAATGGAGGAATGATCTCAAAGGATTCATGGAATTGCAGGATGTTGGAATAGTTTATTGTTCCATGTTTTATCAATAAGAAAGATGAGGAAATTTCTTATCTCTGGTAAAAATATTTAAACCTTGAAAGACTTCAAAATCTAGAATTTAAATCTTAATTATTGAACAAGCTAATTATATTTAGAAAAAGGGTATCAATAATAGAAACTAAAGCCCTGTGTATTCTTTAAAAAAACATGTCATGTCAGAAGGAAAGACACACTGTAGACTACAGTCATATCATCATTATATGATCTTCCAAACATTTTTACAACGTAATTCTGACCAGGTGATACAGTACACTCAAAAACTTTTTAGTTTACTGCAATCCTCTTTTATTCACATTCCCAAACAATCTCTTGCAGATTTTAAATTAATCCAGGACATTGCGGTAATAACTTAATATTACCGCTATAACATATTTCACTACAATAGCTAATTGTATATTTAAGCCCTAATTTCAAATGTTGTTTCCTTATCTATGAAACCATATAAGGCTCCACGCCTTTTATATTAGGGACTTCCTTTTATTTAAGTTTGAGCCTGTGAGGCTGCAAACTGCTTTTATGGCCGAAAACAGCAAAACATAATTTCCGGGATCTTAGAACAGTCCACTCACTTGGAAAGTTTAAAAAGAAACTAGATGATTATCCTTTACATCCTGGGGAAATCCAATAGATTTTTCAGTAATCAACATCCTGTTTAACTCAAACATTGCCGACCCTTTCATGTTCACAGTAAGTTTTAATTTTCATAATTTTTATTAGAAATGTGTCCTATGTGGGTATCTGTCACCCACAAAGTTCCACCTGTCACCCTTAAATGTGAAAGCCGTAATGTAATGAAGATTGCAGAAATCTAGGTGCCTATCTGTTTCTTTCTGCTTCTGGGAAGGAGAGTTAGTAGTTCATCTTGGAGACCAGAGTTCAGCAGGAAGATGTGGCAGGATGTTGAACGTGATCCTCCCTTCAGGCAAAGTATGCATAGAGAAAAACGTTAACGCTGACCAGAAGGATTGCACTGATGCAGCAGAACCTGGACCAGAACACACTCTCTCGAAGGCTGGGAACTCTGGGAGACGGAGTTTGCTCTGTGCAGCGTAACGCTGAGATGCACATTTCTGCACCCTGCCCACACGTCCCCATGCACGTTCGCTCAGTACCTGCACGATCACAGACACGACCAATAACTGTAGAAGTTTGTGAATATTTGTAGCTACTTCATTAAAATATTCACACAGAATGCTCAGACTCTTACCCGGGGAGCGACGGTGGCTGACAGAGGATACCTTTTGCAGAGGAATTTCTCTTTGTGGCTCTTCACTTATTGTCCACCAGGTCAGGTTAGACACCTAGAAGAGAAGCAAAAACAAATGCAACAAAGTCTTCGGCACTGACCTGCAGAAAGATTGAATTTCTTATGCGGTGTTATGCCTGCCAACACGCCTAAAGAACGTAAATCAAACATGCATGTGTTAATACAAACAAGATTTGGAGGTGCAGCGAGGAAAATTTCTTTCCAGGCTTGAGGGTCTGCGTGCCCACCTGTTCATGGCTGGGGGGGGGTGTAATCAGTGATACCACGGTAACCACGATCACGGTGAGCCCACAGAGCAGAATGGCAAAGTGAAGGTAGTGCACGCCACGCAAAACCATAGGGGCCGAATCCACCACGCCGCATCTTGGGGGAGGGAAGGCGAACTCCAGCACCATTCTACACACACCTACCACCAAACCCACCATCAGGCCCCAGAACGCACCCTGAAAACACAAACAGAAGCAGATTATCCCACACGGCATCTTAGACTGGAGAGCTGAACTTTGTCCTTTGGGAGACGTTAGTCCAATTCCTGATTCAACTGTGGTTTGGATTGTTGCACTCCTACCCAGTAAATCTGTCATCATTCTGTCAGTTTTGACTTTCTGTAAATATCTGCAAGCGCACTCCCACAAAAAGCTCTCGTTTAACTCTCTCTACCTACCACAGTAAAGAATGTGACCAGTGCAGTTTGACCTCAATCATGTAAAAAACGATCATCCTGTCACACCGAACACCAGGTAGGTGACAGAAGTCATTTTACATGTAGATTAGGGAAGATTCCTGTCTGCTGTTCACCTAGAAAAAACAGTTTTCCATTCTGCTTGGTGAGTGGAGTCCCAGCAAACGATATATATGCCATGCCAAATTTGAGGGTAAATTGGGAAGAGGTATTACAGGATCCAAAGAGTTTTGCCCTGTTCTCTAGGAAAACCTTAAAGCAAGGACAGGCCTTTATTTACTCATGTTGCTAGACAACAGGATCAGGGTTTGTGTTTGAAGTCTTATGATGTAGACAACTTTGAATACGTTTGACTGCAGGCGTGCACACTTGTGACTGTGTTTACAGGTATAAATACATCTTGTTATATTTGCTTCTTGTGTTAAAAGAGAACCCACCTCAAATGCCTGCATAAGTCTGAATGTTTGCAGTCTTTAATATTAGACCATTCAGCTGTTACGTAACTTGTGCAGCAGTGTCCTTTAACCCTGCACGTGAACACAGTTTACTGCGACAAACTCACTGTGTTTATCGCAGCACATAAAAAGCTCACACCTTTCCTGCAAACATCCTATCAGCTCTTGTCAAGTGACTTCTGTATAGCTGAAAATCGTCTAAATTTGCGTTAAAGTCGAAAAGGAAACAAAACTTTCATACTGTAAGGATTATTTTCTGTATGCTAAAGTCACCCATTCCAAGAATATGTATGATAAGAATGATTATAATCCATTTTTGGGTGATAGATTGAGGGGGAAAAGAATGTCAGGGCTAAAGAGAAGGGCCAACAAACCGGCAGAACCATATCACCTTTTACGATGATCTCGGGGCTAAAATGGTTTCAGATAAGAGGGTTGTCCTTTGACCTGCAACCCATCAATTCTGGCAAGTTCATTGTAAACACAACATAATAATACACCTGACGACAGACCTCTCTGGAGGTCAACGTATTTAACACAGCACCGAAAAGTAAGAGCCTGTTCAAGCTGAAAAACCTGAGAAAATCCTCTCGATTTGAGCTGTTAAACAACATGCCACAGGAGAGCAGACACACCCACATGTTTCTGAGTTCAACATATGAGCTGGATTTTAAATATCTAGCAGAAAGCTATTTACTTGCATTCAAACAGCATCACAACATATTGGTTATTTTTTTCTTACTAAACAGTCTTTGCCAGTATTGATTTTTTTTTCTTAACTTCTTCTATTGTTTTCTCGTAAAAATCTAACTTTCTCTCAGTTACACCATGTTGAGACTAAGTTTTTCTCTCCCTGCTGGGAAGAAAGTTTCCTCATGCTGCTTCCTACACAGGAAATTATACACAATGCACTTAATGAAATGAGTGAGGAGCACAAGCTCTGAAATTGTTTTTTATCACACATTCGCACAAAGGAGGAGTTCCACACAAAGCAGAGAGAGAAAGTGCTGCGCAGAGCTGGATCCCGTGCGAGGCTCATAAAATCCTACAGTGCAGGAACAAGAACAACCAGTCTACAGCCCAGCATGGAGTCAACTGTAAATGCCTACATTTGTATGTTTGTCTTTTATTAAAGCTATAAAACGTAGTCTTTTAGTCAATGTATTTATTAGATAACTTTTATGATTGAATGTTTTATTGATCTAATGTGAATTTTAGATATTCTTTTATTTCAGCTTTGAAAAATGTTGTTACTTTGTGTATTTTCCAACATTTTCATGGAGACATTCCCCCCAAAAAGTCTTCGATAAGAGCGTCATGGATTAAGGGAGACCCTTTTTCGTCTTTGTGTGCATGTTTGTTCTGTGTCTGACCTGCTCATTGGTCCTCTTCCAGAAGACAGCCAGAGTGAAGACAGCTGTCACGGGTGGGGCGAGATAGCTGGTGACTGACTGGATGTAAACATACAGCTGCCCACTGTTGGCCGACTGAAGGATGGGGATCCACACCACACTCACCACCACCAAGATTACAGTCACAATCCTGGGGCAAACATGACCGATAACAGCATCTCCTTCACTTTCTCTACTCACAAAAATCGCTTTTTATGACTAATTCTGGAGTTCATGCTCCAAAAGATGATCTCAGTAAGTAGCCACCGGCATCCTCCAGCAGATGAAGACAAAAATGAAGCTCCCTGCCAATTTTGTATCCTACCTGCCAACCAATAGCAGCTCCTTCTCAGCGGCTTGGGGGCGGTGCTTCTTCCATATGTCCATGGTAAAGAGCGTGGAGCTGCTGTTGAAGATGGAGGTGAGTGAAGACATCAGAGCAGCCATCATCACGGCTATCATCAGCCCCTTCAGCCCTGAAATCAACGCACACATGTACTGAGTTTGTGTGTTGTTTTGATGAACCGTTTAAAGGATTTTAGATATTTCAAACATGTTGCAGAAAAAAAAGCTAACTTCTCACCACTTGGCATGAGTTCAATGACCAGTTTAGGAAATGCAATGTTTGAGCATCCCACCTCAGCTCCACACACACGTACACACTCCTGTGGATCCACACATCCCACAGAGTCTGAAAAAAAGACGAAACGTGAAAGAAGCAGGGCGAGGAGTCCGGCAATCTGTTGGGGCCAACAAGTCAAAGACACTAAACAAACCATAGTTTGTTCTGTGCTGAGGGCTGCTTCAAATAGCGAGTACTGAACAAAATGCTGAACACAGTGGACAACACAACACACCCTTTAGGTGACATGAAGCCTCACAGAGGCTTTTTCAGCTCTGCTGCGAAAATGAATTATACAATTATACAGGAGATTAGAAAAAATGATTGTTTTAAAAGAACTCATGATTAGGACTTGTTTACTCATACCGCAACAACATTATTTTACCGCTGGTATCATTAAAGTAACACCCAATTAAATCCATATAAATTATGACACATTAAGATGCAATTTTGGCATGTGGAGTGTAAGAAAACAGATATAATGTTATTTTTTCTCTATCTACTCAAAGGATAAGTTGATAGAAATTGTGTTCAATAACAACAAGACAAAGACAAAAGGTGCAAATAATTTAAATACAATACACAAAATACAGAAAAACACAACCTCTCAATAAAATAAAATACAACACTTCCTAGTGTTTGCTGTCATATCTGAAAAATAACAAAAATAGTTTTAAAATCTAGCACATCTGAAACTGCAAAATGTCTGACTGGCCATTTAAAAAGTTCAACATCCAGCAGTGACTTAAAAAGCGTGTGTTCATAATGAGGACTTCAATCTTTGTCCAGGACAAGCCACACTTCCTGTTCATCTCCATACATATTAACTACAGCCCATTTGGTTTTATAAGTGGATAATCCAGCAGACTTTGCCGTGGTTCATCATTAAGCAACATCGCTGAATGACAAAAACAGTGTTTTCCCCAAGTACAATTTTTCTTTTGCGTCTTCTTTTGTTCTAAAGCGCCATTTCGCAGAAACAAAAAAACTTTCTGTGAGTTTGCTCATCTTTACATGTCTGCTGTTACATCGTGTTTTTAGAGATTAAAAGCAAGATTTCTCTGATTTCCTTTTGTGCCCAGGCATGAGGGTGGGGTTCAGATGTTTTTTTTTTCCCAGCTAACCACCGGACACTCCGCCTCTTGGCCCCCGGTACCCGAGCTTCCGTTGACGAATTCAGGGGTCAGACGCTCGGAGGGCAGCTCCACGAAGCAGCCCGCTGGACTTCTATGAACTCTGAGGGATTTGAAGTAAGTTTAGACGGGACAAGCAGCCGTGGAGTCGGTCGGGGTGCCGAACCGTTCTCTGCCGTGCCACGTTTGAGTTTTAACCGCCGCCTGAACATCTGTGAACCTCTGCAGTCAGACCGAAAAACTGAGGAAAAGTGATTCGTCAGCGGCACAGTTAGACTGAGTCACACGCTGTTTCAACATTTTAAAAAGGAGGATTAATGGCTTCTCTCTCCGTCTGAAGTACGTGTTCCGCTTTTGGGCTGAGTCACTGGCAGACCCACACGCACACTCATCCAACTTGCCAGCTGCCTGCCTGCCTGCCTGCTCGTCTGCCGAACCCCCGAGGCAGGACTCCGCCGCCGGGCTTATCCAGCCCCTGTCAGGTAGAAGGCGTGGCGCTGGGCGGGAGGGCTTTGTTCAAACTACACCTGGACGAGATATTTAGTTACACGAGGTCTATTCACAGCTGGAGCATGTCTTTGGGGAACCGGTAACGGTCCATTTCCCCCATGAAAACTTTTGAAAGTGAACGCATCTGCTTATAGCACCGCGAGCCCGGGTCACGAGGACATGATATGGACCGTAATGACGAATTCAAGTCCTGACCCCTTCGGTCCGACGCGTTGAATCTGGGTCAGGGTATTTCAGTGCTTGACCGTTTATCGACCAGTGTTCAAACAGTGTTGGAGCCATGGCTTTGTCTCAAATCCAGTGTCTGGACGAGCACCACGTCAACTGGCGCGTGAGCGAAAACAAACCGGAGTTTTTCTACAGCGAGGACCAGCGGCTGGCTGTCGAGGCGCTTATCACCGGGGGCCGTGAGGCGTTCAGGGACTACATCCGCGAGAATGGCGTCCGGGAGTTCCTCTCGGAACCGGAGCTGGAGCGCATTGCACACTCCGCGGAGGCCTACCGGCCCGGATTTGAGCATCACCTGAAGCCAGACACGCCGGGCCCGGGGAACACCTCTCCGGGGGCCGGGGAAGAAGGCGAAGACGGCGAGGTGTCGCTCGAGTACTGGCCAGACCGGTCTGAGGCCTCGGTGGCAGATCTGGACTTGGGGTGGCTTGACACCATCTCGTACAGAGGGGTCACGCGCGTGACTGTCCACACGCAACCTCCCACAGAGGGACACACGCACATTAAGGAGGTGGTGCGGAAGAGCATTGCATCAGCGCAGAAGGTTGGTAACATTACTTAAGATGATGCCGGCATAACATGATGGTAACTCAAACTCACCACACCTCCGAGCCAAACAATGAAGTTGCTATTTCCCAATTACATTTCTAAAACTATTCAAAGGTATACCCAACGTCCATATCTGTCTTCTCCATGTAAGTATTAACTATTAAAGATTATAAAAAGGAAATGACTGTGGTAAAGTGTGATATAAACACCTCCACGTATACACTTAACATATGGTCTCAAAAAGTGAGTCAACACAAGAAACAAACACACTGTCTCTACAGAAGCTGAAGTTCTGCTTTCCATTTGGTTATTATTTTTTTTCATCATCAATGGATTAGCGCTCATTATGATTTCAGTATTGTTGTAGTTGCACTGTATCAAATCCACCTACATCAGCATTAATCTACACCAGTCCAGACATTTTACATTCATTCCCTTAATTCTAATGTCAGATGATTGAGGCTTTATTATAAGAAGAAAAGAATGAAAAAGGCACCGCTTTGTTTATGCTTGTTCCTGCCTCTCAGATATCACCCTGGGGATTTTATTTGCGTCATGTGATGATTATCGGTCCCTCCCTTTGTTACTGTCCTGTTTTATTACACATCTAAAGATGTCAGTGCAGAGTCTGAGAATGTAGACATGTAATCAATACATTAATTAGTCTTTGTCTGTTGCAGCCATGAATGTTTGAGGCATTTAGGTGTTGTTTTTATGATATGTTCTGCCGGAATACATATTTTTAATATTACAGGTTTGACTTTCTTGGCTGTTTTCACACTAGGCAAAGAAAAACAAATGATTGAATTTGTTTTTGATTGAATTATTTTGCTCTCTGCATGTGCCACTTACACACATGAACACAACAAAGTTTTAATGACACTAGTCTCAACTTGGCATGTCAGTGGAAAAAAATCTACTGACGTCACTGAATGTGTTACATACCTGTAACACATGCATCAATTTTACCTCTTGTTCTCTTGTTGGGCTTGTGTGCTGGAATTTAAAGAAATTAAAGAGACGTCTAGACTATGTTACAAAAGGTGCCCAACAAACCTTCTCCAATGGCCTTTTCCAGTGCAATTTTATTTGAGCTTGACTGAAATCATAATAACGTCAAGAAAAAGTGCAAAAATAAATTCTTCACCACTACAGCTGTGATGTGGGTCTGAAAGCACTGAGTTTGAAGAAAACCTTTCACAGAAAGTGTGTCAAATACGGTACCTCATGCATTCTTATTACTTTATCTTCACATTGGCTATTATGTGTCCACCTGGTATAAAAAGAAATCTCACAATACATTAAGAAGATAACTTATACACAGAAGAGGAATATACTCAAAATTGACAAATATTCTTATGAGTACCAGTAAAAGATTTTGGACGGAATTATCTCCTGTCCTCGCTTTAAAAATGGGTCAGAGTTTCTACATACTGAATGAGCTAATAAAGGGACCGGTGAAGCCTAGTTCCTCACTATTTACAGAATTCAACCAGCTTTTGTGGTGGTTGTTGCTTAGAGAATTCCTGGTCATTTCACCGAAGTCGGGAGGCTCCTATAAGCAGAGAAAGACTTCTACCAGAGGCCAAGCAACTTAGTCAGTGTCAATGTGAGACATGTTTTTGTGAGCTCCAGAGGCACATCCTGGCTAATCTCTGGATTTTCAAATTCGATGTAAGATTGGCCTTTCATGTTTCATTGTATGCAAATCGTCACCCAGTGAAGTTAATTCTTCTCTGTGGCTGACCTGTTCTGAGACCTGGGGCTTTAAAACTTTAAGCTGTGTCAGGAAAAAAAAGACATCCTGTCTTTAGTGCACGCACTGTCCAGTCAAGGCACATTTTATCACCTCTTTGCAAAACATTCTTTGTTCCAATCAGTCTCTTAAAGGAACACCTAGTTTTAGGACAGTGCAAATGTGTGGTTTTGATTTATTTTTCAGAGGCACTTTTCTCAAGTGGGCTGCTTCCATTGTGGATTTAATGGGTTCAATAGTGTTGATAAGAGCAGCTAAAATAGAACCCGCCCTCAGACCAGGAAACACTAACACCACATGTGGTTTCCCTTGTATGTTTTTCCTGTGTGCATGTGTGCAGGTGATAGCTGTGGTGATGGATGCATTCACTGATGTGGATATCTTTCGAGACCTGCTGGACGCATCCTACAAACGCAGAATTCCAGTGTACATAATCATTGACTCAGCTGCGGTCCCCAGCTTTCTTTCCATGTGTGGAAGAGCTGATATGCACCGTGGCCATCTAAAAGTGAGTTTGCTAACACAGACGGATGTTATTTAGATCAGGCTGATGGAAAGATAACCACTCACCATCATAAGCATGGGTTTTTTCCTCCCCCAGTGAAGTTGCGATATCTCAAAGAAGACGTTTAATTTAACAGTCAGTTTTATAAGCAAGAACACCTTTCGGTTTGATTTCTTTGTTATTAATTGCATCTTTTAGTTAAACGAGTCAGGGCATGAACGATAAATACTTAGTGTTTCACACGCAATTCATGTTGTGGACGTGAAGCCAAAAAGATTCTAATCACATTCCTGTCTGTGCTGCGGGCAGTTAGATAAGCAACACACACCCTTTCTACTTTCTCTAACGGATGAATCTTTACGTTTTTACATGCTCCTTCCTCACTGCATTAACCAACTGACTGCCCTATGCTTTCAGCCACATTCTTATCTGACTTGCGGCCCCTGTGTTTTCCTTCTCCTGTGAGATTTCACACAGAACTAACGCTCAGCCTGGAACCACACCCTTATCACAGAGCTGAAGACAAACACAGCAGGGTGTGTCACCGAAGCATGTACATACACACAGAGAGTCCATGCACCAACCTGTACAGTCACTTAACATCAGGCCACGGTGTTACTAATGCTCTTGAGCAACAAGGAAACACATTCATTTCGGTCTCCATTCTCTTCTTTCCTTTATGTCCCCTTTGTGCATAGGATCCTGCCTCCCATCAATTATAAAACCTCTACGGTTGCATTGCAATAACATTGTGTGTATTTGTTGTTAGAATTTGCGTGTGCGCTGCTGTGGAGGCGTGGAGTTCTTCACACGATCGGCACAGAAGGTTCGCGGATCTCTGAGCCAGAAGTTCCTCCTGGTAGATGGAGATAGAGCCATCTCAGGTTCATACAGGTGAGCAGCACCCATACCCTTTCAGTGTCTGGAAAGGTACAGATGTGTTCAAAGCAACACCTATCTGCATTTTTCATTACAAATGTCGATTTAAAAAGTGAATCCCACGTGGAATATTTACACAGTTCTTCCTTTCCCCTAACCTTCACTTAAAGCCTCAGTTTTACTGCTTCGTTTCCTGTTCTATCACTCTCCCCCAGACTCTGCTGCAGGCAGCTATTTCAGCTCCAATAAATCACCCACCCACTTAGCTAACAGAAAAAGTTAGCAACCAGCTGATGAACAAAGAGGAGGCTTTAACAACTCCAGAGACGCATACTGTCCTCAGTGTCTGGTGGAGAGTTGTGCAGTTTTGCTGGGAGTTTGCAGGACTGTGGCTCCTTCTACTCCTGTCGATCCAGACCTGTCATCTCCCTCTATTTGCATAATTTGTGTGTTGTGGCCGACCTGGTAACATCGCAGATGTTCTCTCAAATCCAATTAAGATCTCTTGAAATCCGGAATTTTTCGATGAACATTAAACTGTTGAAATGTTTATGTTCTCCGGTCTAAACGTCACCTGTTGAGAACTTCCCTAACTATTATCAGCCAAAGTTCATTTCTGCAAATTGAGCGGATTTGCGCACACAGAAAGCTCTCTGTCATCTCTAACTGCCTGTGCACGCAGCGCTTCTGCTAACTCTCATTGAGCCTAGCCCCTGTCCTGTCCTCCCTGTTCTGAAACTTGAGAAAAATGGACTTAAGCAGTCATATTATCGTAAAATATAAGATAGGTCCTCTTGATAGGATGTATGAATCTGAAAATAATAAAATAAAATCTGCACATTCTCTTGTCACAGCTGATCATTTGTGTTTCTTCTTCTGTGGTGCCTCAGTTTCACCTGGTGCTCGTCTCGTTTGGACCGTCACCTCATCACCGTCATCACAGGACAGGCCGTGGAGACCTTCGACATGCAGTTTCGGGACCTCTACTTCACGTCTAGAAGCGTGTCTCTCAGCAAGGTTTCCATGGTTGATGAACCGGTGCCCGACCCTGTGCCCCAGGCGGTACCTGCCCCCGTCCCAGCGGCTGTGGCAAGGAAGCTCATCAATCCCAAATATGCTCTCGTTGCCGCGGGAACCCATACAAGCCCAACCTCCTCTGACCAAAATTCCAGCAACAAGAACTCTAACTCCCAGAATCCCACTGGGCTGAAAGTGATGAAACACCGTTTGAAGGAGGTCATTGAAGCGCCGCCTTTACATCCGGGGTTGTCCAATCTAGAGAAAGCATACCTGATACCCTACCTGCCTACCTGGCCAGAGCCAGACCCAGCAAGTGACGTGATTGGCTTTATCAATATCAGGGATGAAAAGAGGGCCAATCAGGTTCACTTACAGAGGTCAGAAAGGTTTGAGGTTAGTCAGGCTATACGCTTCAGCTCACCACTCTTTGCACCAAAACCAACTGAGGAGCCTGCTCCGACTCAGGATACAAAAGATGCAAACACAGCCGAAAATCCTTCTGGTAATCAAAACCCAAAAGCCTCTACTACCGACAAAGAGCTCAAACCAAAAACAGCAGAGAAAGAAGACCAAACAGATTCCCCCCAACAGCCCAGCACACCCGCAGCACAGGACACACTCAAACCAAATGGGCCAGATTCTTCTTCACAAATCATAGTTACAGCGGATTCACAGACAGCAGACGATGCAAAACAAACCCCAAAGACCCAAACCGCAGCGCCTCCTGTTCCAAAGCGCCGCACCCTGCAGCTCGTCATAGACCCCACCCCCTCCGACCAGCCCATTGAGGCACAGGTTACTCTGAAAAAAATGAGCCCACCAGAAAGTTTAAAAAAGGAGCAGACCCCGAAGAACCGGGCACCAAGCCGGAGCCGCTTGACGTCAAGGGACGATGGCGAGGAATCTGGAAGTAATGAAGAGGGAAGCCAAGACAGTACCAAGGTCATTTGTGACCGCGCCGCCAATGAAGACCCCTCAAGTGCCTCCACGGCGTCGGAGGAAGAGTTCTACGATTGTTCGCCGCAGGAGCCCAGTGACCCTGTGATCAACGGAGGGCAGACAGGGTCGGGCCGAGGCCCTCGACATGGAGACGGGCTCAACGTGATGGCCCGCCTCTCTCAGAGCATGCTAGACCTGCGGGAGCCCAGCCAATCAGAGGACAGCGCTTCCCTCCTGCGTCAGTCCCAGCAGCTGCGCAGACAGGGACATCCCTCCCCTCACAGGCACATAGGACAGGTGAGCAGCCAGCACAGGGCTCCACACACTGCCGAGCCCAAATAAAGCCTTGCTGCAACTAAATTTGTAAAATTGAAAAAAAACAAAACATTTGTCGTTCATCCCCTGATCGTTGTTTGTCTAATTTTTTGGGGGATGAAAATGATTTTATTTAACAGTCACTGGGCGGTTTGTGCCTTCCAAAACGGCCCCTTTTCGGCTTCTAGTGTGTGAGAACACATTTGTTTGTTGTTTTTGGACAGACGAAGTGAATCTGAGCGGTGCTGGCCTTGATCTGCTAACTCGATGAGAATTCTTGTTTGTCGTCAACAGTTTTATAGGGAGCAAACACACTCACACGTGTCGGTTTCTTATGCAAACTTGTTTCAAAATAGGTGTGTTTCATATTTGGCTGCAAAGCAAGCCGCTGCCTGCTGCATTCTCAGACTAACAATGTCCTGTTTTTAATGTCTAAAGTGAAAGGGGTGTGTGCGTGTGTTCCACCCGTGTTAGCGCCCGAACCTGGATAGAGGGCTCGGCTGATCATGCCAGGGAGGACGATGAAGACGAAGGGCAGCAACTTCAGACAGGCCGCAAAGATCGATGCTCCTTTTACGTGACTCATGTTTTTAGCCGAGAGGGACCTTTGTACAATAACCTGTGCAAAAAGACACACAAACAACAGAAGTACAGGATTAATCGGCTTTCAACAGGCACAGGTTTTTTTTACAAAGGATGTAAGTGAAGTAAAAGAAAGCTACGGTGCAAATTAAAAGCAATCTGGGAGAGACTTGGAGAGGGGAAAATAAAGAAAAATATGAATTCGACCACATTCAACAGAGCTGATGGCATATAAAAATGGTGGAATACCATTTACAGGATGGAAAGTAATTATTTTCTTTCTTTCTATTTTTTTTTATCTAAACACGATGCAGCAGATAATAACTAACCTGAACTTTGCGTTGAACCATTTTATTTGGTTGATTTTAAGAAATGTTGGTCTTGGATTGGATCAGTTGGAAGCACAGCTGGATTTTGACACAGATAACGGGAAAAAAAGTGTTCTGGGAGACTTGTGCAAAAGAAGAATGGAAAGGCTTGGCCTGGCAGCAGCAATGTTTGTGTGCAGGCTCTCTGCTTATTAAGTCTGATCATGCAGAGATTTTTAGTGGGGAGGACAAAGCAGGCATTGTCCTGGTGTCCGCAGGAACCCTGACAGTGTTTTCAGGAGTTTGACACAGAAAAATCCTTTTACTTGAATGCAGATCTGCTAAAACCTTTTTGTGCTTTCAATTGGGGAATAGAAATCCCCCGTTTCAAACTTGCTCAAGCTCTGTAATTGGCAGCAGGACAGCAAACCACACCGATCCCACAGCTGACCTATTTAGCTACTGTGCAACATTTTTTAATTCCCAGTGTGTCAACATTAACAGCAGAAAACAGCCAATCCCCGCGCAGCTCTCCCCTCAGATAATCTACCACCAGCTACTAATGTCATAGCTGTATCAATAAGCCACGCTTTAAGGCCTGGAAGGTGCAGTCTGTATGCTTAAACTCTGCTCACCTCACGCCAATCCTGTTTTTGAACAACTAACATTTGTACGTAAGACAGATTTAACCTGATTTATGTGACAGGTACTTGCCCAGACATGGAGAGCTCCTGGCATTAAACCTAAAGATGATAGAATCACCATATGGAAGTCATTTTTCTTAATGAATAGATAAATATGTTGTCAATACTGCGCTTGACCTTGGCTAAAGTATTACAATTTGAGGACAGGCCATTAGTCAGCATTCAGTTAATGCCAGAGTCTGGCAACAAAGGACGTCTGAGCCATCTGTCAAAAACAAAGAGCAGCATGTCTGGAGTTGTTGGGTTATATTTTCCATTCACACAGTGACGTTTTCCTCATTAATCTTACTGCTGTTAGGATTTTCTAGTAGTCTGTCAGGTGCGCTGAGGTTTATGAACCTTAGATCAGATCGACAAACCAGGTGTCAACTTCTCTAAGTCAGCATCATAAACTAATCTGACTAGGTTTTTACTCAAGTTTGTATTGCACTTACACTTATTAGCGTAGCTGTTATCAGTACGGGACAATGTTTAACTTAAACTTGACCTGGGGCAGCAGTTTTTCTGCTTTTAACTGTCTCTGAGGGAGAAAAGAAGCTGCCGAGGCAGTTTGGCGATCTTTTCTTTTACATAAAAAACAAACAAACATTTTCTGGCTCTGATTAGAATAGAAAAATACTGACGAAACAAAGGATTTTAGGAAAGCTTGGATGGTGATATCTTCTGTTTAGTTATTCATTTATGATTTGGCAGATTTTCCCCTGTGAATCCTCTGAAACTTAATTTGTATTTTAAACAAAGAAAATAAGATAAGATTTTAAATCGTAATCATCTAAATCATATTTCCGACAAGAACCAGGAAATAGGACCGTATTAGTCTAGTGCTCAGGTATGTGCACCAGCTCCCTGTCGCTCAGAGTGAACTTTAAAACAGCTCTGCTTGTGCTAATCTCTGAGACGTATGAACCGGCTGGGACTCTGAGAACCTCAGGTAGTGGTCTCCTGCTGGTGCCCAGAGTCAGGACCAAACTGACAACTGAAGGCATTTCTTCTGCCCTCTTCACTTTTAATTGATCTAATCAGCTTTTTTTTTTAATTGGTTTTAATTTGTTTAGCTTACTCTTAATTTTCTGCTTTTAAACTCTTACTTTTACATGCTTTTGTTTTGGTTTAATCTTTTACTGAAAGCACATGTTTTTGTACAGGTAATGTGCTATACAAATCAATTTGCCTGGCCTTGATTTTAAGCTTAAGGACTGGGAATCATCAGCTTTGGAGCAAGAAGTAACAAAATACCTTTGAGACTGTAGGCCACAGCATATACAACCTGAGGCATCCCGTGTGTATAACATATTGGAGATGGCCAACTAATTTCTCCCGACTTCCTCTCTTTCTGTGCAGCTGTTTCAGACCTCAAGATCCCCGGCTCGCGATGAGAGGCTGAAGGGACCCAAGGTAATCATCGCCAAACCGGGAAGCTATCACCGGCCCTCCCGAGCAGCCGGCCTCGTGGTCGGAGGACACCGTTACTGGCAGGGTCAAACGTTGCATCCTGACTCCGCCCACCTGCGCTCCGGCCGGTCACCGCGGCGACACAGCCCGGGCTCCAGGAAGGTGGACCACTCGTCGCCGCAGCTCTCATCCGACCCGTCGGGCTTATTCGGAGCGTCTCTCTCAAAATTCAGCAACTTCAGAAACTTCAGGACGCGAGGCGGAACGTCCCAGAAGAAAGGGTCTCAGAACAATAATAACGATAATAATAATAATAAGGCTGGCAGGTAGGACTGTGAACCGGAGCAGGCACAGAAGAGCGTTTGCTGGCAGACATGCTGCTTGAAAGACTGACAGACACTTGAGTCTGGAATTGTTTCTGAGTTGAAACCCTGCAGCACAACATTCATGGAAGAACTGTTGGTGATGCTGGATTTTACCCTCACATGTAAGCAGAGTCTGCGTGATATTTGTGTTTACAAACATGTTAACGGGATGACACGGATGCCTTTTAGCAGGATGCGTTGCAGTGGCTCTTCACAGACGCGGTACTCTGTGTGGTAAGTTTCGATTTCTTCTGGCTAACGCAGGCGCTTCAGTCTGCTCTCCGTCAGAGGAGACATTTCTGAATGACCTCAGCTGCTCTCCTCTTTACACTGTAATGTCCCACACGTGGTGAGATGTCATCACATGTGATCAGTCTGATGTATGTTGGGTAATGCTGTATCTACCTATTGAAGCCATCAGTACTGACACTACTGGTGAGGGGGCAGGGTAATGTTGAATTCTTTTAACCATGTGATTGATTATTTTAACATACGTACAAACATGCAAATGTAGTGGGACCAAAAGTGAATGTTTTGAATAAAATGACCGACTGTTCATGGGCTGACTCTCTTTAATGGCTATGTATGGGGAGATTGAAGTATTTTTATGACAATGGAAAATCTTAACTGTAGCTTTTTTTGGTTTCTTAAGTGATTTTGAAGCCTGGGTTGTGGTGGTAATGATGAGGTTAACGTGTGCTGGGCTGAATCTCAGGACACTTGTATGTCCTAGACCAAAGCGCTTACTAAAGTTAGCTAGATACATGGGAAAGAGGTTACTCTTGCAGGGCTTGTTTAAAGATAATCACAGGTTCACATGTCTGCATCTGCACATCTTTATAAGGTTAACACATTACCTCTCCTGTCAGCCTCAGTTGAGATAAATATATTCAGTAATATGAGCAGACAGCTTCTTACGACTTTGGTGCCTGATCTAGATGATGAGAGCATACCCTCTTGCAAATGTCTCAACTAAGTTACCTGTTTGACCCTTTTTTAAAAGAGAAAAGAAAGGGGAGGATCACCTCAGGCAGCCCTTGAAAAGAGAAATTCCTTCAAGTTTAGTCTTGGTTTGGTGTAATTAAGGGCAACTGGACAGACTCTTTCTTTTTCTTTGTGAATGTAGCTTTGAAAATAAGAGTCGCACACAAAAAGAAAGTTTACCCCCATTATTTTATGAATATCCTGGTGAATTAATAACTGCGCTGCTTAGTATTATTATTATTATTTTTGAATTTGAAAAGAACTGCAGTATAAGTCTATGGTGTTTTCATCTGTTTCTATTCCATTGCTGAAGAATGAAAATCAGACCCCTTTCCTTTTCAGACACATTCTTATCTAAAGCCTCAGTCAGTTATTAGTTTACTTAAGGTGTACCTGGTCAGTGCACCAGTACCAGGTGGCCAGTATGAGGAGCCCTAGCGTCATGCCGGGCCAGGGCAGGTCTCCAGTGACGGCGTCTCTGAACAGGTGCATGGCGTCAGGACGTGGCAAATGGCAGGTACTGTTGGGGATGATCTTACTTGGCACGGCAACGCTGTACACGCGCTCCAGGTTGGCATAACCACCGATCTTGTCGAAGGCTTGAGAGGATTTCCACACAGTGTAAGTCGCAGGCATACAGTAGCCTGTGTTGAGAAATGGTTGAGTTTGTACATACCAGTAATTGTTAGGATGACTGCACCAACAATCATAATTAATGTCTGTAAAGTGTCCGTGTAGATGACAGCTGCAAGACCACCTGAAAGAAAGGGATTATCATTATCAGTGACCTCTATGGTTTTTTTTTACTGTCTAAAAGTGTATAGAAAACAGTGGGACAAGGCATCTTTAAGGTGCCTGTGTTGGCCCTGTGTTCCTGTTTGCCTTACAGATTAAAAGATTATCACTGGTTACACTTCATGAAACAAACTGACTGCTTTTGGCTACCTGCAATGGTGTAGAGAGCGGTGACCACCAGCATGAGCACAGTGGACAGGTAGAGGTTCCATCCCAGGCACACCTGAACAAACAGGGCTCCGGAGTACAGGTCAGTCTGGTGACGGAAGCACAACACGTCTGTCACTGGCAGGTTCACGCCCGCAGTGGGCTGCTTTATATCTACAGTTTTATGCTGACGTGCGTCTTTTTTTAATCATTCTTGTACCGATATCTTTGTGAAGACCGACAGCAGCAGTGACAGGACAGCCAAGTAGGTTCGGATCCTCTCTCCTCCGAAGCGCCGACCCAAATACTCAGGCATGGTGACAATCTGAACGCAGCCATTTTGAAATTTTTCGACCACAATTAGACAACAGGGAACGCTAAAACAGATCTGCGTGTTTTTTACTGGACTGTGTGATCTGATAGCTATCATCTTATGTCTGCAGACCTTCTCAGCTTTAAACAAAAAAGTTTTAACCTTTTTTAGGGGAAGTGGGAGCTGTGAGTGTGGCTCAGTGAAACACCCTGTTGGGGAATTTTACAAGGTGAGGAATCCCTGTTAGGGGAAATTCTAAAAGTACCTGCAGAACGAGCCTTAACAGGAAGACACACGCCCATATATATGTGGGTGTTTCAACTCACCCCTGAGGAGATGTAGACCGGCACAAAAACCCAGGCCAATGCCAGCAACACATAGGTGGCCTTTAAGTGGGGCAAAGAGAGAGAAGAGACAGAAGGGTTGGAACAGTTTGTCCACAATAGTTGAATCAAGAGGAAAAATCTCTTGGTCAGACTACAACAAAACTGTTAATTCATGAATTACAGCTAAAGATGAACTCGTTCTGTGTGGGGATCTGTATTATTGCCCGCTGCTGAATGCTACCTGTTGCAGGCAAGTTCACTCTCCCTGATGAGTTTAATCCCTGAACGTCTAGACAATGTTGAAAGAAGAAATCGGAAAAATCCTTGATAGTAAATCTGCTTATTCAGAGCTTTTGTTTCCAAGTATAAAAGGAAGATTACTCATACTCTTATGTTTTATTCTGTGTAAACAGCTCTCCTCAAAAGAAACAACTTGTATCCGGATTAGAGGGCAAGCTCGGCTTCATTCTTTACTATCTTGTCTGTTGTTTCTGTTAATAGAGCAGTTAAATCGGTTACTTCTCTGCTTAACCGGTGTCTGCATGTTCTTGGTACTCACACTCCATTCAAAGCCGGTGACAGCGATGCCGCCTGCAGCTCCAGTCCCGGCCAGACCAATAAACAGACCCGAGCCCTCTGAACTTGCAAAGAGGGACGATCCAATCTGTGTACACCAAGGATGGAAGGATATATTATATCTTAAACTCAGTTAAGGTTTATTTATATCTCTATCTATATATTTACACACGCCTTTTTTACCGTCCATGACCTAATGGCACTAGTGTTAGTTATTTTGGAAGTGAAACATTAACTCACACCTCTTGTCGTCCGCGTCCGTTGTCATTGTTCTATTTGAAAAGATTTTATTTAATTTCACACACTGCTTTGCTTTTAGTGACGTGCCAAGTCTATGCTGTGCTACTTTAGGACCAAACTCAATCAATCTTGGTTTCACTGAGATTTCTCCAGGCTACTTACCTTATTTTGGGCACATCACATCTATCTTCTAATCTCTGCTTCTGTGAGCCTCAGCCCATCAACCATAATCTACAACCTTTATATCTTACAAAGAGGCCATTTACCTACCTAAGTAGTTGTGATACTATTGTTCTTTATATTTTGCAACCTTGTTTTACATAAACAGAATATAGTGTTTGAAGTTTATTTTGATTTATTGTAGCTTATTACATTTTTAATAAATCTTTCCAATGTGTCCACAGTTTAATCACAGTTTGGGGTCAAATTCATTGCTGTTAATGGTCCAGTTATCATTGCCTTGCCCAACACAGTGTTTAATTGCTTTCTCTGTATCCACACTAAAGCATCATCAGGAACCATGAACAGGTATTTTGTTGTTCAAGTACAGAAACAAAATTGCTAGGAACATAAAGGTCAATAGATGCTGTGCGTGTCTTCTACCGCCAAAAATGTGAAATACTTGATAAATGTACTGGTATGAGTACACACAGTATAGCCATAAAAATGTCAAAAAAGTTGACAGTTCTCATGTTACATGTTTTCAAATCAGATGAGAAGAAGCAGACTCACCGGCCACCAGGCCATGTCCCGGCCAGCCAAGAAATATCCGCTGAGGGTGTTCCTGCTCACCCTGCACGATGACTGACGGAGAAAACTATTACTCATGAACATGCAGACAAAGTGAATTCGCGGAAACAGAGCACACAAAGAACTACATATCTGACTCTTACCCAAATGCCGACTGCGAGGTTGAGGAGGAAGTATGTTACTATGACAATAATGTCAGGGAAGCTGAAGGACTGTGGCAGGGCGTAGAAGTTGATGGTGGAGTTAGACATCCTCAGTGTCACCAGCAGAAAACACACTCATAAATAAACAAAAGTCCCACACGTTCACCCCTCCTGTTGCACCTCCTGAATCTGTCTTTTTGAAACAGTGGAGTTCAGACGACTTACTTAAACACCCTACTCACTTCTGATGCACTTACATGCAGTCAAACACACACACCAGCCTCTGGTAAAAGTCTCCTCTTGACTGAACTGTGAGCTGACCTCTGTGTTAGTGTGAAGCCTGACACAGTGTCGGACGTACCCCTGAAGAGGGCAGTTCCTTGGTTGAATTGATGATTAAACACATCACCTTAATGTGGCACCAGCAGCGCTGGCACACACACACAGTGCTAGGGGATAATGGAGTGCACACCATGGATGAGCGCTGGAGTACAGCAGATGCTCATGTGGGACAGAGTCCATGCTGACACATGCACACACACATACACACACATACAGATGGTCAATCATTGGCAATGACAAGTTTATAATCATTAGTGTCTAAACACACAAACATCCTCTAATGTGCTAATAGGGTGAATGAAAGTGTGTGAGAACAAACTATGAACTGTTCGCAGTTCACAGTCTGTAAGCCAAAGATAACTCACTGTTAAGATTTTTTGGCAACATTACATTAAAAGCTTCATCAGCCAGCATTAAGTGTGTCAGAGCAGTTAAATTATATCAGGGAAATTACCAATGATAAAAAAGCTGCTTATGAACAAGTAACATAGCATTTCATTAGTTTATTGATACTGTTGTTGCTGCCATTCAATCATTTGGGTATCATTTTGATTTTTTTATGGATTAAGTGTGTAAAAAATAACCTTTTCATCAAATTGCAATGATCAAGACGTTATTTCTAAAAGTTCTTTTCATTTTACTCACAGCTATATGATTTTTAAATCACCAAACACACATCATAATCAAAATATTCAACTAAAAACAGAAGTTAAGTTGTCTTTTACAAACTTAAAATACAATGTATGTTAATATGAATCCATCACTGTCTGTCAATAAATAAAGGAGCTAAAACTTCTTAGTTTTATTAAATTTCGCCTTGAAATTAAACTTCCATTGAAATTAAATCTGAACATATCTCTACATTCTTCTGTAGTACAACATGTGAGAACAACAAGTCCAAAAGGAGGATGTGAACAGAGTTGAGTAAGTTTGCTGTCGTGCTCCTTGATGTGAAATTAACTCAGTGTCACACATAAGCTGCTGATCAGTGTTTGTCTACTATAAGTAGCAGATGGTGGTGATGGAGACACCCTGACGTCACACACATCATCATTAATCTTTGTTTCTCTCTCTCAATCTCACCCCCACACACCCAGACAAACTTACAAAACAACATGTGAAAGTGTAAAACCAAAAGAAGACGCTTTCAGAAAAACACTCAAATTCATCAGTGTCAGACACACGCTGATATTTGGGTTACAAACTAGTTTTGTTTTCATAAATTACAACCATGTAAGATCAGGCTTCCATTTTTTCCCCGCTCACCATGTTCATATATGAATACAGGCTCAATATGAGACTTATAGAAGGGTAAAAGGTTCTGTGGGGTTCCATGGTTCTAATTCTACTTTTGTTTTTCAAGTTTTATTGTAAGTTTGAATGTTTTTATAAAGTTTAGTGAATAAAAGCCTGCAGCATAGACACCACATATAAATACAAGTAATTTAGCATCAATTTTGACAATGTAATATTGTGTACATATTGCAAAGATTTTACTTTTTGACATTGGGTAACCACCTCTAACTACGGTATATTTATATTTTACAGGGAAATAAAATGGAACAAACATACTAAAATATTCTCTCAGATATGTTTTTCTATGAAAATGTGTATCCGTTTTTGTCTGGTACAAAAAATAATAATTTTACAAAGTCATAAATGAAAGCAAACCTCAAAGTACAAAAATAAATAAAACAAAAAATATCTTATTGCCCACATTTTTCATACATATTACCAGAATTAAAGTAAACTTGAGAAGCTATGAGTACATTTTAGTCTGTTGAACAGCACCACGATGTGGCCGCTTTTACGTACCTTTTCAGTAATATTTAATATACAGGTAATATAACAAACCTGACTTATCCTAAACATCCGCTATCTTTTGCATATGTTTCATTGTGATGATAATCCTTTATTCAATTTAGTTTTCGTTTTAGGATGGAAAGCAGATTGGGAGCAGCGGTGCATGGTGGGAAATTAAAGTGTCTCCAGTAACCAATCAGAGGATAGGCCACTTGCCCTACCCGGATGTAATACTTCACAACAAAAAATTGCCGGGAAACGTCCGCTGTGATAGGAATAGGTACTAAGGCAAACCGATAATATAAATGAAAGCAGCCTTTTCTGGTTCGTTTGTCATTAAGTAAAGTAGCTGTTGTGTCTCTGGAGAAAACAGTGTCCTTAAAAGGCCCAAAATGGACGAATATGACGAACTTTTCGAGATAGAGGACCACTACGACGAGGAGTTCGCCGATGAGCTCGAAGTTTTGGCTGAGATGGAGAGTGAGTTCAAATAAGATCAGATGGTTGGCCCGTGTTAGTCTGCGTTACCTGCTTGTTTTGGTAAACTCCAGGCACCAAAATATTCAATTTATCATTTTACTAAATTTAATCTGAAGCGCATAAAGTGAATAATTTGATCCCCTGTTTAAATTGCACACTTTGCAGAGCAGTCTATGCAGGCAGGGTGGACTGAAACTCTTTAATAATATATTAAATAATTTTGAAGTTTTATTGAGGTGTTGTTTATATTGCTTCTTTATGGGGTCAGTACCAGCTCGGTCCTCCTGTTCTTCCGTTTATTGAAGATAGATTTGTGGACACATAATCTGGACACTACAGTCTTCTGTGTCTTCTATGTTATATTCAAATAAGCTCAGTAATGTAATATTTATAATATTCATATTATTATGTAATCTTTTACATTTTTATGTCTTTGATCCAGTGATTGTGGGCAAAATGTCATGAAGTTGTGAAAAAAACGTTTTTTACGATTCTTAGAGTCTTCCCATCCGGCAAAGCGTCAGAAACTGGATCCAGGAGACGACATCTCAGACATCGAGCACCTTCTGAATGATAAGGGCAACAGTGAGATTATTCTGATGATTTGCGTCTGTCTTGTAAGTGTTGTCTTGTATTGTTCTTTGAACTAAACTTTACTTGTTCTTTTCAGCTCCGAAGACAAAGCAACAGAAGCAGGATGCAAGTGTGGTTAAGCGACTTTTCAGTTCGTCACAAACTCAACAGACGACAGCCCCATCACAGCATGATGACATCACACCGCCGTCCTCTCCTGAGCAATATGACTCTTCTCGCACCGTCAGGTCGGTAATGGCATGTGTTACAAACACAAAAAAAGTAACGAGGAAGAAGAAAATGAGAGGCAGGAAAATATTCTGGGAGCTTTGAATCTGTGGCTCCCTGATGTTCGGTACATGCAGCTAGTTACAGAATAGCTCCAGCATCATGAAAATGGAAAGTGGTGCATTTCTAAAAATGCTCAAAGACTGAATATATTTGTTTGTTTTTAGGTCTACTCCTGCTGTGTTGGATATCAGTGGCTTGGCTGCTATCCCTGAAACACCCAGGCGTCCTCACAGAGAGGCGCCAACATCTCTGCATGTGCTGAAGCGACCTCCTTTGGAGGGAGAATACATCAGTGTGACGGATTCATCAGGAAATCGGGTCTACCTCAGACAAAAAGAGGACACAGGGTCCAAGGTAAAAGTTTAGTGTGGTTAGTCAGTTCTATTCCTACTTGTTTATCCAAATCCTTACATCTATTATTTTATTCCTGTTTCTCTACAGGTAGCGGACTCTAGAATGCTACCAAACTCTCATGGTGGTCTGGGACTGTTGGCCGTCCCAATTGGAGTGTTGCTAGAACAGGCGGCAGAGAGAGTGAGTGAACCAACCAGCTCTGCAACCCCCAATGATGAGCAGTACCAGAATACAAACTCTGTTTATGATGATTAAAACTATAAAACAAACTTGGAAATAAAAGAGGATGCATCTCTTTCTAAGAAAATATGTTTTGGGGTATTATATCTTATATGGGTCCATTTTATTTGTAGTAAAAGGTTTATTATAAGATGTTTACCTTTCCTTATGTAGACCTTAAAGAGTTTTATTTCTGCTCTGTTTTGTTAAAATCTCACAGCGTCACCAGCAGGCAGTCGAAGAATCAGTGCGTCTTACAGAAGTGCTGAGCAGGTAACTCATTGTTTGACTCTCACACACACAGAATAAGATAACATGCAATATTTTATGTTTTTAACTTTCTTATGGGTGTTTGCCACATTGCAGCCAGGTGAATGACGTGTTTGCTGAGTCGGAGAATGCAGAAAGTGAAGATACTGAGGACAAAGGGGCCAAAACTCGACTCTGGGTGGACAGATATTCACCACAACATTACACTGAGCTTCTCAGCGATGATGTGAGTGATGTGTAAGCTCTTAGGACAGCTTTGGATGTGAATGTTGTCCTCTTGTTTGTAAACACCTGTTTTTCTTCTCCCTGTTTAATTTTTAGTTTACCAACCGCTGTCTGCTCAAGTGGTTGAAGCTTTGGGACACCGTGGTGTTTGGGAGAGAGCGGAAGTCCCGCCCTGTGCGCTCTGACAGAATGGCTTCTAATCAGAGCTCATTCAAACCGAATCAAGGAAATCAGAATCAAAATCGCTTCAAAAGCAAATCCGAGATGACCGAGGAGCTTCTGGAGGCTGAACTGGACCAGTTCAAGCGACCCAAATATAAGGTACAATAGATATAACGTGAAGATAAATGTTATTCAGTGAGCCTTAGTTTGGTTAAAAAGATGTGATTTAATTGTTGTTTTTTCCCCTCCAGGTGGCATTGCTGTCTGGTCCTCCTGGTTTAGGGAAGACCACTCTGGCTCATATCATAGCAAAGCATGCTGGGTACAATGTGGTGGAAATCAATGCCAGGTTAGACTTGACCAAACCGACCAATGAAAAGATTTGGATCAGTTAATGTAGATGGTTGTGTTCGACCTGACAGGACCTCAGTGCTTCTGTTGATGTTTCTGCAGTGATGATCGCAGCACTGAGGTTTTCCAGAAACGCATTGACTCAGCTACGCAGATGAAATCAGTTTTAGGAGCTAATGAGCGGCCAAACTGCCTAATTATTGATGAGATTGATGGAGCCCCTGCGGTACGTTCCGAACTTCTTTTTCACCGAGGAGCAAGTTAGTCGAAGCAATTGCAGCATTCCATCTAAATGGGCAATGTCCCCCTTCTGTGGTGCTCTGCAGGCTGCCATCAACGTCCTATTATCAGTTCTGAACAGGAAAGACGGGCCCGGCGGGGAGGCCAGCGCAGAGACAATGAAGAAGAAAAAGAAGAAGGAGCCCATCCTGCTCCGACCAATTATCTGCATCTGTAACGACCTGTAAGAGAGACTAAATATGTTTTACACTAGTGGCACATTTGTAGTGTAATATAAGTCTATCTTCTGTTATCTCGTTTAAGTGATTTCCCCTCAGCGCTGTGTTTCTATTAGTTACGTTCCAGCTCTCAGACCTCTCCGGCAGCAGGCCTTCCTCCTGACTTTCCCACAAACTCAGCCTTCCCGCCTCACGCAGAGGCTGTCAGAGGTCAGTATGCGTAGCTATAGAAATGGAGGCGTAAAGACATCGATGTTTTTTTTTAATGCTCTTTTTGTGTGCAGATATCACTCCAGCAGGGCATGAGGGCAGACACGGGCACTCTGATGTCACTGTGTGAGAAAACCGACAACGACATCCGCTCTTGTATCAACACGCTACAGGTGTGTGGTTGCATCGTCAAAGACGCCCTGTCTGTTGTGCGAGCACACTTTGCGAATGCTGTTCTTTGGCCGTGCAGTTCCTCCATGGCCGTGGCCTCAAGCATCTGGACTCAAAGACGATTCAGTCCGTCTCTATCGGCCAGAAGGACCAAAACAAAGGCTTCTTCCATCTGTGGCAGGAGATCTTTCAGCTCCCAAGGACAAAACGGTAAGTTTATGCATTCGCCTTAACTGTTCAAGAAGGAAATTGTGACATCCGACAGATGTTCATTTTCTGAACCGGTTATTCCCAAATGCGGTCGGGGGGGACTGGGGCCTATCCCAGTTGTCAATGGGCGAGAAGCGGGTACTCCCTGGATCTCCAAACAGCTGCAGGCAAATTTTAACACAATATGTTACTAAATATGTTTATAGGACACTTAAAAAAACTGAAGGAGAGAGATAAAAAGTCTAATCAAAACCAGATTTTTAGAATGCTTATAAACTTGCAAAGACTTAAAGAAACAGAAATTACAGACTTTACAGAAATCTTACACAATTATCAAAGTTATCAAAGCTGGACTGAAACACTCTTAATGTCTGCTCTGCTGGGCCACAGATTGACTGACTCCAAAATAGTTCTTCTCATTCACATTGTTTTATTTTTTCTCTTACTGGATGAGTCTATTATTTGAATCTACAAAATGCTGCAGCTTTCAATTCAAATGTGAATCTTTTTATTCTGTGTTATTGAAATCTATGCACGACCATTTCGCAAAGAAACAGGGGATGTCCCTCTTCTGTTCTCTCAGGAAGCGTATTGGTGAGGGTTTTGAGGATGCCCTGGGTTCAGGAAGTGCGGCTCAAAGGTTCCAGCACATTCTTCACCTCGCTTCTTCTAGTGGAGAGTATGAAAAGGTGTCTCAGGTAAGGAGACAACTACTTTGCCTAATAATTTTTTCATTATTCTCTGCACAGAGGAATTGTAAGAGAAAACTAACTTGGCTTTACTCTCATCGAGAACTTGCATTGTGTCTCTTTTCTCCAGGGTCTGTATGAAAATTATTTGTCTATGCGTGTGAGGGACCCTAACCTGCACAGCGTGTGTGAGGCTCTGGATTGGTTGGCGTTCTCAGACAGGCTGAACCAAGTGATTATGAACGGGCAGAACTTCTCCCTCATGAGATATCTACCCTTCCTATCCGTCACCTTTCACTTCCTGTTTGCGCACACACACGTGCCTCGCATCAGCTATCCCCACAGCTTCCATGAGGTACTGATCTCCTGGCAGAATGGGTGGTGTACTGACATGAATTAGCCTGACCGGAGCAGATGCATGCCTGAGAAACTATGGAGGATCCATCCCCCATGTGTTGTGTCCTCCCCAGGTATCGTCTCGTCTGCTCAGCAGCAGGAATGCTTTGTCCACCATGCTTGCTGACATTCCAGCCAGCATCAGAAGCAGAATCAGCCAGCTGAACCTGACCCTCGATTTTCTCACACTGCTTCTTGACATCATCTGTCCCAAACTGCGGCCAGTATGTTAAAGCTTCTGTTTTTATATGATTCTTACATATGGGACATTAAATCTCAGTTTTGGTGTCCCTGTATCTATTTGTGATCAGCAGATCTGAGGGACAGTACACAGAACTTTAGAAGCGCAGAGGGCTGTCAGTACCTCTCTCTGATAATTAAGACTTCATCATCTGACTCATAAAGGCACATGAACTAATACTTGATGTGCAGGAGAATAGTTGTATAGACTTGATAGACATCAGAAATTGATGCGAGTGTTCATAAAAAAAACAAGACTAAATGGATTAGAAAAAATCATGCAAAATGAATGTTGACCCTAAATAATTGTTCTTTAAGGAGCTACAGTCAGAAGGTCATGAACAAGACTGCTGCTTGACTTTGACATGGTGGTCTGTTGAGGCTGTGTGAGAAAGAAAAACACCCACCATGTTGGAAACATTTCATTTGGCTCAGCATCAGGATAAAACACAACACCAAAAAAACAGCCCCTTAAATGTCCTCAGATATTCAGCTGAACACCTCGTTTGGCTTCTTTTAAACTGTTGTGTAGCTTTTCAGGTGTTTTCAGTGAGCCGAGGGACGGCGTTTGACTTTTGCTCCGTTGCTGTGAACTCCTTCAGGTGAATCCGCAGCTGTTCAGCAGCAGAGAGAAGGAGCAGATGCACGAACTGATCAGCACCATGCTGGCCTACAACCTCTCATACAGACAGGACCGCACACCGGAGGGGCAGTACACCTACGTGTTGGAGCCGTAAGTGCTAACCGCCTCCTGCGCGCCGCCATCTGTGCGGAGCGTGGGAGACGTGCGGGGCAGATGTGCGTTTGTTTGTGGGGGGGGTTGAAGGTCACTGCTCCCGTCCACACGGTGGTTCTCCGAATGACGGCTTAGAGAGTAATCCCCTTAACACCTGGTGGTGTGTGTGTACGTGTGATGATTGTGGTGTTGGTTGGCAGCAGGGTAGCAAACAACAAAGCATCACCAGCGGGGCTCAGGTGGATGGATAAACAAACGAGAGGAGGGACGGGTTGAGTTCAGCTCGATCGCGATAAAGCAGGAGACCATTTGAAACATCGGGGACTGTCAGAATTAACTTAAATCCGGACAGCCACTTTATATTGGGAAGCATTTATCCAATTTTGAACCTTCCCGGCGGACGCCAGAGCCTGACGGTGTCAGCATGGGACAGCTAACCTCAGCCACGCCGGACCAGAGCCACGAGCGGCCGGCCGCCCACGAGGGCTCCCTCCTGCAGGCGCGCTGTGACGAAGTGCTGGTCACCAACGACTGGTGCCTGCCGCTGGTGCTGGCTCTGCTGCTGCTGCTCCTGCTCTACACCTTTCTGTACCTGCCCGCTCTCGCCCACCACAACAGCACTCTGACAGCTGGAGGATAAGGGCACGGTGGAGACGCTCAGCATCACACACAGCAGAAGCAGCCACTCCCAGCTGGAGCGTTTCATTTTGCTGTGCAGTTTTTTTTTGTTTTTTTTCATGGGATCGCATTCGTGCCATTCAGGTGAAACCAGTAACACAAGGCAAATGTTGGAAGCCTCGTTTAGCATGAGACTAAAAGCTTAAAACTTTAAGGGTTTCAAATATCTGCTGTAACTTAAAGCTTCCATCTTAGAACTGTGGGAAGATAAAGAGCTAATAGTCACTCCTGCATGTATAGAAACACATCTGTACAACTGTACTGTTATGTATTATATGGTTATTCATTGTGGGTAAAGTTAAGGCTGAACTAAATGTGATTTTATTTTTTTATTACTTCATTGTTCTGATGAGAGATATCGACCTTGGCGTGAACAGAAAGCCCCTCTGTGTGCTTTTAACTCCAACTAAAAGGCTTATACTACTTACTATTATATCTGCTCATTGTATTATTTCTAGGTCACCTCAGTTGACTGATAATTCATAGTTTTACTTAATTTTAGTGGACTCACAGCTGATGTTTTATGGTAATAACTAAGCGCACTTTAGAAGTGTTATTAGTCAATCTGTTGATCCACTGGGTGAGACCACACTCATCTGTGAGTGTGTTGAAGCTCTTAAGAAGATTACGGTTTTAGAGAGTGACATGTTTGAGGTTTCTCGCTGAAAAACCTAAATCCCTGCCACCCAAAGGGAGAGTTATTTTGTTTACTGTCTGACAGGGTTCCCCTTTCTGTACCTGTGGTATAAAAAGGCAGACGGGTATTTTGTACATAAACTGTCATGTGTCTTGTGTTGGCAGCCGGATTGAGGAAGTGGCGAGGTTTCCAGGCCTACCACCACACCGTCAGCTGACTTATCAGGCCAAACAGACCATCAGCAGGGAGATGGAACAGGAGAAGATGAGGAGAGCCGAGCAGCTGATGCTGCGGCGAAATCCTGTAGTGGTGAGATCTCCAAACAGACTGTTTTGTGATAAGCTGGACAGAACTCCAGTTAGTCTATGTACATGTGCATACATATGCGACATGCGTGTGTGTCTGTGAAGCAGAAAGAAGATGAAAAAAAGAGTGCTGGCCCTAAACCAATAAGGAACCATCAGCAGAGGCTGGAGAACATCGTCAAACAGACCACGGTGGAGACCAGGGTGAGTCAGGATGTTTACCCAAAACCTGCTTATTAAAGGAAAATGTCCCCTCTGTTTGTGCTGGCACATTCAGTCGCTCCCATTCTCACCTGAACCAACAGACTGTGAACCTGTGAAATCTGTAATGTATCGGGGTTGTGGCGGCCCCTGGGGTGCAGAAATGCTGACTAAACACAGGGAATGTTTTTGGTGTTTGTGTTTGGATATGGTAGTTTGAGTTCTCCATTTGGGAAAGGATAAGCTGGGACTGGAACTGTGATCCTCTCCGGGTGATCTGAGTCACTGGAATAGTTCAGTAATGGAGTGACGGAGCCTCCAGGGGGCAGAAATGGGGATAATGAGAAGCCACTGGGTCACAGTCCCCGATGGTGTAACAGGGAAAATAGGCTAATGAGAGGAAGTGCGTGTGCCTGCGATTGTTCGCTGATATTGACTTTGTTACAGAGGGCGCTTTTTCACCAACTTCTTCTCTGTCTTCGTTCTCATTTTGTTTGTGCCCCGCAGCCGGAGCTGGACTTCTTCGGTCGAGCTGTTGTCCCCAAACCTGAGAAAGAGCAGCCAACCTCTGACACAGGTACTGGTACAGACTCTGTCCTTGGTGACATTATTGCTACATCGTTTCAGTCCTTTAAGTTGACATAATGATTACACAAACCCAACAAAACTTTTCTGGGTAGATTTTTGTTAAATATACGAACCCACAAAGATTAGAGATATCACGCTCAGCCCCCGTCTACTTTTTTCTTTAAAACAGTTCCCCTTTGCTTGTATTTCATGAGAAGTGCATTACAGTTTATCATCTGGCATTCAGCCATCCACACATTTATTTTGATTGTGTTCACCATGTACTTCTTTTGTACATAGAAAGCTAATAGTTCCTTTCAACAGATAGAACAGCTGGTATGTTTGGACCAGATTCTGTACTTGATTTAAACTGGACCCATTCAAATCGCTAACTTTCCTGGGAAGAATCGACCATCAGGGTAATCAGAGTGGAAAAGCAGAGCTGCGGCTGTTTATGGGTCAAAGCAGGAACAACAACAAGGCCCTATGAACGATAACAGGCCCTGCTCCTAATTCTGGAGCGTCCTTCTGCCCTTGCTGATAACCCATGCCTCCATTTGAGCTCACCGATATTCAGATGTCCTCCACACACGCAGGGTTGGCCCTGATGGTGCATTTTGGCTGTATGAGTTTAGAGCATTATCCAGGAAACTCTTGAAACCACCCTCATTGTGCTGTTTATACCAAATGAGTTGTTACCTACATTGAAATTTTTTTTGTTTTCTTTTCTTGCTTGATGGCTTCTGAATGAGCCAATGAGTTCATGAGCCATGAACCATCATTGTCTATTCAAAAGGTGTTGATAACACAATGTTGTGTTCAGGGTATACTGAGATGACTAATCAGGCTGTAGAATTTCAGAGGATAAGAAACGATGCTCATTTGAAATTCCGAAAGTCAAATTAGATTTCTTCTATTCAGTTTAGGTGAAAGACTGGAGTTTTTCGGCACCACTGAAAATAAAGATCAGGAAGTTCTGTTTATCAAAGAATAAAGAGAACAGAGCTAATTTTCCTTTTCTGTTATGCACTTTGTGGCCATGGATGGCAATTCCATTATATGGAAACCTAGAGTAGCTGTAGGTGTGACCTGGGAAAAAGCTGATTTGTTAAGAAGAAAAATTAGACGATGATTCAACTTGAACTTGTTTTTTAATTCATTTTTCCTGTGTAGGTAAGAAGAGTGCAGTTCTTTCTATGGGAACAGCAGTGGGCAACAGTGACGTGTGGTTTCGGTTCAACGAGGGCATGTCCAACGCTGTGAGACGAAATGTCTACATCAGAGAACTTCTGTAACACACACACACTCTGCCTTTCTGTATATTTCCTTTCTGTTATGATTGAAATCATCCAAATGACTCCATAATCGTGTCAGTTAATTCAAAACAGTCTTTATTTGGATTGACAGTGTAAAGAGCCAATAAAAACATGTTGTTGAACATTGCTCAAACATTGCTCTCTAGAAAGCTACTCAGTGCTATATATGCACTCACGCACACACACACACACACATTGGTCTTCACATCCTTAATAGCATTCAGGAATCTCCAAATAAATAAACATAATAATAGCAATAACGTGTGTGTGTGTGTGTGAGAGGGAGTGAGTGTCGGAGTTAGTGCAGCGAGGCCGTGCGGGAGTGCATGATTCTTTAGATTGTATGCATCCGTGATTGGTTTATGGTGTATGTGCGCATGTGCGTGACCATTAGAGGATCACGCACTTGCCCTTCTCCACCCAGGGGTTGGCTCGCATCAACTCAGGATTCAGAAATGGATCTTCGCAAACACAGCCCTCGATCCACTTCACCAGCCTACAAAAAAATAAAAAATGCACACTGTAAACAGCAGCGCGACGCTGAGCAGAATGTGTGTGTGTGAGCTGAGCACACTCACTCAGTGACAGTGATGGAGGATTTCTCCCTGCTGATCGCCAGCTGATACTGAAGGCTTTCCACTTCTCTCCTCATTTGGGGGACGTCTAACTCATCCATGGTGTCGCTGCTGCTCGTGCACACAAAAACAAAAAGAAATGGCAAACTTGAGCCGACAGTTGGCTAAAGAGTCTGTTCAGAGTTAAAAGAAATGTACGACAACAGCAGTAACCTGCAGCAGTGTGTTTGATTTATGAGAATTATTTCTAGATACCATGGCAAGTGGGTTTTTCCAAGTACATTTTTTAACAGTAACATGCTTTGAACAATCTTGTTAGATTAGTGCATTTAATTGGATACTTGGAACCTTTTTAAAGAGTGGGTGATCATTGATCAAGTATAGAAACAAAGAGATATTTTTAGTTTAGACCTTTGGCAGAACGTATTGTACTGAAATGGTTTCAGGAGGCTGCGTTGAATTTGAGACTTTTAAAAGAAAAATGGATTTTATGGGAAGTATTTCTTATGTTGCTTGTTGACGTTCACATTCCAGAATTTGTGGAAAAGGTAAAAAAGAAATGCAAAACCTGGGAAAAAATTAAATGGTTGCACTTGGATACAAATAATGTTTTTTTTATTATCTTTATATATGACAATACCCATTAACCCCCATCCAAAAAAACTTGTTACTCTAAACATTTTCCCGATCTCTTACTTTAATTGTGGGATATATTTGAATTCACTGATCAAAAATTGATCACATTTTAATTATCCGGGGGCATTATCCGGGGGCACGTACGTACTTTGATTCAGGACTATTTTGAGAAGCGGATTGATAAAGATTCCATAGCAGATTGAGTTTTGACCGCAGCACGACCCGGCTGTCCGCTGAAATGTCTCAACAAACAACAACAAACGGACGTGTACAAGTTATAGTCGTTCCTGAAATAATGCAGTTTCACACCGAATGGCCCACAGAAATAAGCTTTTTGTTGAACATTGTGGATCTTAGTCCTTTGGTTAATTTGACAATTACACGACGCGCGTATGTAGACATGAGCACGTTATAAGCCAAAAAGCGGTGGAAAGTTCTGATCTCGGTGTACCTAAAGCAGGGGCAGCGCTTCCAAGCTCTCTGTCGTCGTTTTCGGCTTAAATGTGTTTTTGCAGATGAACGAGGCAAATCCTGCTGAGTGCTATTCAAATGTGAGGACCTGGCTGATGCTGAACTGTGGCTCAGTTTCTACAAATAAGCGGAAAAAACGGCTTCTTTTCCTCTTTGAAGGCCACCACCATCCAGCCGAACTCGTATGAAATCAGGTTAGACCACATACATTTTTAGAGCATCCCAAAGGGGTTTGGGAGCTCATTTGAAAAGGGAGCACTGACCCTCTTGGGACAAAAAAAATCAGGATTGTTTACAGCTGGGAGTCTAAATAATGGAAATCATCACTCCGTGACATACACATTCCCCTGCTTTTCTTTAACGTATTTTGACACACAGCATGTATCATCCAGTTATTTGAAATAACGTATAAGTACCACGATCTGCTCCTCTTACTCATGGTTTGTTTGTTATGTATGAAGTCCTGCCCCACCCGGCCACTTCACATTTAGATTTCAGAGTTCAGATGACCATGGGACCGGCTGCTATCTCCGTCTACCGCACTCCCCATCATCATCATCATCATCATCATCCTCATCCTCCTTTCATTTTTCTAATGGATCTAAGTGGGTCGGGCTGCCCGGTGCCTGCTTCATCCACCAGCATCCATCCGATTGTGCCCCCCCCCCACCCCCACCCCCTACCCAACCGATCCCTCACACACAAGGCCTTGTCATGATTTACATCCAATATGTGTCCCAGTGACAGCGGTCTCCATCCCTCGGACATCTGTCCGTGCTCGTATTCGGGGGGCTACATTTCGGCCTTCCCTTTTCGCATCAAATCGATGCGTACGGTGGTCGAGTGTAGGCGTCGGTAGGAGCGCACGAAAACATCAGCTGCGTGTGTGTGTGCGTGTGTGTGTGTGTTGCGATGAAAATGGATGCAGGAACACGGTCCCTTCCACACACACACACACACACACACCACGGTTGCTCTTACCGTCAAGGCCTGCCGGAGAGGAGAGGACCGAGGCTCGGGTCGGGGTGCAGGCCGGTGGAGAAGGGGGATGCGGGGCGGGCCGTGGCGGGGACAGAGGCTCGCTGTGCGGAGTGAGAGGAGGCTCGGTGGAAGGAGTCCGCTTCGAGTGTGGGAGGAGGCACAGACTGAGGCACTCCCCAGCGCTCCTCTCTGGAAAAAAGGCGACTGGATGCGCAGGGCGGAGACAGACCTGCCGCCCGGTTTTTGGCAGTCAAACAAGGGGCCGGAACGCGCACCTGGTGGATGCAAATGTGGGAGGCGCGGCGAGCTCCGGGCACTGGCACGGAAATTACGCAAATGAGGGCGCGCTTCGAAGGGAAAATAGGCAGTTCGTTTAATATTCCGCCGAGCAGAGGGGGATTTGTGTCTCGGCTAATGCACCAAACCAAGTGGGATAAGTCACGTGAGGTTTCGGAGCAAAGAATAAGCAGACATCTACTGCCAGCCCACCCACAAGCACAGGAAAATTCATTATACGTCATTGGAATTTAGTTTTCTGATTACTAGTCTGTCCCTGTAGAAACCAAAACCCAACCATTTGATTCGTGCACCATTTGGGCATGAAGAAGTCAAAGTCAAGATATTTAGGCCAGCAAAACAAGTGGGAGCTCCCCCCCGAGCAAAAATAGAGGGAATTGAGACTTAAGGCAGGCAAATGCCATCAAGTCAAACCGTAGCAGTCAGCTACCACCAAACTAAATATGAGACCAACTAACTTACCACAACACACCAATTATAAATCACAGCAATATCTTGCATTGCATTTGTTTAACATGACTATATTAGGGAAAATGTACAATTCAATTTGTTTATGGTTTGTTTTAAATGAAATACCCAAACACCCAAATCTATAAAATCATATGATAGCACAGGGGGAAATAAAACACAAGCACAATTAAAAAACATCTAATCTTTATTTCTGAATACATAAAAGTCAATCATTTGGTCATATAACTGCAGACAGCGCGTGGTCTGGTCTGGGTTTGTTCCACAGCAGGTTTCAGGCAGGCCTGTGATTCTGTTTGAACAAAGCGCATCCAGGAACCTGTAAACAGTTTAGATTAGATCATCCTGTCCGATTAATAAAGGTCATAATCCATGGTCTGTGTGAAGACCCGTCAAAGTCTAAACTACCTGTAGTTTAGATTTGCATTCAACACAAAAACTTACCAGTAAAAGTCAAATCAGCCCCAAATGGTCCGACATCTTCGCCGTGTCTCAAATCTACAAGAAGAGAAGCCAAGGCATGAAAAGCACGACTCTGCCAACAGCATATCTGCACAGAACTGCAGGAGCCTCAGAAAAAAGTCAGAATCATGAGCCGAAGTTCAGCTCTCATAGTAGGTGTCAGAAAAGTTTGTTTATTTTGTCCTCATTGGCCAAAAAAAAAGTGCCATACAGCAGGAGACAAAACTCACCTTCTCTAAAACCACCGGGGTTCAGCGACACGCGGGCCGTCCACTTTCAGCCGTCACCACCTGGAGAGGGAGCATTTAAAGAGCATTACAGAGAGTCGCTTTAGAGAGACCGGACGTACACCGAACCGGTTTGGCCTCAGAATAGACTTTGAATCAGGAGCCGACAGGCGGCTCTCATAGTAGGTGTCAGAAAAGTTTTGCAAAGTTCGTCATCACGGGCACAAAGCGGCTCAGTCCAAAATAAAGAACTCACCGCGTGTTCCGCAGCAGCCTGCATCACACCGACTCCGGTGGAATCAACCCATTTCTGGTGCGCCGACTATCAAGAGGCCATTCTTCAGTCCCACGTCATCCAACGAAGCCATGGCTGTGAGGGGAGAGAAAAAGCTTTGGTCAAAGACAATTCCCCAAGTTTGCAACCATTTAACTGAGAATTTAGTGGGATTGGCTGACCAGTATTTCTAGAAAATATTGAAACAACCTTTAAATCCCCCCACAGGGAGGTTTTTAACAGGTCTCTAACTTGGTTAACTCTCCACTGAATTTGTTTTTGATCTTAGTTGTACATGTTCTAAGCTTTGCCACAAACTAGCCTCAACTTTTCAGATCAGAGCCCTCCTGGATTTCATGCTTCATAGTCAATTAGACCACATGATTCCTTTAACCAAAGTGCACCCAAATACATGTGCTTGGTTATCGTATTAGATACAATAAGCATAATCGTATTATATGGTCACTGTCTTATCAAATTAATGGAGTACGTAAGGAGGCCTGTTGTTTGTCCCAACTTAAAACCACTTCTGACCAGAGCTGCCGCCTGGCACAGGAAGCCCTTTCAAATTGAAGTCCGAGAGCTATTCCGGTTAAATGTTTATTAAGTTTAAGTTATAAAGAAATAAGATGTGGGAGGAGGGACGATTACGTATTAAATCTTACAATTATAGATATATTTAACCCTTTCTTTGTTTATAAGGGTAAGGAAATTAGCCTCCAGTGAATTTTTCCTCAATTTTTAATCAGTAAATAAGACCTTCAACTGAAACATTAAGGGTTTTAATCTACCCCCACCGTCACTCCGCTGGGGATGCGTGCAGGCCAGCCACGTGCCCACCAGAAACTGGGCACGTGGGAACACTGTACTCACTTGTTTGGTTGGTGGAGGTCATCTTTTGAAGAGAGGTGAGGTTTTGTGTTATTTTCAAGAACACTCATTGCTAATGTTTGAAGACTATCGGTTAATGGTGGCGACAAAGAGCTCCGTTTCTGCCGACAGGCTGCGAACGAAAGGAAGGACCGAACCGGCTGTGGTTTTCTTTAAGACTTCCGTCCAAACTAAAGCCCCTCCCACAGACACATATACGTCTATATGTCTGTGGCCCCTCCCTGTTAGGTTAGCTAGCTAGTTCGCATTTTGTCGGGCCACCTGTGAAGCAAGGAAACCGATTCAAATTATGCTATGTATTCAAATAGCTGCGTGTTCATTCGTAAATTCAAAACTTATCTGTATATTCCCATTTCTGAGATAAAGCAAAGTGAAAAAAAAACTGTGAAAATAACGACTTTGTTAGCATGTTGCAACATTTCCCATGAAACTCGTGGAACACAGAACCAAGGCATCATGGGAGTTGTAGTCACAGAATCGTGCACTGCTGTCGACAGGGCAAAATGTATTTAAAACAGATATCACTTTGCTACCTTACTGATCATTTAACATTTTAGAAAGAGTTATTAGAGGGTAGATATAGGTAATGTAGTTAGGTTTATAGGTAGAACAGGCAACAAATATCTTCCAATAAAACTTTATACTAAGAATGTTTGTAGTACAGATGAGATATTAAAAGACATTTAAATGGTAAAGTCCGGTTTAATTTATACATTTATTCTGATCACAGCTGTACAGGAATGCATTGTCACAGCAGAAACACAGCCTAAACCCAACCATAAGCACAACAGCCATCACAACACATCCAGAACTCAACCATAGGTCTACAGGCTCAATTAGCTCACCTCAATTCAATACTTAGATTCATCCTTATTACCATAATTATTGTTATTCACATAGAACTATCTCTCTCTCAAATATATATTTGTTTTCAAAGAGCATAAAAATACAAGTGAACTCTTCACTGGGATGAAAACCGGTGGTAGATCTGCTGTTTGGCCTACATGAGGGGAGGGGCGTTTCAGCAAGGAGGGGAACCAACTTATCATAGTTTACAGTGGGACCTAAATGAGCTCATACAAGCTTTTCAATGGCTACAAGAGGTTGCAGAAGGGGGTTGGATTGGTTTTAAGGATTGTATAGGACTCACAACTCAAGTTAGAAGCTACTTTTGACATCACAGACACGGAAAGGTTGCAGAAGAACATCAAAACCATTAAACATTTTTGGAGTAGACATGAAAAAAAAAAAGAAGAACACTACGAAGGCACAGAGATTTGCAGAGTTAACATAACACACAGAAGGAGACATAAATTGGAGCGTAAAGGTGGGTAGATTAAAGGCAGTTTCACTAACCAACACTAGAGGGAGCTCTAATAGTTCATTTACCCAAGTATATTATAAACTATCTGTTTATGTATACTGGATGTACCACATAAAGCATTGAAATGTATCTTTTGAAAACACTGTTCACTGCAGCAGGACAAAAGGATATATCACGTGGATGTGTTTGTGCATACGAGTTTTAGTGTGTGCATGCATGTGTGTGGATGTCAGTTTCTGTCATGTACTATGTGAGAGTAAAGAGTCGTTTCCAAGCGAACCTCTACAGATGGAGCAAAACACCAACACAGCAGAACACCAGCAATATCTGAACCACTGTAATGTGCATTTATGTGTGCTTGTTTATGTCAGAGTGTCCCAAACTTCATGGACTCACATCTATATATTAGTCTGATCTTTAAAATGACTACTGTAAGATTGGGAGGACAATGACATGAGCATTAGAAGGGATTACAAACACTCATAGCAACAACAGTTCCAACAATAACAACGACAACAATATGAACAGAGACAACACACAGGTCAGGAAGTCCAGCTAACCAAAATCCTCCTCTCATGCAGAGGAGAAATAGAGGCTACAATTCATCTGGAAAAATGCATCCTTTTGACATTATAGCAGGGAGACAGACTCAGAAAGCAGCCCGTCTTTCTGTGTGCTTTTAAAAATTCTCTCTGGTATCTCATCCATACTGTATTTAGTCTACCTACCTACCTATCTATCTGCCCGTCAGACAACTAATGTGCTTAGTTTAGCAAGCAATATACATGTTTGTCTGTTTCTCCACCAGACTAAATTAGCATGTCTGCTCTAGCCAGAGTCTTTAGAGATAAAAGGATGAGCAAAATGATTGTGCTTCTCAGACCCCACAGCTTTCTAAGGCTGGGCGGCATTGACATGCTGGGCTGAAGAGGTCGGAGGTTGTGTGGGAGCGGTCTCCTCGCGCCGGGAGGAAGAGCAACAGCTACTGCGCCAGACAAAGAGGACTCCCTCCTCTGTACTGTACAAGGCTACTTGGGAAGCGCTCACGCAGGAGGGCCGCACGCTCGAACACTCGCTCTTGAAGCACCAGTGTCGAGCCTTGGGAGAGTTTTTCTTCTTACACCAACACATGAAGGGGGGAGAGGGGAATAGCTGGTTGGAAATGCATTGTGGGCAGGAGATCAGTCGAGCATTGCATCCAGTTGATCTGCCAAGTCGTCAAACATGCTGCCAATGTCATCCAGGATGGAGGCAGATGCTTTTTTGCTGGCCAGAGAGCTGCAAGTGTAAAACAGGAAGATTAATACCTATTGAAGCGCACAAAGAAAAAGCAGTCATGGAACAGCATTGTAACTTCTTAAAGAGCAGAAAAGCACCCACAGTACATTGCACAGGCTAATGTCTGGCTTTGTTTAATGACCTAAAATCAACAGCCCTCTGCGGAAACTTTGGCAAGGGAAGAAGCTCTCACTTTTTAGACGATTAGGTATTCATTAAAGAGGTGTAGAACTATCTGAACATAGTTTTTTACATTTTTGGTGTCAGTTTAGTAACAAAAGGAAAATTATTTTTATCAACATCCAAAATCAAAATCTGACTTCAGCCAACAATCCCGTGTGATGTTACTGGTGAAGTGGCTCCTGTATTTCTAAAGTACATTGCCATTACTTCAGAGAGCCAAGGTCTTCCTGCATTTTTTGCCCTATTGAAATGCCTGGGTTAAAACATATTTTAATTGTTTTTAGGTGATTTTCCAAGGCTAGATATTATATATACATTACTAATTGAACAACACCTTTTCAACAAAATATGGAGGAAATAAAACTCCAACTTAATTTGGATGTCCACAAGTGCTCCTTTGTAAATAATCTCTGCATTAAGTAAACCATAAGTGGTAGAGATTTACTTAATTAGTACTCACTCATTTTGCCTATCCTCCTCTTTGATTTTATGCTCTACAGCCTGCAGAGCGGCTGCCAAAGAGGCACTTGTCTCCTCTGGATGATGTTGAACCTCTTCCCTCTGCTCTGCCTCCTCTACTCGACTCTCTATCTCCTCTCTTGTGCCTTCTCTCCTCAGAGGCTTCTTCTCCAGCTCCCTCTGGTTCTTGTCCTCTGCTTTCCTCCTCTCTTCCTCCTGCTCTACTTGCTTTTTGTGCTCTTTGTCTTTTCTCCGCTGCTCTTCCTCCTTCCGCCTGTCCACTTCCTCGTCCGCCTCCCGTCCTCCCACCAAGTCGATAGAGAGGCCGGCGATGGAGGAGCGGGGAGGTTTGACGGGATGCGGCGATGGGGTGGAGGGACTCTGGGCTGGAGAGGGGGAAGCAAGAGGGAGTCCTGGAGAGAGGGAGGGAGCGGAAGGTGTGTCGGGGGCTGGAAGAGGGGCGATGGATGGTGGAGAGGAGGGTTTGGGGGCTGGGGTGGGGCTGGCCGCCGCTGGGCTGGTAGCTCCTGGGCTGTGGCTCGTGGTAGCTGAAGCCACCACTGCTTTGCCTGGTTTCGGTGCAGTTGGAGGCCCACGTGGTTTTGGGGACACAGGAGGAGGGATACGCTTGGACTCTGGTCAGAGAATCAAAGAGAATGTGGTCAGGTTTCTTAAGCATTTTAGGCCAATATGATTATAATATAATATGATAATTAATAATATTTAATTGACATGTATTGTACAACATTCTAAGGTACTAAATGTGACACTGTGAGGTTAAACATAAAATGATACCTACTGATTAGTCCTACAGAAATGTGTGTGTGCTTTTGTTGAACTAAAACTTTAACTAAACTAAACCCAAAACAATAAAAAAAGGAAATACAAACTGAATAATAGAAAGTTGAAGTTATTTGGTTTAAAACCCAGTGAAGACAATGAAGCTTTATGGTGCTAAACAAGTCTCAGTGAAGAAGCACCATCAGTTGTCACATGTTTGTCACTCAGAGCAGCATCACATCTGTGAAAACAGCCCTAAACTACATGAACTTTAAAGAGATGTTTTGTTCTTTAGCTCTTTATCAAAATGGGCCTGTCTGAAGTATCAGCAGTGTCTGCTGTAGGCAATGTTTTGGGGATTTAAAGAAGACACTTGCTACGCATACACAGCTAATATGTTCGTGTAAAACTGTTCAGATCTCACATATTTCCTTAATGTTCAAACAAAGGCTTTTTTGAAGATTTATGCCCCACATAATATTTGGTTTCATAACTGTATGTCCATGTTGCAACGTCTGGAGAGTCTCAATACTCAGTTTGATGGAACTGCTGTGAATAGCTTTTGTCTGAATGGCTTTAGTGGGTTAATGTTTGCCCTTCTTTTGTCCCTGCTCGGAGCACTGATGAGCTGGGCTCTCTCATTAGGGCTACTCTTTGATTTTCCAGCTCTGACCGCTGTCCGTCGAAGGTGCTGATGCACTTTACAGAACTCCAATTTAAAAAAGGAATATGCCTTCTTCTTGTAAATCATTCTGTGATAAAGGCTAAATTCAGTGGCTGATTACCAAAGTCGGTTATTTGTGTGTGTGTCTCACCGGGGCTCTGTGCCATCTCAGGGAAATCAGGCCCGGGTATGGGGACCCTGCGAGTCGGGGTGGGAGGGTCGGCCTGGGCCTTCCTCAGGGTGACTGAGGATGGTTTGGGTGAGACTGGAGGCTTTAGAGACTTCCTGGCCTCCATCCACTCGCAGCTCTCTCTGCTGGTTTCTGTCCTTTCAGAAACCTCGGAAACGGGCCTCCGCCTCAGCACCACGCCACCGTTCTGCTGCGGCTCGCCTCCGTTGGGAGAATTTGACTGATTATTGCTTTGAATGACATGGTCTGTGTGCTCCATAGTGCGTGTTCTTCTGCGTATGGTGTCAGAGCCAGTTGTCATAGTAACAACAGTTGTAGCCACAGATGCCGGGGCCTCGGAGTCTGTTGCTACGGGACGGGGCCTCCTTCTGAGCGTCGCCGTGCCGTCAGCGTTCTCAGTAGCCGAGGTGACCACGATGGAGCGGGGCCGCGGCTCCGGACGCTGCTGGACCAGTTGCCGGGGTAACTGCTCGGCATGGTCACTAGGTAAGCCTTCAAGTCCACTTATGGTCCTGCGCCGGCTCAGGACATCATCATCCTCAGTTCCAAGACCTCCTGCCCCTGCCTGGCGCCGAAGCAGTGGTGGACTCGCCTTAAAATCGAATGTAAGAATTAAAATATACCTCTTGACAAAGTTTTGAAACAGAGAGAATACAATTCTTTGGCGTTTACACACACACAGACACACAAACCTGAAGGTAGCTGCTGCCCCCTCCCAGATTCTTGGGAACAATGGATGTTTCCAGCATGGCTGCGAGGCTGCGAACACTCCCCGAAGCGCCCTCTGATCTCTGCAGGCCTGTGGAGTCCTGACCTCTTAAAGCTGCTCCCAGGCTTCCACAGTCACTGGCCCTCCGCTCCCTGTAGGTGGGTAACTCCAACAGCCCATCCCCGTGTCCTTCCGTCTCCCCGTCTCCCCCAGTGATGGAGGAACAGGAACGTTTAGGTGGCGTCGGGGGCCGACCCTTCCGTCGGGGACGAAGAGTAACGGACGAGTGACTGCGGTTGACGGTGACATCGTTGGGGACGGCAGTGTGTGTGGAGCTGCTGCGGCACACGGTGGCGTATCTAGAGTCTGACTCCGAGCCAATCAGACTGTGAGTCCGCTGTCGCTCTTCCTCCTCACACGGCAGCCGCAGCAGAGGTACTGGCTTATCTGCTGAGGCCATCTGTGTGGAGGGGCGCGGGCGCGCCCGGGGGGACGCCTGCTGGGCGCGGCTGTACGGAGGGGTTTGCGGCGGGGTCTGGGTGGGCGTGTGGGGCGGGGTTTGGGAATGCGCGAGACCCGGGCGAGGTCTGGCCAGCGGGCCAGGGGCTCCGTCCCTCTGCTTGCTCGTGTCCCTGCGGGGCTCGGCACTAGAGCTGCCACCAGGGCTTGGTGGAGGCTCAGAGTGGCTCTGAGACGGCTCAGAGCCACTTTCACCTCTCTGAAGCTCTTTCAGTCGCTTTACTCCCAGCATCATCTTCTTCTGATGTCCTGAAAAAATTTTGGTACAAAGAAGGATGAGTTATCATGAGGCATAAAAGGAATAAGGATGTTTTCAGAGTTTGATGTGAGAAGTTGTAATTTTAAATGAATAGCCGTTTAATATCTGATCCACGCTGATGATGTATTATACCTTACGTTCAAGTGCCTTTGTCTTAACAAAAGATTGCTACTTCCTTAAAAGGTTCAAGTATTTAAGGATGGCCCCATTATGCACTGGCCCCATTCTTTAAAACAGGTTCACAATAACAATGCTGCTGACCACTACAAGGCATTTGCACATTGGTTATTGCCAAAAGTTAAATGATACTGTAGTGTTATATATCGTCTAGTGTTCTTTTTATAACAGTATTAATATGTCCATCCCCCCATGACAAGATCTGATTTACAGTCTTGATGATGTAGGTCATTCTTACCAAGCTTTGTAATGCCAATCTCTAGAAGATCTTCGAGGCTTATATCGGAGACAAAGTCGATGTTTTCATACCCATTCTGCACGAGAACTTGGTAGTACTGACTGAGGCCCAGGTGAGACAGCCAGTCTGCCAGGTTGGCCTGTAATAGACACAGCAGCATGAGCAAAAAATACAAACCCATCTGAAATATCGTACATTTCCACTGAGCTTTATTTCTAAAAAAAGACACACAAAAAATTCTCACCCAGGTGACAAAGCAGCATGTGTGCATCACAGGCTTGTGTGCCTGTTGCTGCCAAAACTCAATATTTCCCCCCCCCCCCCTTTCTTGTGTTTTTGATAGCCACAGGAGAGCCTTACAGGTTTGTGGTCTGGCAGCCAGTCAGTGGACGAAAGCTTGCTGATTTCTGTTGCTAACTTCTTTCGATGTCCAGGCTTCATGACCCCAATCGCCGTCAGGTCCTTAAACGTAAAGTGCACTCAGTCACATCGAGAAATCTCCACGATTTCTTTTCATGCTTTTAAGGATTCAAACGATTTGATGCTCTTTTAATGTGTTTCATGTCTTCAGGATGAATGTGCTTGGCATAATCTCTCCATCGAGTCCCCAGCCCCCTGGGGCCTCATGTTGCTGTGTCTGCTTCAGCATACACACACAGACACGCACATGCACACAACGGCATTACAACCACACCGAAGGACAAACACAGTGATGTTTACATTCACGTGGAGCAGGCAACTGTGTCTGAACACAGGTCTGTGAATGAAGAATGAGAGGTTGAGGTTCAGGACGCACACGGCGGGGAGGGGAGGGCAGGTGACAGAGACAGGAGGGACATGAGGACACCATCCAGGTCAGTGGGTAGCTTTTTTGTGAGCTTATTGTGCTGTGCGGAGCCTTGACAGACAGGGGGCAGGACTTGAGGGGGTCAGGGATCATGACCTTACCTCAGGGGTCATGCAGCTAATGGTGTCTAGATCATATCCCGCGGTGAGGAAGTGGGTGGTGTAGAACTGCAGCTGAAACTCACCCAGCCACGTCACTACTGCCTGCTTCTAGAACACAGAACACAGAACACTACTGCCCGCTCTAGATGGACCGGGGGGCTTGTTCCAGAGCACGGGACACCGGTCTGTTCTAGAACACTGCACTCGCCAGGTGGTCCTAACAATTCAACTCTGTTCTACAGCAGAATGCAGACAGCACAGGAGGCAGGTAAATGACAGCCTGCTCTGGAACACACAGAAGGGACGTGTTCACAGAGCAGAACAATTCATCTGAGCAGCCCCTGTGGCATTTCCTATGTTTGATGAACTGAACTGTACACAATCGAGGCTCTTCTATCTGAGCAACTGTTCTGAACATATTGCTTCCAAATTGAGCCAAATCATGCTGAAATATTACTGTTAATAATTTCCATTTAAGGCAGCACCGTCTCTAATTGACAGGATGTGGTCCAAAACGCCTGACGCATGCCCTACAAATAATCAAGAAGTAAGTGAAAGTGAGACTCATTCACTTACCCTTCTAAAAATTACTTTACTATCCTGTTGCTTTGTTTCCGTGTTATAATACAGCATTTAGATTTAGTAAAGTCTCGCTTAATCTATAGTGACGACAACTTCTAAGAGTAGCTGTAAATACTCAGACTCTAATCTCAGACTCTTTGAGTCTCAGTTGGCATATTAATGTTAATGTTCACAACAGTGGAATTACAAAAAGACAAAACAAGTACGGCTCAGACCAACTGTCAAACATGGTGGAGGAAGGCTGATGATTTTGGCTTGTTTTGCTACCGCATAATCTGGACACCTTGCACAAGTAGAGCCCACCACAAGGGGCTCTGTGTGCGATTAGTATTACTAGTATTATAGAGCGGAATTTGAAGCCATCTGTCTGTCAGCTAAAGCTCGAACGAAACTGGGTCATTTAAAAGGACAACCAGGCTAAGCGCAGCCGGAAATCTACAACAGATTGGATTTAAACAAAAGAGTTGAGGCCTTGCAGTGGTCCAGTCAAAGTCCCAAACTCAATCTGATTTTAACATTGTAGTGAGACGTTAAGATAGCTCCGTATAAACAGATTCCTATACAAATCAGTGAATAAACAGAGAAATGTATTTAAAGAGGCTCTCAATATCAAAGAGCAATAAGTTGAAGTTATTGCTGCTTAAAATGGGTCAACTGCTATTTAGTTTTGGATTACACTCTTTTTTCCTAGTAGTCCTTTTGTATTTGGTCTGTTATAAAATAACTGAACAGTGTAACATGTGATCTTATCTTTCTGGTTGAGTTTGTCTATTCGAAGCACCAAATAATTGATTTATTTAATTCTCAGTATTTCCTCATACCTAAAATCGTGGGCTTTCTTTTCACATGACTGTAGGTCACAAAGCTTGCCATAAAGTCTTTTTTTTATAACAAAAAAACTTTATTCAAAAAGGGAAAAGAGGGCGAGCACTGTTCACATCAGAGGCTAGAAATTCATTTCCAGTTTCCATTCACCTGCAATGTCAGTAATAGCAGTCAAAATCCCTGAGGTGGAGATCCCAAAACTAAGACTGCTCACAAAGCAGTGAGAGTGAGTCAGAATGTTTGTAACTTACTGTTCCGCAAACGTCTTAAAGCACTGACATATACACATTATTTTGTGAATGGCTGAGGAGTCATATATTTGTAGCTGAGTTTAGCCAATGAGGACACACTACCGTACAACTTCTCTGAATGAACACCACCGTTGCCTGGCAACCAGCACGTTTTGATCTAAGGATAGAGTGTCTGCTTGGTTCTAGAACACACTGAAGGTACTTAACCTTCAGCTGCAGAGGGCAGATCTGGAGCAGAGCAGCAGCGTGTGGGTGTCAGTGTGGTGTAGAGGCAGGGGGTGGGTGGAGGGACAGAAGGCAAGACAGCAACTGACTCCTCGATGTGTCTGTCTCTCTGCCTGTCTCCATGGTGACACACTCATGCCTACTGTCAGGGTGTCCGTTGTTCAGGTACAACAGAAAGCTTGCTGTACCAGCTGAACAACGATATGTGTTACTCCCCAACCAGAGCACTGGTTGATTCCGAACAAGTAAACTCACTTTCCCATCATCCTCCTCTGCTTTCCGCTCAAAAGACCTCTGCTCATGAAGTGCACTGCTCGGGGAACCTAAAAGTTGTGATGAAACAGAGACAAAAAGAGGGCAAGAATACAAAAAGAGATGATTATTGCATAATTTCATTGTTTTGTATGACCGCTTCCTTTACCATAAACCACCTAAAAGGTCAAACTGTCATCGCAGTTTACATTTCACTGTTCCAGTGATGTTTAACTCTGTTAGCCATTAGCTTTTTGCATCTCTGTGAATGGCACACAGTTATGCTGTAGCTTTTTGGATATAAGATTTCTTATACTACTCCTGCTTGCATCTATAACTATAAATAATAATAAGGAATATTCCTTTTATGTAAAGAAAATATTTAATTTTAGCATCAACTACCGTTGGCTCATATCTGTTTGAAATCAGTGTATCAGTTGCAAAATTCATGCTGTAAAAAATGTTGAAACGTTTATTACCACTTCAAGTAAAAAACATTTTTTTTAAAACCCTAAAAGGGAATCCTAGTTGTGTGTAAAATAAGCAGACAGACAGTCTGCAGAGGGCTGAGGCAGAATATGAGTCAGTATAAAGGGATTTATACAAGCCTCATGGGAGTTGTTGTACTCCTGAACACTGTCTTGTTCATTTTGTTGGCAGCTTTCTTCAAAGTATTTTCTTACCAATGAATCACAAAGACAAATGTTGTCCTGTTGCATTTTTTCAAACACTGTTGAAATGATTTCCTCTTATAAAACACTGTCTTTTAGTGGAAGACTTAGCTTACTTGTTGACTGCTCAACAGACTGTGACTGCTCCAAGAGATGCTCCTTGGCTTTTACTGACTGAGACAGCACGGTGGCCAGGAGCTAAAACACAAAAGCACACGCAGGCATAAGCAGACACAGAGAGAAACATTTACTTGAGCATAGTCATTCAAATCCCGGAGCTCAGCTCAGTCCAAAAAGGGAAGGCAGACACTGGCTTACAACGTACCTCCTCCGGTAATCCCTGAGGTTTCCTTGTGTAGCAGAAATACCAGAACAGTTTTCTATGGATGTACGGGATGCATGTACAGGAGACAGCGACCACTTTCCACACTGAATATTTTAATAGCATTACCTGAAAACCAGCTCTTTTTATCCAGGCATGAAATTAAATGTATTCTTACAAGCATTCAATGTTATCTAATGGTGGCGATGATTTATAAGAGCAACCATGTTTCATCCTTCAAGTTGATAAGGTCTAAATCGGAATGCCCAGGAAGCAGGATCATAGTGTCCTTTCACTCTCACCGAATATTTCAGGGAAGGAAAACTGGTGAAGTGGGACTGAGGGAATGGGTCAGAGGCTGAAGGCTCATTGGTGACCCTCGGGGGACATCATCTGACTCTGTAAAGAGCTGGGTTTTGGACGCAGGACATATTGTGTTGCAAACAGCGCTGTGTTACAAAAACTCATTCAGGATGCCTTTATGATGAGCATGTGAGCACAGTAACAGGATCACAGTGCAATGAAGGAATGCAAGGTCATGTTTGATGAATCGCTTTTTAGTTTACAGATTGTGAATGAACAGGTTCTTCTGTGTTACTTACATGCAAAAGATATTACACCAGAATGCATTTTCAAGCTAACGTGGTTCTTGGGGAAATCTGTGTGGAAAAACCTTTGCTCCTGTCACTTATGCGGATGTAACTTTAACATGCAAACTAAACATTGCTGGGGATAAAGTATGCATGTTCATGGAAATGGCATTCACTGATGCTAGTAGTTTCTTTTAGCCACAAACATTTCTTGATCTCAATTCAATTAAGCATATGTGCAATGCTTTAAACTAACAAATATGATTGTCCCATCTGACATCATTGAAACTTCTTTAGACATAATTCAACATAGTGGAACAAACTGTATGTATTACATATTGAACGGGTAGTTATAATATTATGGCTGACTGTTTTGCATGTTAAAAACTTGCAAAATTAATAAATTATTTCCATTTGACAGTAGAAACCTACACAAAGACTCTTTGAATAGCATATTTAAGTGTGCAGTCATGCCAAGGAAGCGTCAAATGAAAGTCAAATCATGCAAATGCTAAATAACAAACTATACTTAAACTATAGTTAAATTCAGTGGCGGTAACGCCAGGCCAATCACATTTACATTTAGAGTTAGGAACTTTTCCACTAAGTATGAATGCATGAACTTGATCTTTTTAGCAAGATTACTGTTTAGTGGAGTTCAGTTTTGGTCCAAACTGAAAGGGGTAGGTATTATCACCGTGTGAAATCACAGAGACTATCAATTTCACAACTTTCATTTTTTATTGTTTTTACTGTAAACCAGGTGCATTATCCTATTATAACCATGGGAAATCACGGAGACTATCAATTTCACATGGTTATAATAGGATAATGCACCTGGTTTACAGTAAAAACAATAAAAAATGAAAGTTGTCACCGATCCCTCCAACGGAAGAAAGAACTTAGCAGGAAACAGACCTGTTGTTTACTTGGTAACTAGAGTTGTGGTTGTTTCCTGAAAATGCTTTGCAGTTTCCCAGAAATGACGTGTCTGGTGTTTTGTAAGGTTTTCAGCACTGACACGACAAAATCTGTGCACACAAACACACACACGAAAAAAAAAAAGAAAACGTAAGGAGCGCCTCACCTTGACTCCCTCCGATTGTGCGTGTAGGCCCGGAGCGTTGAGGCCGTGAGTGTTGAGTCCCGGTGTGGGCGCCGGCTGAGGGCTTGGTGCAGGTGTGGTCAACACATGTGTGTTTCCAGAGCTCTGCAGGCTGGTTGATGACCGCACACTGCCCAGGCTCCCCACGCTGCCGCTGCGCTCACCGCCTGCACAAATTAAAATACACCATTACTAACAGAGTGTTTCTCAAACAGGGGATCTCACTGTGTTACCCACAAATACACGCGTGGGTTTACCTGCGAGCGGTTTGCGGAGGACCCATATGTCCTCACTGGTGCTGCTCTGATGTCCTAAAGTGGGAGAGCCCTGAGGACTCAGCTCTGCAGTCCGTGAACCTGACACACACACACACACACACACACACACGCACGCCCAAAATTGTTACTGCTACTATTCCAGTCAAAGCGCTTTCATTTCAAAACAAAATCTATCTGTGTAACATGGTTTCATCCATAAATTTGTTTGACTGTTAAATGAACGATGTCAAACGCAGTCTCACAATGACACTCACTCACCTACTCATCAGTAAACATGTCACTTATAATGGATGTCAGCCCAGAAAATGGTAACAATACAAAAATAAACTCACTAAACTATGTTCAGGAAACCATCACTTATCTTTATGCACTTTCCTTATGCTTAGCTGAATGACAAATGACATGAAAGTGTATCATCTCTCAAAAACTCTAAAATGGATTATGGATGTTTTCTATTTAACATCTCTGTTTTATGACTCTTTGGTGGTACAAGTAATATTCATTGTGGTATGAGGAGCAGTGATGGCTGGCATTAGGGGAGTGATCAGTGTCTAACCTCCCTGAGGTGTTGTGGGACCAACTTGATGAACGGCTGATGAAAGGAGGTCCCACCGGATGACCTCAATGACATGTTGGTCAGCTCTGGTTTACATAGGGATCATAGTGTAGTTGTTGAAATTTGAATATTCACAGAGACTGGTCCATTTGTTTGTGGCACAAATCTTTTTTGTTTATTTTGAATTTGTCATTAAAATAGCTGATGTTGTTAGATTGCTCATTGTTAGATTTCCGGAGACAGTCATCTTTTACTATCTATGGAAATATGTCCAGTTTTGTTTCCACATGGAGTCATGCAAATGCAGCTGGATATCAACTCACGTACCAAAACTGAGCAGGTTCTTTTCGTTGCAGGTTTTCCAGCTTGATATTTGTGATCCCAATGCTAAAGAGAATTTCTGCAGTAATCTATATCTCTCTATAATATGTGTTTTAGATCCTTAAGCAAAAACACAATTTATGAACTGTAGCATAATCACAGAGAGGCGTTACAACTTTCAGTCATTTGACATTAAAATCTTATTACATAGAAATGTGTGTCACACTCTTACTGTTCTGTTGTGTTTTAAATTAGATGGAAATACACAGCACCAGTCAAAGCACACCCTGGACCTCCATAGAGAAAAAGTGGGTGTGTCCAAGCTTTTGGCTGGTGCCATCTATGAGATGGTGATTTTCTATCTTATCTATGTCTAGTGATTAAAAATTATATTATTGTTTTAAATTTAATTTAAGGGTTCACTTCACTCAGAGTATGACAAATTTGCTTAAGCACAAAGACGTGCTGTGAAATGACTTTTCCTCATCTTGAAAAAAGAAAATTCATATAATTATCTGTGGGTATTTGACACTTATTTTAAAAGCATACTTTTGCCAAATATCCATTTGTAATGGTGAAACAGTTTTTGTCATCTGGGTGAACTGATCCTTTACTTAAGCACAAAAACAAGCCTATAGGTCATATGTTGTCTTGTTAAAGAGCGTGAAAAAGATGCTTATCTGTGATTTATAGAATGTACCTGTCTGACTTTGCGGCTCCTGAGAAGTGGAGAGAGGAGGAGAAGTAGACAGAGGAGGAGTAGATAGAGAAGGAGGAGAGATGGGGAAAGGAACGTACCCAAATGAGGAGAAGCGAGGGAGGGACTGTATGTCAGGGTGGAGGGGAGGGGGGGGAGGTAGATGCAGGGGGAGGACTTGGGATGGGGGGTATGAGTGTCCGTTGATCGAGGAAATGGGACAGGGGTTGGGCCTGCGGAGCAGGAGGGTGTGGCACTGCTGGGACGGGGAGTGACCTGGACACATGCCAGGAGGAGGGAGGGGGTGCAAAACAACAACAAAACAACACAACTGATCAGTCAACCGGAAACCAAAAACAAGGCTAATCAGGAAAAGTCTGAAAATCCATAAAAAATAACTGATTAAATCAAAACATGAGAACATAATACATCCATATATCCACAGGGAATATATATTTATACAAATCAAAATACAGACTAGTAACAAAGCAAACAAACAATGTGAACAAAAGCGTTGAGTTTAGCAAAGCAGGTTGGTTTGGGGAGATCTATCAATTAAGCAGGGAGACAGAAGGAGCAGAAATTTTGAGGCAGGGGAGGGAAAACAGCCAGTAGAGGAGTGTTTGATCCATAGAGATGATTGACAGGTTGGGGGAAACAGATGGGCTGCCCTGATAGGCTGATGAAGCTGCAGCTAACTACAACTATGCATCAGAAATAGCAGAACAGCTGCAGATCTCACAAGTGCAGTGGCTCAGCCATCAACCAATCCATACGCCCGCACACACACACACACACACACACAGACAGACACGCACACACACACACACACAGCTGTGTTTTGATTGATCACCTGCCCTCTTGATGACTTCCACCATGTTAGAAGGGAAGTAGCCCACACGGTCATTTCCGGTGCGGTTGTCATGGATACAGCCTTTCCATCGGCCATCAGAATGCTGCTCCAAAACCTGCACACACACACACACACACACACACACACATGCACACACACACACACACACATGCGCATCCAAAAACGAAACCAAAGCATACACTAAAGATAACCCCAACATATACAGAGTATCATCTAGTTTCAAACTGCTGACTACTGATTATGGCATTATTAATACTTAGAATATTTGTTAGCTAGTAAGAAACTGGTCACACTCTCGTGTGCTGTTACCACTGAGGAATCCGTACATGTAGCAATGGGTGGAACCTAACTGAACTAACCTGAATCTTTTTCACTCGTTCTATATGTTTTGTAATGTTATTTTTTTATTCACATCATCATACATTTTTTTGTAAATATCTGACATGTCAACTTTTTTCACCATATTTATGGTCACTTAATTTATTCATCAAACTTGAAAGCTTTGTCTAACCACACTCAATATTCCTTATTATTCTCTATTATCTAAGTTTTACCTACCCAACTTGACCTATGGGCTTCGTGTGTTGAGTTACCCTGAGCAGTACCAATACACAGACTACAATAAGAGGTTGAGATTTTACGTTGGGATGGTCATTAATAGATTACTGTACCGTGATAATGTCTCCAGCTTTGATGTTGAGGCTGGTGAGGTCATAATTGTTGCAGTAATCCTTCAGTGCTCGAACCTGCATTGCAGCCGAAGCATCTGCAGCATAAGAGGCCAGAGGGGGGGTCAGCGGGCGTGGGCAGGTTTTGGTGAATATGTTAGCATTAATAGGAGATAAAAGACAGCAAAAATACAAATAATCAAATACAAATATATCTTGAATATTACGTTGTTTGACACTTCTTTGTGACAATGTCCACTGTGTTCACAACATGGCATGTTTACCCACTGTCAGTGTAACACTTATCAAAGCTGAACAAGTTAAGGTTGCTGACCAGGACACATTGAGTCACTTTACCAATCTGTCAGCACACTCTGAGTGGACAAAAATAAATAAAAAAATTAATTGCCAGCGTAGATGACAAGGAACCCGTTACAAAGGGCAGAGTGCTGCAATCACTGGGACATTTTAAGAAATAAAAACTCCTTCAACTTCCACACTCTTCACTCTGAGTGCGCTTGCTTCATCACCTCTCAGCAACTGCTTGATCTCGCGGCTGGCCTGCGTGGTGGTAAACTGGTTCACAATGTCCAGGGCGGTTTGACTCAGAGTGTTCCTCACTCCGGCACTGATGCCACTCTGGGGAAAAGGAGAGAAGAGAAAATCAAACAAAGCTCCAATGTGAAGGTGTGAAAGGGAGTTGGCAGGGTAACGGTTTCCACCGTGTGAGCCGCATCAGCAAAAACACCAGTCCTCAGGTACAATAGGAGAGAAGGTTTAGCTGAAATGGCCCTGCTCAAATGCGCTGTTAGGCATCAAACATATCTCCCCATCTGAATCTTAGGCTAAGGTCTGTGCACACTGGTAGTTTCATGTTAGATGTTCCCTCACACAGCTCCTCCGGGTGAACAGCGACGGCCATAGTGCAAACCCGCTTGACCGATGGGAGCGAGGCAGCTTTGACCGCAGTTGTGTTGCATTCGGCAGGCCGACTTACGTCCAACAGCAGGCGCACTACCTCCGTCTTCCCGCAGAGGGCAGCCTGATGAAGAGCTGTGCCACACTCGGACTGTCTGTTGATATCAATTCCAGCCTGAATCAGCAACCTGCAACACAATATAATTACAGAAATGAACCGAGTAGTGAAGCGAACAGCGAACGCATCACGTAAAGCTGCAGTTCAACAGACACTGCCTCCAGACATTTGAGTTGAATTGTAAGTTTGTTTGCGTTGTTACAATTTCTAATTTCTTTTAAACATTTCTCTTTTTGGTTTCGGTGGGCAGCAGGGTTATTTCTGTAATGACTGACAGCAGCAGGCAGCCTGTCAGAGGGTCACTGTACCAGATGGAGCTGCAAAGAGGCTAAACAAGCCCGCTGTGCTTACAAGTCAAGAAAGGTCAACATCTAACTGGGGATCTAAAGTCTCCCCAGATTTGTATTTTGGGATACTAATGACTATTTCAACAAATCCATCCAAATGCACGACAACTACCCATGAGATTAGTACTTTTTAAAATAAATGATTGGGACTTTGAGAGGTTTTGTGTCGGTAAAGGGAAATTATGTCATTAAAGGAATGATCAGCCATCCCTCCTCTGTTATTCAATAAGTTAAACTGCAGGCTAAGAACAGAACTAAAGCTGTGAAAGTCATGTGAATGATCATTTTTCTGTAGATTTTGTGTTGGCTCGCAGGCGACTGGTTGACTGGCGGGTTTTAATTAAATGAAACATCTATCGTCTAAAACGGGTCCCAGAACCGAATGCTGTCAAATCAATCCCAAAACGGCTGAATGAAACTTGGGTTTATCCAAAGGACCATCATGGGGATGATGATAGCTAATTTCAGTGGGTCAAACTTACATCCACCAAATTAAACAGACAAACTTGATCATCCAGAAGATTAAACATGCAAAGTATGTTTCTAATGGAGCCGTCACACATACACTCAATATAGACTTTTGACTTTATATGGACATTTGATGCATACAGGACTTTGTTCTCTGGGATTAGTGACAGTGTCAATGTGCACATTCAGGCTTTGCCAAAGGACGCTTCACCAGATGGGTCTGCCTCCTACTGTAGAGCCCTGGTAGCCACAATAACAACAAATACAGCAGGCGGAAATAAACCCCGTGCCCTTTTTAAGACTATACTGCAACAGACATCCGAACAAAAAAAAAGCAGGCAGAAAGGTGAACTGGCTCAGACCGTATGACATCTATGTGTCCATTCTTTGCTGCGAGGTGCAGAGGTGACACTCCGTTGGGGTCCGAGGGCTTTGGTTCCAACATGGCTGCACACATGTTACTGCTGAGCAGGAGCTGGACCACCTTAACACACGGAAAGACACACACAACATGGCTTATACTTTCACGCATAATTTGAAACACAGGAGATCCTTTTTTTTCATGCTTCAGGCCTGTGTGATGTAGAATTGTCTGCACTGATGTGGATTGTTCTGGTAATGATTTTTTTTTCAGGGTGCGGAGGGCCAGAATGAAGCTCACCCCTGCACTGAATAAAACAATAGTGTGTCTCCTCTGGGATGTTGTTTGAAACATTTTATCATTAAAAATACAGTTCAATCTATAACTGAACAAAAAAATGAAAACTATTCTAATAACTTAATCATTGTTATATAAGAAATTACAACCAAAACATGATCAAATCAAAATGAACTCAAATAAGAAGATAATGCTGCATGGGTTCTTTTTGTGTGTGTGTGTGTGTGTTTTTTTCCAATTCTATGCACTTACCCCAACACGCCCAAATTCACAAGCAAGATCCAGTGGGGTTTTCCCAGCTGAGTCAGAGATACACGGATTGGATTGGTGTTGTAGCAACATCTCTGACTGTAACACACACACAAATCCACACAATCGTTAAGGGCACATCCGAAGTTACCATTTTTGTAACAACCACATTTCAGGCATGCATCCACAGCCCAACGCTACAGCTGCACACACCCCACAAAAACACACGTTTTCTGCACAGAATAAAACATCCACAGTGCATCTTGCACACACACACACACACACACACACACACACAGACACACACACACAGAGGCAGAGTTACCCCATCGTAGTGTCCATGCTGAGCTGAAAGGTGGAGAGGGATCTGCCCTTCATCTGACTGCCCGTTGACTGACGAGCCTGCCTTCAGCAGCATTTTCATTGGTTCGGTCTTCCCCTGCCATGCAGCATAATGCAGAGGACGCATTCCTACACAAAACACACACGTACACAAACAGACACGGACAGACAAACACACACAAGAACACACAGCCGGTTGACAGCACAATAAAACACATACAGACATAAAAAAGCCCACAAGCACATGCACACAGACACAAAGATTATCACACAAATGCATGCAGATACACTTTTTAAATCAACAAATGAGCTTGTGACTAAACATCCAGCATTCAAAAATACTGCCTTTCACTTTCTGTTACTGAATCAGTCTGTCTTTATTGCTAGCAATAGTCCTTATCACTATTTTCATTACTTATCACTTTTTATGTTGTCAAAACCAATTAGACTGGAGTTACTATCTCTAAAGGTATTTAGAGTCTCTGAAGCAGACTATAACAGTTAGCAGACTGTACAAAAATGCATTTGCTATGATAGATTAAACTGCTGATCTAACATTAAGGATCTCTTTGTTAAACAAAAGTGTTTCTTGCGGCCCTTCAGGAGATAGGAGATCTAAAAACTAGTTAGCATTCTTTGAACAAAGAAAGCATTTGGGTATGCCACTATAGGTTCAGAGTGTTGGTGATGGGCACTTAAGACTAAGAAATAATCAATGCATGATTTGAAAATAAAAAGATTCATGATCTGATCGTTCAATTCTACAGTATGTCTGACAAAACAGCTTTAGGCACAGAGTACCAGTACTCCTGGAAGTGACCGAATCTTAGTGACTGATATCTTTATAACCCTCTGTTGTTTTTGCGAGCGGCACACCCATGGGGCCTTTGAGAAAAAAAGCATCCAGCCAACCCCTATCAGTAACTTGACATGGCCTTACATGACCTTCTAGGGGAGAAGACAAAATCCCCTCCTGAGGGGAAGGCAGAAAAAGTGAAGGATGATGGCATCTGATTCTGAGAGTTGGGAAAAGAAATTCAACATGGATTCAAGTATGAATCCATATTGAACGGGCATGTTTCTCATAGGCGTTAACCTAAGACCTGACTCTTGATACCAGAGATGAGCCATGTTGTTAAGATGAGTAAAGAGGCCCTCTGGGGTCAGATGTCAGAGAAAGAGAGATGTGATTCAGAGGAGATGGTGGCTCAATAATAAAGCAGCTGCAGGAGGTACAGGGGCTGAATCTTTAAAGAAGGAGATACTTTCTGTTTGATACTGAGATGCTCTTCGACATGTCCCACTGAGTAGATTTACCTACTCCTCAGTTTCATGTTATTCATGTCTGAACAAGACTCGGTTAAAAAAAACAGATTGGTCTGACTAATGTTCATAACTTAGTTTTGCTTCCTTCAGAATCCCACAGATAACAATTATGAACGTGTTATGGGAAAGTGATAATCCCAACTAAACAGCTTCTCAGCTTTCAGAAATAACCTTTACTTTGCCGCCAGGATTATCCTGACAGAACTGTTGAGTAAGTGGATGTTAACCTTATGTTCACTATTTGGTGTTTTTTTTTTTTTACAGGATTTTCAAGCTTAGGTCATTGAACTTAAACAGGAAATGTCAAAAGTCAGGAAATAACTCTGCTTAAGACAATGTTGGCTTGCTGTAACTATTTGATGGATGGATCTTTTGACTGTCTCGACCTTTCTGCAGCAACCTCAGACATTTGTTTCGGTAAAATATCCGCGTTCTTTTACAAAGTCTTCAAACAGCTGACATCTGCTGCTAGTAGTCTCTAACTTTAGTCGGCTATCAGCAACACGCAGCAGTAGAAAAAGGTTGAAACCCTGCAGAGCTAAAAGATTTTAAATTGCTCTGCTGAGCTGAGCCGACTATTGAACATATCAGCCTTGATTCTGTGTTCATGGTCACTTGAGGCCAGCCACACACACTAGAGCAGGAATGGAGGCATACTACCAAGGTCTCCTGGCTCTCCATAAGTGTCAGTGCTGCACTGAGTGAAGGATTTGATGTTTTCTCAACACGTCCGCAGAAACACACCCACTGAGGAGGTAGGCCCACGTGGTAGAGATGCCTGCCAGGTGCACGCCTCTATTTACAGACACACGGCGCATGACTGACCGGGGAGCGCAGAGAGACTAGGCCGACATCCTACAGGGATTATTACTCCCATCTGCCCTGAGATTTCCTTTTTCTTCTACTAGAATCTGCCAATGTGAGATGGAGATATATTCTCTGCTCTGCTTCCACTTGTCTCTCAGTCCTGCCGCCAAGAGCCTTTCATCTTTTGTCTTTTATCATTCACTGTGCAAACAAATCAACAAACAAAAAATGGACTACGTTCCCTGAAAAAAATCCCTTTTATTATATAAACTGTTATAATTTGTCTCTTTAAGGGAGCTGGAAATCTGTATCGATTTAGCTTTTTATTTTCTCTTTTGCTTTGAGATCTCTTGTTTGCTCAGCAGCTTTATGTGTTTATGGGTCTATTTGGTGCCGACCGGTGAGTTGAGAAATTCGGTGTATTTTTACCTTTATGATCTTTGATATCCACAGCGGCCTGGGCCTCCAGTAGCAGAGAGATCAGCTCCTTGTTACCACTCAGAGCAGCATGGTGCAACGGCGCCAGCCTTCACACAGAGATTATGTGTAAAAATATACATATTCACATATAGAGAGTGAAAGCCCCGAATATAACTTTGTTGAATTAATCTTCAGCGTACAGCTGCTCCACCCCTCAGCTTCATGTGAGAGACGGGAGGGGGGGGGGGAATGACCTACTTCCATTAACAAGCAATCTTACTACCCCGGAGTCAACAGTAACACACAGGGCATCTATGTGCGAGTGTGTGTGTTCGTCTAATGGATCCTTTGTGGATATGTGAGCCAGTCCCTGGAGTCAAATCAACAACGAATCAGCCATTGCACATGAAGCCAAGTCTAATTATCTGATTCCAAATCACAATGAAAAGGTCTTTGTTATCTGATGGCTCCAAATACAACCCAGTGGTAGACCAAGCATGTGCACAAAAATGTTAACCCATTCAGAGTTGAAATAAAGCAGACATCCATAGTTGAACATTTACGGACAAATCACTGAACAGTCAACTGAATACAGAGCTTGTAGACCTTGGTTTTGTATATAGCTGACAACAAAGTCTTTATTCTACACGTTTCAATGATGAATTTAAGACGGAGAACAAATATATAACAATATACATATAAGGTATTATATGGTGATTGAAAGCAGTTAGCTTAAACATGTGTCAGCAGCTGGATAAATTATCTGGTAATGGAAGAAGTTTGCTGTTTTTTGCTGATAACAGACGGATTTTTGTCAAACTTATCCACCTATTCTATATACCTCTGAAAACAAGGCCTCTTCACAGTCTTTACAGATATAGTAAGCATGACTAAAAATGGGATACTTAAAAATGCTTTCCCGGTTAAACTGGCAGTTTTTGCGAAGAATAAATCCCCATTTTATCTGTTTTATTAAATGTTGAAGTCTAGTGTTCAGCAACAATACAGCTGCAATGTTGCTGTGACCTCCAGTGTGAAGTGGCGAGCAAAAATACAGCTTGTGTGGGAGGGCTCTTGAACGCCCGACTAAAGGCAGCAACCTGTGGTGAAGAGAGGCCACCTGCTGGGTCTCCTGTCTTCACCACTGTCAGAACCAATGAAATAGCAGTTGGAGACAGGGAACTTCCAACTGCCTGCCAAAATATCCAAGATACACTAAAGCAAGTTTACAGATCTTTCCGGTGCAGAAGGGGTCAGTTTTAATGAGAAGACGAAAAAAAATTGCATGACCACGAAGATTGGAAAACAATGTAATTGTAATAGTTTTTTCTGTGATATCAAACTGGGACTGTGCATCTCCAGACATGATTAGTGGATGGCCTTTTGGCTAAACGTGGAGAAAAAGGTCATTTTCCCCCTAACCTGCCAAAAATATTCACCATCTATTCAATGGCAGTATATTTGAATTGTGTGGAGCTCCAGGTTTAATGTGTCCAATCAGATCAAGCTTCTAGGAAGACATTGCTGACAAATTAAACATAAAACACATAGCACTGGTACACGTGTAACTCTATTTCCTTTGCTCGTATACCAAGAATCCAGACAACAATCACAACCACCCCTTCTTCACCTTGCTCAGCTTTCCATTTTCATTTAATTCACTATCAATTTGTGATTGGAAAGTACCTAAACAGTGTGGAGCCATGTAGAACGGAGTAGGTACTAATGGGAAGTACCCAATAGCTTAGTAAAACTTTCCATTAAGAAAGACTGTAACTACACATCTTAAAATACAGTGGAAAAAGACAAAAAGGGAATACATCTATGAATGTGTGGCTATTCTTAATAATCACCTTGCTACACCATAGATAAAGTTGAGGTAAATGATTACCAACATATTTACTGAAAAGTGCAAAAGTGTTGAGTGTGTTGGAGAAATGTATGTGAGGAATGATGGAGCTGGTTGTATTCTCCCGGACTCATTCACAATTTTGAACAGTCAATGAGCGTGAGCTCCATGTCTCAAAGACAGTCCAACAAAACCGACACTGCCCACACACCAAACCTTTGTAAAAAGATCGATGGCACACATCTGAATGTTGGCTCAGTGTGAGAGAGCGTCCTGAGAGTCCTGAGGGAGAGCTGGCATACCTCTAACTACACTGCACACAGGCCTCTTTTCTCACAGTCCCAGCAAGATATACCAGACCAATGACTGGACTCTTCTTGGTGCCATTAGATTGTCGTCTTTGTGTGATAAGGGTGTGTAACAGATGAAAGTGTTAAAGCTGTAAACAGAAATGGGTAAGGTGATGGTGCATACTGTGCGTTAGAGGATCCTGATCTCTAACGCAATTGAACCTGCTCATAAAACGTGAAAAACAGAGGTCAAATGTGATCTTGTGATATGGATTGAAATGCTCTCCGGATAATGATTTATAGCACCGTTGTTGACTTTTCAAGGGGATGAGAAATATGACAGAAGGAAAAGGAGTGATGTTGAAAGAGGTGTGATGAAGGGGGAGGAAGTGATGGGAGGAGGGTTTCTCACCCATCTGCATCCTGGATGTTAACGTTGACCCGCTTTGCTGCTCCAAGGAGCTCTGAAAGAAAAAGAAAAAATGATGAAGTCATTAAAAGAAACAGCCCACGTCTAAGGGTCAAGTTTGTGTCAAATTTGCTCAGTTCTGAGTAGAGATTCCTTTTTTCACACTCTCTGCAGGTGGTTTTGAAGTCACACTTTGATGTCTGAGAGCCTAAAAACAAGTCCCTGCTGTCAGCTTCTTCTCTGTTTACAATAGGAAGTGACAAGGTGAAGAGGAATAAAAGGGCTTTCAGAGAAAATCTCAACAGGTATCTCTGAAAAAGCCTCATTTGTACTTTTTTCAAAACAAATAAATCAAAGCTTTTTGCATTGTATTTATATATATATATATAGCTATTGAGGAGAGTAGATAGAACCAGGTGGGTTGTGTCTGTTTTTGGTAATATTCAAACCACATACTTCTAACCAAAGGCCAGCTCTAAACATGTAACAATCAACTTAGCTTCCTGTTTGAAAAAAGTCTGTGCTCTGCATCTATGCGGTTATGACCTTGTTTTGCAGATCATCTGGGTCTATTTTACTGTTCAGTGGTCAGAGCAGATTATTTAAACCAATTTTATCTCAGTTTTTCAATTTCCAGTGTATCTCCAGCGTGATTGTTCTCAAATGGCATCTGTGTGTGATACAGTGAAAACAAGAAAAAAATAGCCAACATTTTGAAATGTACACAGAAAAAGCAGCTTGCTTGTCTTTCCGTCCATTTTTTTTTTTTTGTCTGACTCTCATAATCCACCGCCTGTAATCTGTAGCTGTTCTGTAATCTGTGGAAAAGCTTCTCCCGCTCCCTCTGCAGCTCTGCTCTTCATCCCTTCATCCTGCTTTCACACTCTAATTTTCCCAGTAATTTGCTAAAGAGCGTGTGCTGATTGGTGGTTCTGTTACTGTTTACGCTCTGCGGCTGACATCGTTTTCCCGCATACGTGCGTGTGTGTTTGTCATAGTGTGCGTTTAGGTTTCCCCCTCTGTATCTTGGATTAAAAATGAGAGCTGTCCCTTCCCCCCAGCCGATGAATCGATGTGTACTGATATGTGTCAGACTCTCACAAAACCAAAGGGACCCCTAAAATAATGAGGTATGCTGATGAGTGCAAAAAGAACCTCTGCATAAAAAGATGTCATAGTCATTATGATTCGCCCAGTTTAAAGAAAAAAATATTTTCAGTTTTTTTGGGTGACAAAAAAAAAAAAGATTTTGATCTGTGGTTCACATAGCTTTAAATCCTGGTTATTTTTTATTTCTATATGTTCTATCCAGTTTGTCTTTCTTAATGTCTTGTGTGCTTTTCACCTGTGTTTAAGTAAGTGAGTGTTTTTCACTTGCCCCTTATCTCTGCACACTGACGTCCCGATCAGCTTCCTTTGTTCACTGGCAGATTCTTGCTGTTGGTTTCATCTTTCGCTACTGTTGTGCTCTCTGCCTCACTCTGCCTTTGGATTATCTTGTTGCTGGATTTCCTGCCTGTGGAGTATTTTCTGTTGGTTTAAGTAAGTGTCTCTTTTTCCTTTCTGAGCCCGCTGCCTCCTGAGCCTGCGCTTGGGCCTACTCACTGTTGACAAAAACAAGCATTGATGCCAGTCTGCAGCTCATCCAAAGCCAGAGGACTGTTCAGGGACACAAATCAGTGGAATATTGGATCTGTTTCCTTATTGAAAAAACAAAAAACTGTAACCTTGTTTTGTGTCCCATTGGTTTGACTGCTCAATTTACTTTTACAATGTGTCAAAATGTGATGCGTTTTTGTTCATGTTAATGCAGATAACAATACTAAAGCATTACAGACTCATTAGTACAAGTGTAAATTCAAATGTGCTAAAACGGGGTATTACTATATCCTCATACACTAAAAATAAATCACTCATTTCATTCAAAGCTAATGCTACTTGAGATCTTTTCAGCAAATTCTGAACTACTGTTATTTCCTTACTCAATACAAGCCACTTATTGGAAAGCATTACCATAACGCATTTCCTTCTGTGTCCTCAGATCAAGGTTCATATTTCTATGGTGATTTAGGCATAACACTGCAACTGAGTCCTAGTTACTATGACAACCTCTCAATGTGCCATCCTCGCAGACTGTCAATCACTTGGCAGGCATTACCACGATATCATTTTGAAACATCCCCTTCAAACTGTAGAGAGGGTTCAATCAAAATAATCTATTTGGTAGGAAATCCCATCATTCATTCTCATTTTCAAACCCCTTCAATCTTAATGACGACTGCTTATAGCTTCCAGCTGAATAAGCAGTAGTTTTGAACACTCCAGATCCGACTAAACCTCAGGCGTGGTGAAGTGGGGGGCTGCTCAGGGGTTTTTATTACCAGAAATGTTTTGAAGTTCTGCTTTCATCATGTCTGACTTCGCTTGTCATCGTGTAGTCAGAGTTTCACTTCAACATCTGACATGACCCCCCCCAAAAAATAAAATACAATCACTACAGTGTGTTTTCTTCCTGTGCTTTGACACACACAGCATGTTCAAGCAGCTAACACTCAGGCTTTTTCAGGTTTGACCTAAAGCGAGGCCTCTACGAAATTCAAAAAGGAAGGCTATCATGGGGTTATCAGGTAGTACGGTATGGCCCATATCTACGACACAAAGTCTGTCTCAACATTGTCTGAGACAGACTTAATCCACAACGGAACCATGTCAGAGCTAGATTAATCTCAGTATTGTCTTGGTTCTTAATTCTGACCCTGTTTTTTGTGTTCAATTATTTCACAGCTTGTTACCTACAGATTTTTTCTTTTAAAGTATGGCTGGCAAAAAACAGGGGTTTGCTTGATCATGTTTCTGAGTCAGACCTTAATGCTTTTATCCGTATCAGGCTCCCCTATCATTGTTAAAGGTCTTTATAGTGTAGTGCTACACAGTGAAAGAGAGAGTCATGAAAAGGGTGTTTTCCTGGTTTTATTATGACCGAGCACAGATAATAAAAACATTCCCAGAGCTGGCACAGGTTGGCACAGTTCTCTGATTAACGGCAACTCAACCTGTCTGAGAGGATTCCACTTCCTTTAATCTAATATCTGACCGGAACACCAAATATCTGATAACCTTTATAAAGCACCGTTTTCCCTGTTTGAGGGACGTTAAATACATGTAACCGTTTTTTTTTAAAGATTTGATTAAACAAATTGATTAAACAAACTTCCCTGAATTGAGAACCAGTGTTTCTCTAAGACAGATGAAACAAGCCCTGAGCAGTGTGAAACCCAAATATTTTCCTCATTATCACTTGCACTGCTAACAATGACAAACTTAACGCAGCCTGTTCATTATCGTCTTCATTTTCGTCATTTTATTCATAAAGCATGACAAAAAGTCCTCTCAGGTCACTTAAAGAAACATTATCATCTCCTTTTTGCACTTGATGATGGTCAAAAATAAAAATAGGACAGTTCTAAGATGTTGTACCGTGCGTCAAAGCTCGTTTATGACACGTGTTAGAATTTGGTGATCAGGTCATTAGGTCAACCACACACACAAACTTTGTTACCACATTTCAATGTTACCTGCATTAATTAGGACCTGGCCGGTTCACGTCAGGGTTAGGGTTAGTAAGTAACTGGCCAGTAAGCACTCAGTAGTGTCCAGTCCTTTTGAGGGGTGTGCCCAGCCCAGAAGACAAATACCCATGACACACGGAGTTCGGGGCTCTTTGCTGACTGAGATCCTTGGAGAGAGGTTTTTGTCTGTGAAGAGCCCAGCGCTGATACACTTTGCCTGTGAGCTAGTAAATGTCAATTTTTTACTCTTGATCTACTCTGGTTTATTCTCAGGTTTCCAACTAGAGATTCGGGCTAATACACGAAAGAGGCCTTGTTCCATGTTTGCACAAAAGCACCAGCTTTATGAGTCAGTCTTCACTCAAACTTTCCTTAGTTACATCAGCAAAGTGAAATATCTGGTGGATGAGGGCTGCAGGCCTGCGCGACGGTACCCAAAATGCTCCCGATTCAAGTCCCAGCAAAGTCTCTCTGAGTAGAGTTTGTGTGTTTTCTTCCTGTGCATGTGTGGGTTCTCTCCATCCTCCCAAAAACATTGACATTAGTTTAACTAGCAACTCTTAAACTGACAACGAGGGCTTGTGGTTGTTTGTCTCTGTGTTCCCCTGTAAGGGGTGTGGTTTGATTATCATCCAGAGGCAGCCTCCATGTAACCCAGTCTAAGATTAAGCAGATATGGGGAGTAAATGGATCAGTTGGTGAGTTTCCTCTTTCTTCTACATGACAAAACTATTTTTTCCACATTTGTTATTGAAATTGTCCTGTATCGCTGGGATACCAGGTCAAATTCCTGTGTTCTCTGTACCTTTGTTCAATAAAGCGATTTCTGATTCTGATTTCTGAAATGTGTTTATATGGGACTCTGATTGTGAATGATCTTCTGTCTCTGCGTCAGCCTTTGATAAACTGGCAACCGTACCCACCACTCATTCAGAACGAGCTGGGGTTGAGCTTTGATGAATGGCTGGCTCTTCTGAAAAGACACATTAAGTTTTTGATTAAGAGGCTTCTGAAATGCTCTGGCTGTTATTTGAGTTAATCATGATCAGTTGGTTTAATAAAAACATTGAATCCGACTCTGTGTAAAGAATTTTAAAACCTTAAGTGAGTACTAACGTGTCAAAACATGTTTGATCCATACTAAAGAGGCCATGATAAATATGTTAGTTTACAATATGATGACAAGAATCTGATGCGAGAAATCATACGGCAAAGAGATGACTTAGGTGCTGCGACAAACAGCTATAACTGCAAGTTTAATTTTGTCAGCTAAATGTTTACGACTTATAAAACTAGACATGTGAAAGCAGGATGTAGAGACAGCTGAAAAAGCATACTGTTTGTTTTTAAATGACACCCACAACTATTTAGTCTCATGTATGATTCATTCATTAGTCTGTAATTATCCATTTGAAGTTCGAAATTTGGTCTGCAGGATGAATTTATTGATGCCAACAATCAAATGTCTGCTAGTGTCACATCTAATCAGGACACCACTCATTGGAAGACAGATTATGTAACTGTCCAACGAGGCAGGGATGTCTGTTTTAAACCTTTTTAATTTGTTATACTACACCGAGCTGAAAGATTTCCACCTCCAGTAGCATATTATACAAACAGGTCTTGCAACATGTGGCATTATTCTTTACAGTTTTTAGCTATAAAAGGGATCCAGTAACCAATACACGCTGTGCAGTGACATGACCTTATGTGCCCCTGTGCCCTCCTCAATTACTTTAGACCCCCAGCATCAATTTGTGCCATTTTGACAGCACTAACCACCACCGCAGCCCCCCCCACGCCATCCTGCCACACTGCCGCTATGAACTTCATTAGCATTCTATTAATAATACAAACACAAGCAGGCACATGACTAACACTCAATGTGTCAAGAGTGTTCCCGTTCATGCTTGCATGCGAGTGTGTGTGTGTGTGTGTGTGTGTGTGTGTGTGCCAGGCATGATCTGGATTGTGTGTTTGTGAAGCCTACAATCCTCCAGCAGGGAATCCTGGCTTTCTGTTTAATTATTCAAACATAAACCTAGATCCGTGCACGGCTTCCACTCAGATGCACTTTAACCTCCCTGCACTACACCCTGTCGTCCCATCCACATCTCGCTGCCCTCCCGTCCTGCACCCTCGCAAGCAAACCCTCCTCACCCTCATCTCCCTCACCCTCAGCCTACCACCCCCCCCCTCTCTCTTTGTCAGTGTGCAGCGGCCTGAGAGCTCAGAGCTGATCCGTTCTGGCATTTGAGGAGAAGCATTTTTCTTTTCCATGGCACTGCTGGAACGTCCAGGGACAAACATGCACACACAGGAGAAGGAGGAGCAGACAGGACACCAGAGCAAAAAAAAAACCCTGGACAAGGAGATATGAAGAAGGAGAGAAGAGGAGGAAAGCAGGCAAGTGGGTGACAGCGGAGGAGAGGAAGGGAGAGAGGCCTTGTGGTGAAATGGGAGAGGAGGAGAGCAGTTTCAAGGCTGTAATTGAAATCTAATTATCACCTCAAGTCCCAGCTGAATCCATGGGCGCTCGCGAAACACGCACGTTTTCAACGTCAGATATATGTGCGTGTGTTCGAAAACGTCTGCACGTGTGCGATCATCACATTATTACCCCTAACATCTGGCATCTTCACACACCAGTAATCCGCCTGTCCCGAGAGCAGTGGAGGACCTCTGTGCACTCACGTGCGCACACGCACATAATCTCCTCTGTGTACACAAACACACACATTTTATTTTTTGTGCGTTCGGGCGGACGCAAACACGAACGCTTAATTGTTGGAGAGGGGGTGACGAGCATCCCCGGTGACTAATTACATCCTGATGACGGTTCTCACACATGTGCGACGTCATCACTATCGCACGCTTAACGTCAAAGCCCAAACACACACACACACGCACACACACACACACACACACATACACGCACGCAAAGACACAGAAGCCTGCAAAACAGCGTGCGCAAGAACACACACACACACACACACACAGTCAACCATTTAGGCTAAATGGCATCACTTCAGATTTGCCGTGCACTGCCCTAACCTGGCAATGACGGGTGGTGTGTGTGCGTATGTGTGTGTGTGTGTGTGTGTGTGTGTGTGTCAGTGACAGGAGGGTGGATGGATACTGACTGGCTTTTCCTGGCCGTGGTCTCTGTAGAAGCCGCTGAGCTGTCAGCAAGTCCTCGGTCTTCACGGCCTGGAGCAGCTCCTGGTCCTTCCCCATGTCCCCTCCGTCCCGGCCCGGCCCGCTGGGTCCAGCTCTCTTCCTGTCTGCGCCCCTCTCTCCTCCGTTAATCCTCCGCTACATCCTGCCGCCGCTCCCGGCCTCCCGCTGGAGCTGGGACGCGGAGGGGGGGTTTGGCTTCTGCCCGGGACTGGAGGGGCTCCGATTCGGCCAAGGGGGTCCCGGTTTCTCTCTCTGCACCCCCCCCCCTTACCCTTCTTCTCGCGGTTCCACGGACGCACTCGGACTGGCCGGACCGCGCACTCCGCCCGGGGATGCTCTCCCGCCACGCAGAATCCACCGATTCTATGGATCCGCGTGACGATTTCGCCGGGTCTGCGTGCCGCCGTGCGCGTGAACGGTGGAGCTCGAGCGCCCTCCTGCACGGTGGGTCAAGCCCGCACCGCTAAAAAAAAAAAAAAAAAAAATCATCCGAGCCCCCTCTCAATCCGCAGGATGGCACGCGCGCGGCGCGGGTCGCCGATGTTTGACGTGTGATGGATGTCGCCCTCCGCGGAGTCCGACCAGCCCCCTCGCCAGATCCGGTGCACGCGCAAGAACGCACGCGTATAGCATCCACACACTCGCGCGGACACACTTATGTGACATTACATAAGCGAGTGGCACTTGTGCGCGTTTTACTCCAGCTGTTGTAACCCCCGTCTCTGCGCATGTGGAAGGTCAAGAGAGAGTTCCCGTATTAATAATGTAACCTCCTCTAGATAGAAGAAGAGTCCAGGTCAGCTCAGCCTGCACAGCACACGTTTTCAGATGCAAAAACCTCCCCTTGCAACATTTTTTAGATCATCATCATCATTTATACGGATCCTTAGTTTGAGTCAGATGACTGAAACTACACAAACCGAATCATCTTAAAAATCTATCTGTATACATCGACAAATGTGATGCATATTTCTTCTTGTTGTGTTGTGAAATATGTTTTACAACTTAGCTCGCCTCAAAGTGTGTCAAAGCAGTGATGGTATTACGTCAATATGTTTAAGGTTAATGAGACAGAGACAAATTGAGGACCAGAAAAGATGGTGTACGTGTTTCCCTGGTGCAGAGCTAATTTAGACTAAAGGGGCCAACGTCAGTCAGATTTAGGACAGGAAGTGGAACAGATGACAAAACGCTTGATTAAAAAATGTACAAAGTGTACATTGTGTACTGGCAGGGTGCCGAGACTATCTCCTCTGAAAGACAGATTCTCAACAGGTCATCTTCATCCAGGGCCAGTCTGCATAAACCTGTTGCAAACTTGTGTAGGTTCAAATTCCATTTCTTAGAAGCTGATCTTTCCTAAGAATGTCTCGAGTTTTTTTATAAATTATTTTCCAAGCCGGTTTTAAAGGAAGTACATCCATTCCACTAAAACTGCCCCACTGCCCCACAATGCAGTACACAGTTCCGGCCATCGAAGTCCGGATGAGTGCCTTTCATACAACTGTTTTCTGCTTTTTACTGTGAATAAAACATGAACCTATCTGCAGATAATTAAATATTTATTCTATTTTCAACTTACATTGTATCCAGCATCATAGCATTTTGAAACAGACTTTAAAGATTTACATTATCCCAACATTTAAAAAAAAGGTTTTAGTCATGCCAGATTGGATATGCATTCCAAGTACCATCCAGCAAAGCAACGGCTGAAGTTAGAGAAAGAAGGGTTATTGTAAGGAAATCTTTAACAAAATAGAACCACTTCCTTATTTCATTTGTAATATTTTTTTTATTTCCAATATCACACAATGCTAATTCAATAAATAAATCTCCCATTTGATGGATAAGGTTTAAGGGGAACATCAATGAAATTCATTCACCTCTTGTCATGTTAGACTTCATGAAGGAACTCGAGAAAGAAACTAGAGGGTAAGATCTTTTATGTGTTTGATGAAATTTGTGATCTAGAGATGGACCAACAATATATTTCAGCAGGGTTGAAATAAAAAACACATGATTGTATTCTGCCTTCTGATAAACTTAGCTGCTTTCTGGATCCTTGGAGTGTGAGGGTGGACTGCTACGCTCTTTACTCGTCAGTCATGAAGGCTTAGAGATGTATTCTATCTAGAATACAAAATCTTTTCATCAAGGTAAAACAATTCTATATAACTAGCATGTCACATACCAACAGATGTCGTCAGTATCCATGTATGCATAAACAAGTACCAATTAGCTATCAAATAGATTTTACCTCAATCACAAGTTCTATAAATACTAAGAGTGAAAAAAAACTAACACTCAATTAAGTAACCTCTGAGGGTTCTGAAGATATTGTTGGATGTTTCAGAGTCATAAGCCATAAGCAAACCCAACTCACTCACTTTTTAAGTTAACATGTACAAAGGGGCAATTATTCATGAAAAAACAGAACGTGACCCTGAACTGGCAACAGTCGGTTGCCAGTTCAGGGTCTGTTTTCAAGCTGTGTACATTTTGATCATGTATAATAACAATAACAATAATCTTAGACAGTCTGCGGATGACATACTCATCATAATGTATATTTGGCATATCATACAAAAGCGGGTGTCCTTTACAAAGCTCAAACACATAACCTGTGAAACTGAATACAAGTACGATCTCAATAAAGCAACAGACAAATGTGTCTATATACGATAAGGGTAAGCATTAATGTAGGATTTAACCTGAGTGCTGAGTCCAGACAAGGTGCTAACACCTTCCGCTCCAAACGCGCGGATGAAAGCTCTCCTACACATCTGCTTCAGGTATTCCGGCCGCTTCTTGCGGTAAGGCTCGGTCAGTTTACACGCTGAGCTGGTGTAATACGCCAGCAGAGCGAAAAGTGAGGCGAAAGTCCTGCTGCTGCCGTACAGATTAAAGAGAAGGTTGATCAGCTGGACGCGGACGCTAGTCGGGCCGTCGTCACTCTGATAGCTCAGAGTGAAGAAAACATCTGGTTGGCCACTGTCCCTGCAACAACACAGTGGCACGAGTCACTTTCAGAAACTTTTGCGTTATAATTTGAGTTACTTTCAGTCCAGTAAACATGCTATAATGAGACATTACAATAAATGACAAAGACTAAAGCCCCTCCAACACTAACCAATAGGCACTATGGTAACACCGGGCTGTTCATGTTCAGGGAGGAAAAGGAGATGGGCTAGAATACCTGATGAGGAAAGTTCCAATGGGAACATGTTTGAGTATCGAGTGGGCTTCCTCCATGGTCATTGGTCCCCAGTAATAGCCACTGTGCTGGAGCTGCTGATATGTGTGTTTCACTAGATTATATTCAGCTTGGCTGCTGAATGAACGGAGGTGTGTCGGCAAGCAGTCGGCATCAGCTCCAGTCTCGGCCTGTTGGCGAAGAAGACGCAGAAGTAATCACTTAACGAGACACAATATGAACATTTTAGAGACTCACAACTGCACGACTGGCTTTTTCTCTGCACAGAAGAATCCGGAAAGGAGCGAGGCCAGATTCCCCCGCATGCGTCGGGAAGCACCAGCCATCTCTTGCAGTGAAAGCTTTAGACCAATCCAATTGCCTGTATAATCATGTGACTGATGTTTGCAACAACTTTAAGTGTTATACCGCCTCAGCATCCGGCTTTAAGCATCTGATCTGTGTCATTCTGAATATATTCACTTTGCTGCTAGGTAGCATTGAGGTGTGTGTTTATACAGCACAAAGGAGGAAAGACATCAGCCATTCACTGCTGATCCCAAACAATCTAGGTTGTTATAAATACCATTTAAAAACTATTTGAATAAACTAGAGAAACTATAAAAAAGACTAAAGAGCAACAACATCAATTTTACATCTGAACTGTTAAAGTCACTGACAGAATCCTGAGACAGATCAGGTACTTATTGTTTGGAAGAGTTGCAGGAAAAAATCCTTTTTGATATGCAAATAAGGAAATGAAGTGGAAAAAAGGAGCCTCCAAACCTCAGTGAACAGAAGAAAGGCAGTTGTTCTTCCACAACATCATGAGGCGGAAAGAAACATCACACAGAAAATGATCATCGTAAAAGATTTTCCAGGTCATGGAATCATTTTAAGTTTTTGCAAATCTAATCATGATACTGAGTAATATTCTATTCAGTCAAACATAAGTTCAAATGAATTCATCGTCAGCTCAACAAAGGTCATGCGAAAGTGAAAGATACTTAAATCTACTGCATTCTTAAAGAAGCTAATTTGTTACTCAAATGCGAAAAATCTTACTGTAAATCTTACTTTAATCTTGCTGTGAACTTTCTGTTAGATATCCCAACATGTGTGGGTTTTTTTGTCTAGAAATTCTGAAAATATAAATGCCTCATAGATTTCTGCAATTTCTCGAAAAAAAGACCGGAAAGTTGATTAAAAAAAAGTCTTTAACATCATTTCCTCTTCGCGATCTTCTTTCTTTGATCTAACTCAATCCCTGACTCTGCAGCACGTCAGAGATGCTGCGTCCCAGAATCTCTCTCACCGCTCAGCTTGATAGTAAACGGCAGCTTTCATTTCACTTTCGCTTTTCGGAGCCTCGAGCACAGACGATGGATCTCACTCAGATGTTCAAACATCGATTCTTTGGAGAGACAATATGCAGCTTCAACACCACGGTGACGTCTGAAAATATTAACCGTGTGCTCACGTTCAAGTCAAACCCAGCGGGCTGCATACCAGAAAACGCTTTTGTTTACTTCTTTTTTTATTAATCCCTTTAATTGTTGTTTTTATAATGAGTTTGGCTGCATTGTTAATCTACATATACTCTACCAAATTTAGAGAAAGACCCAGGCACAGGGTAATGACATAATAAAGACATTTGTATCTCCAAAAGCTCTTTAAACAATCATTACAATTAAAATTTGATTGAGTGTAATTAAGTTCTACGAGAACGTTTTGCTGCTGACACTTTGTAAGTGATTTCCACTGATTTCTTCAGAAAAATACAAAGTCCTGGAGCTTGATGTCTTTTTTTTATAGCTCACACCAGCCATCTGTGCCCTGTTTTAATACCGATAATTAACAGCAATTAACACTGACAGTGAGTAAACTGAGTACTGACCAGGCTCCAGGATTCAGGGTCGTCCTCAAAGCTGAATTTTTTCCGGAGCAGTAAATCGAGCTGCTCCTCCAGCTCCTCCGGGGTCTCTTGGCTCTCTGGCTGAACTTTCCCTGGGCTCTGTGATTGTTTAGGCTCTGCTGTGTCTCCAGGGGTTTGAGTTTGGCTCTCTGTCTCGGCTGATTGGCTCTGTTTTTCACTTTGGACTGCTGTTCTGTTCAGACTGTCTCTGACCATCCTAGAATGGAGAGTCCACCTCTTGATCGCCTGGGGCACCAGATCTTTCTCTTCTCACAGGCAGATCCCCCATCATTCACTTCGCTTTGCACGATCTTTAGCCTCTCGGTTCTCTGGTAGACTCCATTCCACTTCGAATTTTAAATTGTTTTGATGACCACAATGTACAGGATACGAGGCAGACAAACTGAAACACAGAGGTAAACAAAGATGGACACCATAAACTCCTTGACTCTGTTGCATAATTTAAGCTATCAATCATTAACTCTTTGTTTTGAACACCGCAATAAGTAAATTGTGAAATCTACATGGAACTTTCACACTTCCTGCAAATATTTGCTTGAATCAAATCAATGCAGTCACGGAGCAACACAGTCTTTCCTGTATTTCTGTATTTTTTGTCATCAGTTGTTTAATGATCTGTTTTATGATGTAACCTACACCTTTTCTGTAGACAGATATATTCAGAACTTAATCCCCAAAACACTGAATAAAGAGCTGATATTAAACAGCTCATGCAGATATATTCAGTCAATATTTTCTGTGCATTCAGATCTCTTTTTTTAAATAAAACATTTTGAAATATTCTGACTTTTAATTCGTTTATACAGCTCGTTTTAAAAAAATTGCCTGTAAATCTGGGTCTACTGAGGAATTTTACACCGTGTAGGAGCATGCTTGCACATCATACATCATTGTGGAACGGATGACGATGACATTCGACTTAGACAGAAACTTCCAAAGAAAGAAAAAAACTAATTAACATAACAATTCAAAACAAATAAACATAAACAAATCTGTACATATATATGTTTAAACACGCACACAAATTAAATTAAATTAAAACTGTGTACAAAGATATTCATTTCCAGAGAAATGTGAGACTAATTTAAAAATGGGCTCATTATATGAACTGAATGACTAAAAATAATAACATGAAGAAGTGAATGAGATAAAACACCACAAAACACCACAATAATTACACTTTGCTCTCATTCGCGTTAGTTTTCTTTCATTAATCAGAGGAAAAAGTTACACAATAAGTAGAATGTGTAACAGTAAATGTTCCTGTAATTTCAGCTCTGTACCTAAGAAAGTTTCAGAGGTTTTGAATCTGAAGAATACCAACGGCTGGGCAGTGGCAGGGCTGTTTGCAGCCCAGGGGCCGAAACGTTGCCTTTTGGAACTTTGATTGTTTTTTACAGAGCTGAGTTCAGTGACAGCGGAAATATGGGAACGTCCACATGCTGCAAACACAGTTTCAGCAAAGTGGGAAAACACTCCATTAAACAACCACTCTGAACAATTAAGATGACCCCGGTGATTCATATTTCCTGTAGTCAAACAAGAACACCAATTAAAAAAAAATAGTCAGACAATAACACTAGGACAAGGCAGAGGGAAGCTGCCCTAAACGTACAAACAAAAGACACATAAACTAGTTTGCATTTTAAAAAGCGTAACTGAACGGGGTTTCAACTAAGACGGGAGTCCTTCACAGATGTTTGCCTTAATTACGGACCACTGTTGGCCCCTGTTGGCCCCTACAGGAGCCTCACTATTTACGTTCTGAGACAAAAAAAGACTTAACATGAATGAATACAGGTTCCAGGCGGCTTACCAGCTGTGGGGGCTGACGGAGTCTACATGGCAGAGAACTCTGCTGAGGCTCTCAGCCGGAGCTCTTTTGCTTTCGGTTCCAGGTGAGCTGCAGAAGAGCTGCTGCCGGTAACAGTCTGAGCTGACTTATCGGACAGGACTAAGCCTCTCTGCAGGCTGCACACTCACGTCAGTTGGGTGCTAGGAACGCAGGCGCGCGCACGCTCCTGTCAGCGAGCTCGCGCTCGTGTAATTGGTGCCGGCCAGTTTCACTTTCTCTTTTTGCCTGAGTTTCCCCTAAATCACGTGATATGCCGGCAGCGGGGATGAATAAAGGCAAATAAGAAAACTCAGCTTTAAACTAGTTTTTGTATTGTTTTTTTTCTTTTTCTTTGTTTTTTTTTTTAAACCTTGTCCAACCAGCTGCTAGATATGTGAAAGACAAAAAAAAATAAAATAAAAAAAAATCCAGTAGTCTCTTGTGGGCAATCCAGACTGAAAACATTTAGGTGCATCTGCAAAGACAAAGAAACCAAGCAGAAAAAAACACAGGCAGAAACAACTCTGGTAGCAAGGACATTAACGAACATTGTGAAGAGGCTTAAAGAGGTGTGTTTCTGGGTAAATATGTGTGTGTGTGTGAGCCCAGGTTTCACACAGATTGTGCTAAATTATGTGTGCCAGGGGGCCAACGTCCTCCCTAAAGTGCTCCAAAGTGGCTGGAGTGCCCTGAGACCCGGTCCGCCGGCCACCACCCCGGAGCACAGCCCAGCGGGAGGTTCCATTCACCCAGAAGGCCTCACAGGAAGCCCCCCCCCCGAACAATGAGTTACAGCACACCGGCCACACCAGCCCTGGCCCCCAGACGTGGGCCGAGACACAGGCCCATCCCCGTCACCCGCCAGGGCCAGGCACCCCAGACTCAGTATTTTTGGGTTGAAAGCCCTTGATACTTAACTCATTTTGAATAGGCAACATTCACAGTTTACATTGTGGGTGCAGTTATGTATGTTTTAGACTTTTTTTCCCTACTAATTTATTGCATACATTATTCATAGGTGAATGTTGGTTTCCTGTGGTTCCCAAAAGTACAGAAAAAAGGTTTTCCCCTTTGGGTTATGAAGATGTACAACACTCCATTTGGCATTTGAATTTCCGATTTGCATAAAACAATGAGACAAAGATATACGACTTTTGCTGTTCTTTTTTTATCTGGTTTGTAAAAACTGTTTGATGTTTTTAACAAGTAAGCAATCACTGGCACCTAAAAAACCTTCAGTAATGTTAGATGATTTCAGAACAGCTTAATGCTATTTGCATTTGACCTGTTACATTCATAATTAATTAAATGTTTAAACACACTGATCAATATGATAGAAATTATGGGATTTATTGTGAGGAGGAAGCTTCATTGATGAGTGTGAAGGAGGCCTAATAAACTGAACTGTAGCTCTTGGAACTGAAAGACCATTTAAGTTCTTATAGTGATGAAATACTTGAGTTTTATTGATATTTAGAAAATACTTAGATGTTTACACAACTGATGAATCAGAGTCAGCTGATATTTGAGAAGATTACGTTTTTCACCAAGGCCGAAACTTTCTGTTTTGAGTTCGTCTACATTTTGCTTCCGTCTTCCTCCAATTACTGAGAAGTACACCTCTAACCTCAGCTCTTTTTGTCAGGAAACCCTGACTAACATGGAAATTAGCTGATTATAGCAGTACGCTCTTCCTGGATTCAGGTTTTTGAAAATCAAATGTGAGGTAATTGTCATTGTATAATTGTTATATGTCATAATTACCCCAAAATGTTTGCCTGGACATGCTTAAGAAGTTATACAATATCCTAAATGAACTGAATGAAAACAGATGTTTACCTGTTGGGATTCAGCAAGAGATGGACATAATGTGGAAAAGTCGGGGCAACGAACCTCCCTTTTTATCATTTAAAAATGAACCACTGGACAGGCAAGGGTAGAAGTATTTATTTAAAAATACAGCTATAAGTCCATAACTTTCTCACACTCTGGCTTTGGGCTCTTCACTTCATGAATAATGCTCAGTCCAAGTAAAATATCCTCAGCAGCGGTCTGCATCTCAGGCTGTGGAGGTCGATGTCTGTTTTTCCTCTTTGTTTTGTTTGTGCATCATGTAGGCAGCTGCGGCCCCCAGCAGGATCCCGTAAGTGGCCAGGACACACTGCAAGAGGAGGACAGATTTCTGACTGCTGGGAGTCGTTACGTGGAAACATTGAAAAGGCTTTGGCCTTGCGTGCGTGCGCTTCTTACGTTTCGGCGACCCTGAAGGGTGTAGCTATTAAAGTATTTCCTCAAACCTGTCAGCTCGGCGGGCGCTGGGGTCTCAATGCCAAATAGCTGCCTCTGAAATATAGAAAACAGCGGCCCACAGAATAAGTAAGAGGGAGCACTGCAGTCTGGGACCCTGACATTCCATGAAATATATTTAATGCGATCAAAACAAATATGTGAATTGCACAGCTTTTCTATCCAAAACAGGATAAAAGAAGGAAGACTACACAAAGGCATGTCTGGATCTAGATTCTGACCCGCGACCCAAAACAATCCAAGACCAATAAAACATTGTCAACGTCAAAATGAATGTGAAAGCAACCAGTTAAATGCTGAAAAAAAAAGTAATCTGTTTATCATAAAGAGGAAGCTGAGACAGTTCCTCATTGAGACGAGTCAAACTTGTATAAATACAAGGCAAATCTGAAAGCTCGAACTGAGCAGCTTCTCAAAAGCACAGTTCAGTAAGATGTAAAAAAAAAAAAAATAGGACCACGTTTAAATCATTTTAAAACCCAAAGTTCCTTAACACTACAGGCTGCAGCCACCTGAGCTTTAGGCACTTTGTTGTCTGTTCAGTCTTCATCATATAAGGGAAAAATCTACGCATGGACAGAGAGAGCATGCAGACTCCACATAGAACTCCAGTTAGAATTTAGCCATGGGATGACCGTGCTGTCCTGCAGTCGTTATTTTAAAGTAACAGGAGTAACTTTGTTGCACCCATGTAGCAAAACTGTGTAAAGGAGGCTTTGTTCTGTGAGGATAAAGCTGCATGTCGCAATTCTTCATGCACGTTTCACATGTGTTTCATGTGCTTGTCAGAATGTCTCAATTCATAAATCATTTTCGTTTATTTAAAAAAATACAGCTCTACATTCAATAGAATACATTTCATGCATGTCCTTTCATTTTCACCTTGGGGACACTTTTCAACGTATCTTTCTCTGGACTACTATTATTCTTTTATCTTAAGGAATTATCTTTGCACCGGAGGAAACGGGAGGAACCTGCCGGTCTAGTCTCAACACGTGTCATTTGCTTTTTATAAGCCAAAAATGAAAGTCAAAAGCCAACAAAGCAGTTATTTTCCATCCTGAGCCAAACCTGAGCCGTGCAGCTGCCGCTATTCTTTCTCTTTCTGTCAAACCAGGGCGGGGGGGGGGGGGGCACTACTGCGTTTTGGTTGCATTGCACGCCTGTTTCATAGTGGTGAAAATTAAACTTTTAAACTCCAATAAGGTGGGAAAGCTTATTCAAAAGCAGACAAAAGTATTTTATTTAACCACATATTGTCGACAGTTAAACAAGACTGATGAAAAACTCAGTTTTTTTACTTTAAGTGTTTCTATAACAGAACTTGTTTTTTAAGGGCAATGACTAATTTCCTGTGAAAGCAATGACCACTGGTTCCTGATTAAAAAAAAAAACTCTTCTCCATAATTCTTTCCTCTACATGTTGTTTAAAAAAAGACAAGCCAGGCTTTTCTGTATAGAGATACAGTGTTGTGGATCTTCTGGCGCTTTACATCAGGTTTCGGAATTAAATATAGGGCACAGCGTCACACTGGTGGTTAACACCAACTACCTGGTAATGTCACTAGGGCAAGTATAGAAGGACAGCTCATTTGCAGCTCATCTCGAAAGCAGCAGGCATTAACAAAAATTAACTTTGAAAAAACACCAGCAGGCCTGAAGAAGAACAGCAGGTGGTGCCCCACTCAAACCATTCCTGTTCCTGTTCTTCTGTAAAACTTGGAGTTCTTGTAACATGTATGCGAGTTGGAAGTACATGGTGCTTTTTAATTTTTTTTTGTACAGATGCATTTAAATTCTATGTGGAAGAGAAAGCAGGGCAGGCCCTGAAATAAATCAGTTTTAGACTTTGTCTTGGGGTGCGTGAGCATCCTGCAGTTTTGATCCAGTGACTCAGTTGATGATTTTCATGTTGATTCCATACTTCTCCTGGTAGGAAAAAAAGTAATGTTCTAGTTTAAAACTGAACCCTGCATATCTAAACATTGCTTTCAAGAAAATTGTTTTTTTTTAAGAATCTTAATTTTAGAATTTTAGTCCTGAAGTTTATTGTGCATAGTCAGGTCAGGTTTGGTAAGTCTGTGTTTGGTGTTTCGTTACCAACATTAGCTCTGGATTCCCCTTTTGTGTGCCAGCTTGTTTGCCCAAGCTAATACATAATGTGCTATTGTGTTAGTGGATTCTAAAACAGATTTTCTACCTCCATCTTTTTTGCAGGTATGTTTAATTCACCTGCATTATGGATAGTTTTAGATTTTTTATAAATTAAAAAAACATTTTTCAATACATTTTGCCATGTCTTTGTTGCCTGAAAGCTTTGTCTTTAACAAGAAGCGTGGCTGACTCATCATATGAAAAACATGACTGCAATTTAGCATTGTCTTATTGTAGCTTATTCGACCAAAAAAATCCAAGAATTCCGTGAAGTGAAATGTTATTCAATGATATTAATAAGTGCAACCATTCACATGAAAATGGAAACAGAGTCTGAAATGATAATTTTATCTGAAAGAAGTTTGCCTGAGGCGAGAGGAGACACAGAAGCAATGCAGTGTTAACAAGGATGCTCAGCATGGGAATGCTGACTCTTTTGTCAGCAGCATCTTAAAATCTTAAAAAAACTTAGAGAATAAATATATGACCAGCAGCCCTTCCCTGTTTGATTAGATTAAAATCTGTACAGTGGTTAAATTAAAAACAGTTGATTTTGGGATTTTCAATTTTTACAACTGACAATGAATCCTTCAAGAAATAACTATTAAAAAAAACCTTCATCTCGTCATAAAAAATAATCTAAAATGTTTGTGTTGGTTTGCCTGTGTGATTATTTTTTCTTTGCACTGGATTTCTGACTACAGACGTAAAAAATCCACGCTGTTTATGTAAGCATAGCAACTTCTCATCTAATTTTGTTC